AAGATTTCCGGGTACGTTGACCCTTTCAACTCCCAACTCCTTTCTACAATACCAGCTGCAGCTCCGCACCCTAAACCCTAAACCCTAAACCGGGCCTTGCCCAAACTTCGCTGGTCCATGACAGGTCTGCTTTGGATATGAATTATTGCTTTTTCGGCCTCCCCAGGCTTTGCGGGGACATGCCAAATGCTCTCGACTTCTTACGGCCTCCCCCAGGCTTTTCGGGGACATGCCAGAGTCGCAACTTGCTGAAACTCTTCTCAACAGGGTCGTCTCACCGTTTCAGTTGGTGGCTGTGCAGCGAGACTCCCCTTTTTCCTGGCAGTCTTTCGGGGCTCCAGCAACAGCTTTGCTGCTCAGCTTCTTTGCTTTACACTGCTCAGCCGTTGCACCACCAGTCAAAAGAACAGTCTCGCTGTGAGTTTGCTTTAGGTAGCTGGCTGTCGTAATAAAAGTCTTGTGACCGATACTTGTGTTTACTCAATGTTGTTGACATGCTTTTATTCGCAGCTTGCTGATCCCGCTGCTTTGTGGGATCAAGCACGACAGCCAGCTCAGCAACCATTCAGCTTAGCTTCATGCTTGCTTGAAGATTTTTCCCCACCCACCACTCCCTGGGTTCACCCAAAGTGGTGATTCGTTTGTGTAGCTTCGCTGCTTAGGGTTCCTTCGCGAAGGGCTCCAGCAACAGCTTCGCTGCTCAGCTTCTTTGCTTTTTGCACTGCTCAGCCGTTGCACCACCAGTCAAAAGAACAGTCTCGCTGTGAGTTTGCTTTAGGTAGCTGGCTGTCGTAATGAAAGTCTTGTGAACTGAAACATTCTTTAGCGTGATTCCAGCGAGGTTCTCATGGTTCTAAATCTCTAAACATGAACAGCAAACTAATTATTATTAGCGAAATTCAAGAAGTGATTCGCGCTGTTTTTGACTCAGCCCGAACTGGTGTTAGGGTTATTGGGTCGAAGCTGCACGGCTCCAGGGTTCGGGGCGTTACATGTTTATGTTTTTTGGAACAATACACACACATATATATATATATATACTAGACACACGTGCGTGCTTCGCACTTAGGACGGCCCGGACGGACAGAGGGGGCAGCGGGGGGGGCTGGCTTGCGGGTTCTGGGGCTGGGGTGCAGCTCCCACGGGGTGAAGGGGGTCGGATGTAAGCGACGGGGTAGGGGGACCGTGGGCTCAGGGCCAAACGGCCCTTAAGTACGCCGTACTTAAGGGGGCCCTTACTCACGCCGCGTAAGGGCAAAACGGCCCGGTCCGGCCCTCGACCCCAGACCCCAAAACCCTAAGCGGCCCTGCGAATTTTTACAGGGCCATCCTGGCATGTGTGGGGGGATGTAAGAAAAAATCATCGGACTGTGCCCTCAACCATCCCTGAAAAAAGTTGTCACAGGACCATGCCTTTGAACCATCCTGTACGCGCTACATGGAACATATTGTTGGGGGGGGGGAGGCGAGGCTTAAAAAAAACCCTAGAAACACCGCCAAAGACCCATGCACGAGCACCATTCAGGTCGTTTCCACATGGCGATGATCAATGTATATATATATATATGTAGGTAGATAGAAAGATTGGTTTAATGTTTTGAAGGCCCAAAATAACTTTGAAAGCCTTACAGCTTTTGACCCAATGATTAGCGCCAACACTCCGGGCCCTGGGCTCCGGGCCCCAGAGCCAAAAGCGGAGCCTGGGCCCTGGAGTCCGGGCCCTATACAGATATACAGACCGAGAATATATAGCCCATAATGTTTTGACTCAATCACCCCAACACGCCCGGAGCTTCTTCCTTGCAGGGGCCCCGAGTCCAGTGCCCGGGCCCCGGAGTCCGGCAAAAAACCCAGCGCCTGCAATGTTTTGAAAGGTTGGGAGGGTCCGGGTTCAAGAGCCCCCCCAGAGCCCGAGCTGCCGGAGCCCCGGCCTCGCCGCCCGGGCCCCTGAGCCTGGACCCTGTATGCTTCTATATATACAAACAAATGTGTGTCTATACATATATGTATTGTTCCAAAACGCCCCGCAAAACCGTTCTATCTCCGCACATTGCATTCTGACCTTTTTTGTGTTCTCGTGCCCCGGAGCTCGGGCCCTGGAGCTCAGGGTCCCGGAGGTCGGCCGGACCCGAGCTCAAACCTTGGGCTTCGGGCCCAATTGTTGAAATCAGCGACAACCACTTTAAACACTGAGTATTGAAACATGCATATACCTTTCAGATGTTTCTGCGCCAGTCACAGACTCGGCCTCGCAGCCCGAACCTTGGATCGGGCCTGGGGGAAGGACTTGGCTGGTCCACGGCCGGAGTACACGGCTGGAGTAGGGTTATATAAACGGCGCGGCCTAGATATGCTCGCTAATTGCAGGCCGCAGGGTTGTGGCACAGTTCCCCAATGACCAAGGGGACCCTTTGCTGGGGGACTGTTTTGGGACGCTCGATTAGGGATTTTAAGGGTTTAGGGTTCAGAGGGAGGGTTTGGGGTTTGGGGTTTAGGGTTTAGGGTTTGCTGTGATAGGGCGTAGATGCTGTGAAGGTTAGGTTTCGGAACAAGCTCGAAAGCTTCCTGAGGTGCGAAGAGCAGGTTTGGGCCGATTGTGGAAGGCCATCTAACACTTTTCTCCCACCCCACGCCGTCCGAGACGGCAAAGCCACCCAAACCTATTCCTTTTAGGGTTTAGGCCTGCAAACAGACAACAGTCCACTTCTAAAAGTTTATTCAGTTTCATGACGTTCGTTGGGTCCGAGAGAGTCAAAGGAATTGGGGGTCGGGAGGCAGGGGACTCAGAGGCCCGGGCGTGGGGCAGGTTAGAGTCATGACCTGAGGTTTACTTTAGCATGAGGGACCAGTACTGGTCTCGAGGAGAACGTGTTCCGGTACCGGGCCCATCGGATGGGCACTGCCGACCCCCATGCTGTGGGAGGCGGGCGAGCAATCTGGGTCGGCTTGTGCCATCGAGGTCAAATGGCTTAAGCGCCGCCCCCCAACGTAGGGGGGCGGCCTAGGCCCTGAGTTTAGGGTTTAGGGTTTAGGGGTTAGGGTTGTTTCGAGTTGAACCCTTTTTTATGGTTTGTCACGGGTTTCTGGCCGGATTCCCGAAGAGCCGAAGACGATTCCTCGTGTGCCAAGCAAGCCCAAAACTGGTCCAGGGCGAGCGCTGGGGCAGCGTAGGGTAGGGGCCAGGGCTGGCACGAGCATTGCGCGAGCGTTGCGAGCAGTGCTGGGGCAAGCGCTGGGCGACACCTCGGGCTTGTGTATCGTTGAGAGCTCGCTTGTTTTACGGAAAAAAAAGGAGGGCGTGTGAGGTTTTGTTCTGCAGGAATGCTCTTCCTAAGTAGTTATTTTTTGCAGCCAATGCATTACATGGATCCAGCGAAACCACCTGCAGCTGTTGGCGGGATTGCACCTTTGGAAGATGTCCAGGTGGCAGCTCCAAATAATCGACTATCGATCCCGCCTATGGCAAATTTGGTGGTGAACAATCTCGCATGGTGACCATGTTTGGCGTTGAAAGATCGGCACCGCAGCGGTGTAGTTAAACCATTCCATTGCTCAAGCGAGGCAGAAAAGTCCTTGTAGCTTGACCGCAAACCCACAAAGTACCGATGTTAAAACATGCCGGTGATAATCGTGCATGGCACGCCAGACAAGAACCTTCGTTACTTAACCCGGGGTGCGGTTGCTGCGTGCCGCCTCAGCTGGTGTTTCAATCCACCATCCTTTGATCTTGAGGTTTTTCCAAACTTGTCAACCTTGAGATGAAGCCCCCAATCAAATCCGAAAGCCTACTCCAACCCTACCCCGCATCGCACGCGTCCGTTTTGGACCTGATTTGAAACGAGGTTGCCGAGAACAAGAACAGACGTGTTGGGCAGCCCACGATGGCGGTCTAGCCAAGGGTCATGCGTGTTTTGTTTAGGTTTTCAGAAACAGACTGAACGTTATTAAGCAATACGGTTGCTTTATTGTTGTTGCTCTTTAAATTGCTTGCGGCCATTTCATCTTATCGTCCGCGTATCGTCAAGAAATGTGCGCCCGTGGAGTTTCCATCAAATCTTGTTCACATTGGTATCAGCAAAAAATCAGGCCCATACTCGGACACAATAAGCGCAGGAGCATGCTGATTCTTGCTGAACAAAGTTCAGCGGCACGGACGTTCGCATGTTTTGCCAATTTTTCAGACCGCATGTTGATCAATAATTGCATACAACTGCCTGATGTGCTTTCATGATATTCGGGCTCTCAGGGGGTTTTTCTGCAGTAATGCCCTCCACCCGCTGGCAAAGCCAGGTGTTTCTCGGCTGTAAAAGCTTGACATCGCAGGAGCTGCTCCACGAGGGCGAGGGTTCATTTGTTTCCGTCACAACGTCCGGTCATAAACATTTTATTGCAATCTTCTGTAATTCGAGCCCTTGGGTTTGAAACGAACAACATCAATGGACTGTTGCGACAGTAAACCTAGTTTCCCGCAACAACGGTTGATGGGTTGCATGTTCCGCATGGTTTTCGGTCACATTGCTGAGGTCATTTCCGCTCCTTCATTGGTTCATTGTTTGCAAGATCCACCCCGAGACCCTGCGGCTCGCTTTGTCAAGTCTAGCCTGGAGATGGACGAGACAAGCATGGTGAAGTTGTGTGTTTGGTTGCAAGCAGTGACGAAATATCAAATATGGCTGCCTTTGGGGGAACTGTGGTGGGATATTTCAAGCTTTGTGACCACCGTTTGCCAGGGGCGCACAAGCCCGTGTCCGTGTGCAAGACTCCGCTTGGCAGTTCGGGTGCATTAAAAGTAGTGTTTCACACCCCTTGTAACCTACCCGAAATGTGCTTTTTTTGATGCAATGTCAGTGGCACCTGCAGGTCTCTGATTGTTGAGCTTGTGAACTGAGGTATCACAGTAGCAAGTGCTTTCATTAAGCTTGGGTCGCAAGCTTACCTGCCCCACTGGCCATGCTTTGTTGTCTTGTGAGGACGCGTGTTTGGTGCGCTCTTTGAAGGCAATGCAAAATGCCGGACGCTGCCTCTTCATACTGCGTGGCTGGCACATTGTTGTCCCGCACTGTAGGGTTTCATTCACACCCAAGCAGCGACGTGGAATGCCAGGACAACGTGTTACTTGGGAGAAGCCTTTGCCAGATACTTAGAGTGCAGCACAAAGTGGGTTTGAAGGCCGTGCGCTTGCAACTTGGCATCTTGAGCTCCAACTGCTCCAACATACGGTTATCGGTTCCTCGAAGGAGTCTGCCACCAGGGAACAGCTGGAAGGAAATGTTGAGAAGGAGACGCCACCGACTCGGACAGTGAACAGCGTCCCTCTTGCTGATTCTTCATACATGGTTATCACTTGTGAAACGGAGAAGCCTTTGCTGGCATGTCATGGCCAACGATGACCATGGCAATGACGACGGCGACGTTGATGCCGACGCCGAAGCTGACACACATGCTGACAACGATGATGGCGACGATGGCGACGATGTTAGCGATGCTGGCAGGAGTCATGATCATCATTCATGGTCATGACTATCCTGAGGACCGCGAGGACCTTGAGAATGAGAAAAAAGATGATGAGGCTGCTGAGGATGAGGAGGGCTGCGATGATGGTGATGATCATGATTTGTGTGTTGTGTACAGCTCACATGTCTCAAACCAAAGCGCTGACCTTCCCCGCGACCCAGTGAAGGCTGTATTCGGTCAAGCGTAAAGTTTGTCGTTCAGCAACGAATGTCATTGCTTTTGCGAGAAGGTCAAGTCAGCAAGCCCACGTCATGCGGCGAAATGATGCAAAATGGAGGCTTGGGCAGGAACCGATTCGCGTTAGCCTTTGTTGCAGTGTTGCTGCCAGTCAGAGGTCGCATTCAGGAATTGTTCTGCAAGCGCATGGTGCTTCCGCCTAGCATGATGGCATTTTCCGTTTGGCAGCATTTGTATCCGATGCTGAAAGCTTTATCAGTGACTCTGCAATAGTGGGCGGTTCATGAGTTGGTAGGCAGATTCAATGGAAAACTGGTGGCGCACAGTAAATTCTCTATTGTTGTGCGCTGTGGGTTCTTGGCCCCCCCCCCCCATGGAATCCCCGCTTCCCCCTCAACCCTAAGCCCTCAACGCCGGAAACCCCAAACCCTGAAACCCCAACCCCCCTAAACCCCAAAACCGTAAACCCTAGAACCCTAAACCCTAACCCCTAAACCCTAAGACCAAAATCTTAAAACCCCAAACCCGTAAACCCTAGGCCTAACCCTAAAGCCCCAAAATCCTAAACCTTAAGACCAACCCACAACACAACCCGGGGGGCCCCCTCCCCGCCCCGCTCCCCCCCCCTCCCTGTCGTGGCGGTCGGTTGGTTTTGGGTTTAGGGTGTTAACATTGGAGGGGGGGGACACGCATGCTGTGCCTGAGTGATATGTGCCTTTTTCTTTGTTGTAGACGAAGACGCGCAACATGAAAGCTTACTGCCCATATTATTGTGCAGCATCATCCAAGAATACAGCCCCACTAGCAAGTCTTCTGCCAGGTCAATGCCAGAAGTGACGGTCTTCAGTGTGGATGCGGATGCCCACTTGCGACAGGATATGCAAGCTGCATGTCTCAGTTGATGAGTCCTCGTGGGACTCATGGGACACGTGGGAAACGGAATTGTTTTTGGCAGTGAATGGTTTAGCAGGAGAATCTGAAGGTCGCACCAGCGCCATCTCCGCATGACTCCAGGCACTGCTGAATCGGTTTGACGCAGCTACAGGACATGACACCACTTTTCGGTATCTTGTTTGGAAGCGAACTCTTCACAGCTGCCCCATTGTAGGGTATCTCTTGCCCCGCAGGCAAGGCCCGACGTTACACCACAAGGAGGCTGAGGCGCAAATATGCGACTTTGCCAAGCTGTACAGCACTTCTCTAGGAGTGAGTGCTTGCATGCAAGAGATGTGTGGAGCGCGATGCGGCATCATAAGTGAGCACCATATTAGTCATAGTGTTTACGTGTGCACGAATGGTTCTATCATATTGGTACGCGAACACAATGAATGAAGTAAAAGGACGGGCAGATAACAGAATTAGTAGTAAGCCCCTCTAATAATATTAGCTCTTTTAACAGGCCTCATTATTTTAATCCAGTATCAAGCTCCGTTAAAGCATACTTGAAGAGAGCTCCGCGGTTGTGAGAAGTAACATAAGAATCAAGCCCGCCTGAACAAAGCAAAGAAGTATAGCAAAATAGTGAGCCAATAAGCGAGAGCAGAGGCTGGGCCACTAATGTGATGTTTATATTTTGGGCTTGTATAAGTTAAGTGAGCACGAGCCCGTATTAAAAGCCAGAAGGTTAGCCAGAAAATGGGATAGGAGGGTCACTTAGCCAGTCTTGTTGCAGGTCACGTACCCAATCCCACTCCAGCACGGTTTGGGGTCATTTACAAACTCTTTTGCGGGTGACTTGGCATGGGTTTAGGGGTTAGGGTGTGGGTTTTGCGGGTTTAGGGTTTTCTTGGTGTTTGGGGGTTTTAGGGTTTATGGCTTTTTCGGGTTTAGGGCTTTGTAGGGTTTAGTTTTTTTTTTTGGTTTAGGGCTTTTTAGGGTTTAGGGGTTCTTAGGGTTGTTAGGGTTTGGGGCTTTTTAGGGGTGTCGGGCGCTTTAGGGTTTATATAGGTCTTTTAGGGTTTGGGGGTATTGAGGGTTTAGGGTTAAGTGTTGTTGAGGGTTTTGGGGTTCAGGGTTTCGGGCGTTTCGGGGTTGGGGTTTTGTTAGAGTCAAGGGCTTATTTTAGGGTTCGGGGTTTTTGGGGTTCAGGCTTTTAGGGTCTTGTGCTTTTTAGGGTTTAAGGGGTTTTTTAGGGCTTAGGGCTTTTTAGGGTTTAGGGTTTGTGAGGGTTTAGGATCATTTTATGGGCTTAAGGCTTTCAAGATGTTTTTGGGTTTAAGGTTTGTTTTTTTTGGTAGGGTTTAGGTTTTCTTAGGGTTTAGGGCGTCTTGAGGGTTTAAGGTTCAGGGGATTTTAGGGTTTAGGGCTTTTTCGGGTTTAGGGCTTTTGGGGTTTAGCTAGGGTTTAGGGGCTTTTAGGGTTTGGGCTTTTTCGGGCTTGGGTCGTTTTAGGGTTTAGGGCTTTTTAGGGTTTAGAGCTTTGCAGGGTTTAAGGTTTTTTTTTTGGGTTTAGGGCTTCTTCGGGTTTGGGCCTTTTTAGGGTTTAGGGCTTTTTAGGGTTCAGGTTTGGGTTTTTAGGGTTTAGGGGTTTTTGGGGTTTAGAGCTTTGTAGGTTTTTGGGGTTTATGCATGTTTAGGGTTTAGGGCCTTTTAGGGTTTAGGGTTTTTTAGGGTTTGGCTTTTCAGGGTTTAGGGTCTTTTCGGGGTTTGGGCTTTGTAGGGTTTAGCGTTTTCTAGGGTTCAGCGGTTTTTGGGGCTTAGGGCCTTGTAGGATTTAGGGCTTCTCAGGGTTTAGAGCTCTGTTCGAGTCAGGGGTTTTTAGGGTTCTTAGCGTTTAGGGGCTTTTAGGGTTTGGGCCTTTTTGGGTTTTAGGGCCTTTCAGGGTTTCAAGGGTTTTTCGGGTTCTTAGAGTTTTTAGGGTTCAGGTCCTTTGGGGCTTTATAGTGTCTTTTCGGATTTTGGGCTTTGTAGCTTTTTAGGGTGTAGGAATTTTTGGTTTTAGGGGTTTTTAGGGTTCAGGGGCAAGGGTTGCAAAAATTCAGGGTTCAGGGATTTTTAGGGTTCAGGGTTTTGGCTTCAGGGCTTTTGAGGGTTTCGGGTATACAGGGTTTAGGGCTTTTAGGGTTTAGGGTCTGTTAGGGTTCAGGGTTTAGGGTTTAGGGGCTGTTTAGGGTTTAGGTTTTTTTTTGGGTTTACTCTTGTTTTTTCGGGTTTAAGGGTTTTCAGGGTTGAGGGGATTTTAGGGTTTAGTTCTTTTTTAAGGGTTCAGGGCTTTTTAGGATTTAGGAGTTCTTAGGGTTTACGGCTTTTTTCGGGTTTAGGTTTTCTGTTAAGGCTTTTTAGGGTTTAGGGCTTTTTAGGGTTGATTGTTCTTTTTGTTTGGGGGGGTTTAGGGCTTTTAAGATTTTTGTGGGTTTAAGGGTTTTCAGGGTTGAGGGTTGTTTAGGGTTTAGTTTTTGTTTTAGGGTTTAGGGCTTTTTGGGGTTTATTGCTTTTTAGCTTTTAGGGGTTTTTAGGGTTTAGGGCTTTTTAGGATTTCGGGGTTTTCAGGGTTTACGGCTTTGTAGGTTTTAGTTTAATTTTTTAAGGTTTTTGGGGTTTTTAGGGTTTAGGGCTTTGTAGGGTTATTATTTTGTGTTTTTTTTGGGGGGGAGTAAGGCTTTTAAGGTTTTTGTGGGTTCAAGGGTTTTCAGGGTTCAGGCTTTTTTAGGGTTTAGGTTTGTTTTAGGCTTTAGGGCTTTTTAGGGTTTATTGTTTTTTTAGGGTTTAGGGCTTTTTGGGGTTTGGGCTTTTTCGGGTTTGGGCCTTTTTTGGGTTGGCTTTTTCGGGTTTAGAGCTTTGCAGGGTCTAGGGGTTTTTAGGGTTTAGGGCCTTTTTAGGGTTTAGGGCGTTTTAGGGTTTAGGTTTGTTTTTTTTTTTTTTTTTTAATGTTTAGGGGTTCTGGGGTTTAGAGCTTTGTAGGGTTTAGGGTTTTTTGGGTTCAGGGGATTTTTGGGTTTATGCATGTTTAGGGTTCAGGGCCTTTTAGGGTTTAGGTTTTTTTAGGGTTTGGGGCTTTTCAGGGTTTAGGGTCGTTTAGGGGTTTGGGCTTTGTAAGGTTTAGCTTCTAGGGTTCAGCGGTTTTTGGGGCTTAGGGCCTTTAGGATTTAGGGCTTTTCAGGGTTTAGAGTTTTTTTTCGGTTCAGGGGTGTTTAGGGTTCTTAGCGTTTAGGGGCTTTTAGGGTTTGGGCCTTTCTTTTGGGGCTTTATAGGGTCTTTTAGGGTTTTGGGCTTTGTAGGGTTTAGGATTTTTTAGGGTTTAGGGCAGGGTTGTTCAGGGTTTCGTGTTCTTTAGGGTTCAGGGTTTTGTGCCTTCAGGGCTTTTGAGGGTTTAGGGTTTAAAGGGTTTAGGGCTTTTAGGGTTTAGGGTCTGTTAGGGTTCAGGGCTGTTTAGGGTTTAGGGGCTGTTTAGGGTTTTAGATTTTTTTGGGCTTAGGGCTTTTGTTTTTTTGGGTTTAAGGGTTTTCGGGGTTGGGGTTTTTAAGGTTTAGTTTGCTTTTTAAGGGTTTAGGGCTTTTTAGGATTTGGGGGTTCTTAGGGTTTACGACTTTTTGCGGGTTTAGGTTTTTGTTAAGGCATGTTAGGCTTTGGGGCTTTTTAGGGTTTATTGTTTTTTTTGTTTGCGGGGGGGGGGGGGGGGGGGGTGGGTTTAGGGCTTTTAAGATTTTTGTGGGTTTAAGGGTTTTCAGGGTTGAGGGTTTTTTAGGGTTTAGGTTTTTTTTAGGGTTTGGGGCTTTTTGGGGCTTATTGCTTTTTAGCGTTTAGGGGTTTTTAGGGTTTTGGGCTCAGGGGATTTTTTGTTTTAGGGTTTTTCGGGTTTAGGGCTTTTTAGAGTTTAGCGCCTTTTCGGATTTGGGGGTTTAGTTTAGGATTTAGGGGTCTAGGCGGCGTTTTTGGGGTTTAGGGCTTTTTATGGCTTTGGGGTTTTTAGCGTATAGGGCTTTTTGGGGTTTAGGGGTTTTGGGCGTGTAGGGCTTTTTGGGGTTTGTTTTTGTTTTTTGCTCGTGTGCCAAGCAGCCCCCCAAACAGGTTGCTAAGCGACACAAAAAAGCTTGCTAAGCGACCCCTTTACTGAAAATAGAGATCAGTTCGCCAAGTGCCAGAGACAGAGCAGCCATGTTGTACTGCAACGCGCATTAATCTGATGTTGGGCTATGCTGTCCATTCATGCACAATGTTCATGAAGCCTTAGAACTGTTGTTGAGATGTCCCATGTTGTCTGTTCATGCATTCACTTCGTTTACGCGCGTTAATTATGATCAGAGTCTTTGAGCGGCTCTGTGTCAAAAGTTGTTAAAAAGACTGATCATCCTGGGGAGTTTAGGTACAGCATTAAAGGGGGAACAAGGCCCATTTAGTTCATGTGAAATATAAGGCCTTTTCGGACACTTTTTGTGCGGCGTGTTAAACGACTCATTTCGCCGCACACGTCAATACTAAATCCTTCGTGGCACACTGGGGTTTAAGATTCAACATTAACACAAGGGCGTACAGCATGAACGAGATTATGACGGCCGAATGAAAGGACCAAGAGAACGCCCGTCACACCCTCATTCCTCCGCCTCCATCCTGGGTGTTACCTTCGCGACTCTGTTACCGGGTCTTGTTAAGTGTTCTACCTCCAGCACCAGCCAGAAGACCTTCTAAAGTGAGCTGCAAAGAGCATGTCAAGTAGTAGCAGCGGCTGCAGTGCTCTGAATCTTCTTTGTGATGTCACCGTTTGGCGACAGGTCCATCATCATGTCGAGGCCTGCCCTTTCTTCAGTTGTCATATGTCGATCATGGCTGATCCATAGTCTCAGTGGCTTGTGTAAGCTCGATCCCAGTATGCGCGTTTCGTGTTTGCCAGGACCGGCACAGACACCACGATGGTTCAGAGCACCAGGACAAGAACGGTCCGATGAGACAAGCGCCACCGACTCGCGGTCAACTTCCGCATGCGGGTCACATCCAAAGCCATGGTCATTCTGAGGGCATCCAGTCTCAGACTGCACAGCACGCGCCGCGTGTCCATCACCAGCAGCCCGCGCCATCACCCTCTTCTCGTGCAGGTGTCGAAGGAAGCAAACAGTCAGCACCAGCGCAACCCCACCAGCCCAGTCCAGGCCATCAGTCCCATCATAAGCCAAGTTCTCAGCACGTGGACGAACTTCATCGCAATCTTCCTGCTCGACATACTCACCAGGCGAGTGCACACTGAGACTCGGTCCTTGAGGTAGTGCCTTTCGCATGCCGTCCCGAGGATGCTGAGCGACCAGCAAGATCCTGGGAGGACCTATGTGTACCTGCGTCCAAGGTTTAGGGATGCAAGTCTTTCGAAGTCGAAGTACGAGAAGATGTGAGAACTGTTTCGGTAAGCCCCTTCCCAAGCAAGCGCTGTGCAGTTTTTTCAGTGACTTACTTCGGCAACTTACCAACTTGCGTGAGCCTGACACAAGCTGCGTCAAGTGTGTCCCCCCAAAGTGATGTTTGGAGGAGGACGGTCGGCAGCAGGCCCGAGAAACGTTGCCCGGGCCTGTGCTGCACTGATGGGCCCATTGTCATGACGCCATGGCCAAATCCAAGGCGAAACTCGCGTCCTCCAGTCGTCATGTCCCAGCGAGATGAGGATGGTGTCAGACCCAGTTCCGACGTGTGGCAGTCTGCAACCAAGCACCAAGCCGAGCTCTTTACTTTACAGCTGCAAAAGCTCTTAGGCCGGGCGATTCGCAGCTCTTCTCCCGCTCCAGGTGCGCTGTGTGCTCTCTGCGTGTGCTCCGTGCTCCTCGTTGTTGCTCAGAGCATCTCACCGAGAGCCCTCTCTCTCTCTCTCTTTCTTTTTTTTTCTCTCTCTCTCTCTCTCTCTCTCTCTCTCTCTTTCTTTTTCTCTCAACGTCATGTGCGATGTTCATCCTGAAGGCTCTGAAAGTGAGGGCAATGTGGTGGCCGGCAGCACTCTGGCTTATTTGGCAGTCTCCAAGTTGTTTGACTGTTGTTTCTTGCATGATTGGATTTTGTTTGTGCACATCAGGGAAGACGATATCTTTGGCCACGGTCGCAGTCGTTGCTGCCTCACTGAACTCATCCATCCGATCCTTCATGGCTGCTTTGCTTGTGCGAAGTCTGTAGTGCAGCTTGGCAGGAACGGTTCAAGTCCTCTCCAGGCTCAATCCAAGATCTTTGCGGAGCAGCTTATTGCAGAGGAGCGGGAGTCGCTTGGGGCACAGCCTCTGGCATCCGACAGCACACAGAGCAGACAAATCGCCTCAGAACTGAACTCTGCCAAGGCTTTGTCCGCAGCTTCCCAGCCGAGTATCTCTAGAAATATTGGCTGCAAATGCGAAGATTGCCGAGGTTGGACACCGCTCATCGGAAGCTGTGTCGCGGTATTCTTTGAACCTGAAGCTTGAAAGCCTTGTTCCAGGAACTCACATTCGTCTTCCGAGCCAAGCTGACAACGGAAGACCGCAAAATTCCGAATCAGGCCAAATCTCCACCAATACTGGTGGCCCAATGGCCCTTGGAATGCTTCGGATGCAGAGAAGCCATCGCTGGTGAGGCTGCCAAGATGTTGCGCACAGGCATCGAGGCCTGCCCCCCAAACCGAGCAGACTTGGAGTGATGGTGTATCGCTGCATGCCGGACGCCTCGGCCCATGGGTTAAATGGTTTTCGTTTCCATGTGGTGCTCTAGTGCAGTTCCTTCTGCTTGAACGGGGACACGCGGCAAGCAACACTCTGCTATGCTCTGCTGCGCAGTTTAGGGTTGTTTCTGTGAGGGAGAATTCTGAATTCTGCTCCAGGCCCATAGCGATGAAAGCATGTGAGGCCTTCCATAAGACAAACAGAGGCTTTGCATTGTGGAGCTTCGCAGAAACCATGGCCCTGGGGGGCCAGAGAGAGAGGCTGGGCAGGCTGTCGAGAATTGGAGGTTTCCTCTGAACACAAAACGGTCGAGGCCGAGGCGAAAATGAGCACAGCATTAGAAAACCCGCGTCCCACAGCTAGGTCCCGTCTTCTTGCCTTTGCAGATGCAGAAGTGTGCCAAGGTGGAGTGGAAGGAGAATACAGCCGGCACAACAAATGACGAGCAAGCTGCGTATCTTGCCTTGAGAGCTGATGTTGATCCACACTTCAAACAATGAGTGGAGAAGCGCTGGAGTTGTCGGGTGGTGTGCCCATGAGGCTAGCACGAGCTGAAGATGAGCTTCTGGAGAAGAATTCTTTGTGGGATCCCATCTCACGTGGTGCAAAGCTTGCTTCGCCCCCATGTCTTGCAGACCATGTCTAAATTCGCATGCACATACGTTGGTATCGAGTCTTGGGCGATAGCTCAGATTCTGCCGCTGTCGGCATGTGACCTCATGAACGAGACCTTCTCGCTGGTTTTTTCCCGAGATTGCACGATCTTTCGGTTTCGGTCTCGATCTCTGTGCGTTTTGGCTGAGATGTGCAATCGCAAGAGGAAGCCTCATGCCCGGGCCCTGGCACAAGGGCTTTGGAGTGTCCGAGCAGAAGACGTGCACACAGGCTGACGGCAGCTCTGCTTCCCTCAGCGAGCAGGAGCCCAAGTTGGAGGAACAGCATCCAGAAGTTGCCTGCTGTGTATGAGACATATCTGTGTTGCCAAACACTGCAGTATTGATCCATTGCCAGAAAAGTATCTGAAAAAAGCAGCCTGGCCAGAGACAAGTCTGAGGCAGGGGAGCTCACTCGGCGAAGAAATGCAAGTTGAAGCTTCTCTTCGGCAGCTCCGTCCGGGAAGCCAGTCTGTTTCTGTGCAGCGCAAGGGTGTGGGCTTAAGGGGAATTGGATTTTGATGGTTTCTTGCGTCCACGATGCAGCATTTCATCCATTGTCAGATCAGATCGATACAAGAGGTGCCGGTCACAAGTGCAATCTTTCGCCTCTCACAAGTTATGTGGGCCTTCAGCTGATGGGCTCAAGTTGCGGAGATTGGCGGAGATCTGGGGTTTGCCGGTCCAAGGCGATCCTTGGCGAAATATCACTTGCCTGTATTGATCAAAGTCACAGACAACCGAAGTTGTTCAATGTTGTTGCGCTAAGTGTTGCACACTAAGGTGATTCAGCCATGATGCGAATCCCAGCAGTGGCAGCTGCGCGGGCGCTCTGCAGGAAGGGAGCAGGCTATGTCTGCAGAACGGTCCATTGTTTGCAGCTGGGATCGAGGATTCCACAGGCAATAGCGCTGACACCTCATGTGCGGGCCTGCCCCTCGGTAGTTTGCAAAGCTTGCGGGCAATTCGTGCAGATCAGCGGATCATGCTTTTGATTCGGCTCGAGATGATCAAGGCTGGCATGGCTGGGCGACGGAGTCCACGGGGTCTGCGGCCTGCTGGTTGTCGCATGTTTGGCGGAGTTCAACGAGAATCCATGGAGATCGCACCTTAGTTGGCCCTTCAAAACACCAAGGCGTGAGACTGCAAATTCATGCCTTGCCGCACGGGCCCTGCCGACATCCGACCCCCGAAGTCGGAGAGCCCCAAGGATGCGCCATGCCATTGGCATCATACAATCAGTCGCCTAGAGCACAGCTTTACCCCGCGGCAGCAGGATGAATGGGTGGGTGGGTTGGGGGTGGTTGGGTGCCTGGACCCCACTCCCCTGCCAGCAACGATGTGTCGATGATGTTCAAGGGCGAGCGCGTGGCAGGCTCTTTGCAGACCCAGGCCCCTTTCCGGTTTCCGGTATTCTCCCTCTAACAGATGTTGTTTTTTTGTTAAAGTGCAGGGCGATGATGTTCGCCCTGGTCGTTTAAAGATTTCCGTGGCAGCGGCCCCACAAATCGTGCTGCACTGTGATTTCGGATGTTTCTGGTGTTTAGGCCGGCCGGGGGCTGGGGGGAGTGCAGGTATGCGCAGGTCAAGCGTGCGGAAAATTTCCTGTGCTTCCGAAACCCTGTGGATGATGCTCTGTCAAGTCGCGAGAAGAAGCATATACCGTGACCTGATACTCTGCAAAACGACACGGGCGACTCCAGTTCGGAAATGGTCCACGCAGGAAAGTACTCCGCCGAAACTCTCCAGCGAAGACTCCTTTTCCGCTCCTCTTCACCAAGATTAGTACCGAAACCTGATAGTCGACCACGTACACATCCGCGTGCCATGTTACACGGATCACAGTCATCCGACAGACGCACAAGTCCCAGGAAGATAACCCTTCTCAATGCAGCCCTGCTGACGCCCGGAAAACAGCATCTCCAGCCTACACCCAGTGACTATCCAGAGCCATGTGGGTCTCGGTCCGCAGGGTCCAATGTTCAAGAGGCGAGGCTGCTTTAAATGTTCAAGGGGCCTGAAGTATCGAGCATTGGACATATTCTTCAACGCCAAGCAGGAATGATCCCTCTTTCTCTCTCTTTCTCTCTCTTTCTCTCTCTTTCTCTCTCTTTCTCTCTCTTTCTCTCTCTTTCTCTCTCTTTCTCTCTCTTTCTCTCTCTTTCTCTCTCTTTCTCTCTCTTTCTCTCTCTTTCTCTCGACACACGTAGAGTTGGTCACGACGCTTCTCACGATGAATGTGTCGATTTGCGCAGCCATGCGCCAAGGTTCGATGTTCTGATCGTAGGAGGCGGCATTGGTTGTGCGTTCGCCAATGTGATCTCACTGAGTGAGTCTTTTTGGTTGCTGTTGCTGTCGATGCTATTGTGTTGCTTTTGCTGCATGTGCACTTTCCAGGCGGTCCTGCAGGGTTGGCAGCTGCCATCCGGGCAAAGCAGGTGGCGCAGGCCTCTGGACAAGAACTCAGTGCCGGGATCCCGGCAAAGCTTCGTGTGTTGCAATGGAGCAGCAGCACTCGCATGCTTAAAGCATGACCCTGTAGCGCCAGGTCTGTGTGGTCGAGAAGGGCCCAAGCCTTGAAGTACGTCGAGCGAAGTGGGGAGGTCCTCAACATTTCCCGTCTTGGTATCGGCCTGCTGAGGTGCCGAGGTTGGCGCACATATTCTGTCTGGCAATGTCTTTGAGCCCAGGGCGCTGGAGGCAGAGTCTGGCAGGCTGCTTTGATTGGCAGCGTTTCATGCTCATTTCTCATGTTCGAGAGGAGCTCTTCCCAGACTGGGAAGCTCGTGGTGCCCCCTTGGACACGCCGGTGACCAGTGACTCTTTCTATTGGTAGCTTGACGGCAAGCCGACAGAACCTTTTTTACCTTCAACGCCGACCTTGCCAGGCTGCCCAACGGGAAGCATGCAGTTCCACTTCCAGGTCCGCTCTTGCACATTGCCCCAGAGATGCGGCAGAAGGTGCTCACACCGAATCAGAAGGGTTAGCAGATCACAAGCATTCGAGTAAGCATTGATTGAGTGGTGTTTCGTGGCCTCAGGGCAACTACGTGATCTCCTTGGGTCAACTATGCCGGTGGCTGTCCGAGCAGGCGGAGGAACTGGGCGTCGAGATTTACGCAGGCGACAATGTCCTGGTAGCCCCGAGTTGATTTCCAAGATGTTGCAAAACTGTTTCGGGGGGACCCCAAGGCACAGTCAACGGAGTCCACGGCTCTCATCTTCCGTTCTTGGTCCAGTCATGTTCAAGTAGTGCAGAAAGATCTAAACGAATGGTTTGCCGCTGCTGATCATCACTTCCTCACCTTTGCATGAACGGTGCTGTCCGTCCGGAACCTTCTTTCTCGCGACGCATATGCTGTCCAGCGTTGCTCGTGATTTCTTTATCGAAGGTCGATGCCCAAGTGATTGCAGAAACAGCCGGTAAGCTTGCTCCCGATCACCATCGACCCATGTGAAGTAACGTTAGCCGCTTGTATGTGCTCGCCGTCGGACTAGTGAATCAGCAAGCTAGTCCTTATCGCTCTTGCCACACAACCGTGCAGGCAAGGGAGCTAGTTGTTTCCCGTGCCATTGAAGGGTTCAGGAACTAAAGACTCTATGCGGTTCCCGCCTGCCTGCTGATGTTGATGGGCACTACGTGTTCGGCTTTTGCAGAAGATTGGGCTCCGCTGCCCTGCTGCTCCGTGTCATGAGCTCTGCCCCCCACTCCGCTCTAATGCTCTGTTTCGCCGCTTCGCTGCTGTGCTCGGGGTAGGAGGGCTTTTGGGGGTATCTTGGATGCTTTACACCTCAGCTTCGCACTCCCTCATCGGGAATTGATCTCGAAAGATGTTATTCTCGGAACGCTGCATAAGTGTAGTTCTCGTGTAGCCATGAACATCAAAGTGTATTTGCCACATTCAGCAGATGTAGGTGAGTTGCTTCACCTGTTCCGGGTGCCCAGAAGATGAGGTTTCAGGCCTTTATTTAACGCAGCAGGTCTAGACACTTGCCCTTGTGTCGGCGCACGTTTGACTTTCTGGTGTTCATTCGCATCCAGTGCATTGGGGAAGTTTGATCCTGTCTTTGTTCACACCTTTACAATGGCTAGAAGCTATTCTTGATGTGAACAGGATCATACACAGGCTTTCCAGCTGCAGGTTGCGCATCAACTGGTGTTCCGATTGGTTGCGATGACTCCTGTCAACCGGCCACTCGACGCGTCAAAACTGCCCTGCGCCAGCTTCGGTGCCAGCTTCCGTACCAGTTTCTGTATCCTCATACCATCCTTCACGCATCTTCGCACGAGATTTTAAATTTATCGGCCACTTTCACACCAGCTTTCTCAATCAATGCCCTTGGAAATGCTGACTATTTTCAACATGCCTTAGGGTCACCCGGGCCCACCCGGTTTTTGTCCATGGCAGGTTTTGCGGCTGATGCTCCTGTTTTTGTCGATGGGGCCCTCGCTGGCGTGCAGCTTCGGGATGTCGGCATTGGCAAGGATGGCAAGGAAAAAGACACGTTTGAAGCAGGCCGATGTCCTCTCGTGCTTCTGAGTGTCCAATTGAAGGGGCCGTCTTAGTCCTCGAAGCTGCAAGGTATGCATCTGCTCGGCAAGCAGACCATTCTTGCTGAAGGCCATGCCAGTATCATTGATTGTTTGCAGTCTTTGCACTTCAATACTCCACAGGATCTTCTCCGGGGTAAACATCCGGCTGAATCAAAGCTGAGGCTGTCGCGGATCCCTGAGCGAGTTGCTAATGAAGCACTACGGCCTCAGGGAAGGCTCCGCCTCCGTTTCGCAGCTTTGCATCCCCTTTTTTCCAGACCCACCCCACTGTCCCACAGGGTCCGTGTCCGAGCGCTGTGTGCTCTTAGAATCAGGCGTATCTCCGCAGCATTATGGCCTGGGCGTCAAGGAGGCGCCGTGCCCATGTGTTCTCCGTTTCGTTCCTGATGCCGTCACTGACTAGGTTTGGGAGATCCTTCCTGAGAACCACCGTGCAGGGACGGTGACACACACAGTGGGCTGGCCATTGGACATGTGGAGCTACGGCGGCTCCTTCATCTATCACATGAAGCCAAATCTTTTGCACATAGGCTGGACCTCCCCCACATGCTTTCTGCTGTTTTGGAAGCCGTGGTTGAAGAGGCATGGTGGTTGGCCTGGACTATTCCAATCCATATATGAGCCTTGTACTAAATATGCGACTCGCCCTGGGGTTGCTTTGACCTCTGAAACCTTCTTCTCATCTACTTCTGCTGGTGCCAAGGAGCCCCTACCAAGAATTCCAGCGGTTCAAGCAGCATCCTCGCGTGAAGGCACTGCTGGAGGCATCGTTGCGAGATTTAGGCATCGTTGCAAGATTCGGCTCAATTTGCATGCCATCAAATCGGATTCATGGTTTTCGTGGCTAAGGGAGGCACTTGCATCTCCTATGGTGCACGGTGTCTTAATGAGGGCGGAGTTCAAGCTGTGCCGAAGCTCACCTTTCCTGGAGGAATGCTAACAGGAATCTTGGACACAAGTCTAGACTTGGTCCACGCTGGACTTGGTTCTGTGTTGTGAGAAGACACACGAAGATGTGCGCATTGCTGAGCGAAACCAGCAAGCGTAAGGCTGCAGTGCTGGCTTCTTGAATGTGCCCAAGATTAAGGGCAGCCACACAGCCATGAAGAGCCTTGGTTGCCTTGGTTGGCACAATGCAAGTCAATCCGGCATCTTCAAGTAGTCCCTGTCAGCTGCCGGAAAGTGTGCCAGGACTGGCATGCTGGCAGGAGCGGCCGCCGCTGAAGCAGTGCTGGAAGGAGGTGCCGGCCAAGAAGCACCTCAACTGGACATAGCTGTGCTGAGTAAACATTTATGAGCTGAAAGAATGCTTCCGGCGCTTCATCAGCCATCACTTGACACGAACGAGGTGAAGAAGTATGAGGCCGACGTCCGCTCATCGTGGGTCTGGGATGAGCTGACGCGCGTTCGAAACTTCAAGCCCGTGACTGGCCAAGCACTGATTCGTGTTTACTTGCTGCGACGACTGCTCCCTGACCCTTACGTGGAGTATGTTGGAGTGGCGTGCAGAGCGTGAAAATGCAAGGCCTGGCATGCGGGCATGTGGCCCGGCCTTAGCTACGGCGGCCTCACCTTGATGCTGAGCCGGGGCAAGGCCACCCGCTGGCCGCAGTATTGTTGCTGGATGTTGCGGGTGCCAGCAGATTGCTTCTGTGTTCTGGAGGAGCCTTGGACGTTCCGTTGGTCAAAGAAAGACAGTGACTTGGATCAACATTCTGTTTCATGCCTCGGATTGAAGCTTGCCACTCTTTGCATGACATGCTTTCACGACCTCGCTTCCAGCCGCTTCTTGCGCACTCGCTGTCTTGTGCACAGCGTGGTCTTGGGGCCGGGTTTCGATCAAACTTCCTTGGACAGTCCTGAGGCGAGTACACAAAGCCAGCAGCGGCTCCTTGTCTGTGAGGGTGTTGATACATGTGACAACGACAACGCTCACGGCCAAGGACTGCAGCAAGATAGAATATCCAAAGCCTGACGGCATCGTTTCCTTCGATTTGCTGGAGAACTTGGCTCGCAGTGGGCTACTCAGAACGTAAAACGAGTGGTTGGGGTCTTCCTGATCATCAATGGCAGTATTGGTGTTGGCACTGGACGCATGCTCCTCACGCTGTACAAAGCCGGGCTCTCTATGTTCCTTCATTTGCTTTGCCTCCGGCTTCTGTGAGGTGGAGTGAACCACGAACACGACCAGCCTGCACATCTGAAGGTGAAAGATGAGTCTCAGCGTCTGGACTTTTCACAGAAGAGGGATCAACTCTTGCGTTCCTTGCGTTCCTTTTTTCGAGAAAGGCCCCCTACTTGGCCCTACTTCCTTGTGCTGAGGCGAGTGCCGCTTGAGGTGTCGCTGCCTCTCTACGATGGCCCCGAGGGGCGCTTCTGCCCCGCAAAAGTTTATGAGCAGCTTGGGGTGGAGTGAGTGCAATTCTTTGCTTTTTGCCTTCCGCTCTTTCTGAATTGGAAAAAAAGATTGCCAGTTGAAATTAAGCATGCCACAAAGAACAAGAGTGAAAGATGCTCTCTGCTCAGGTATGTGCCAGACGAAGAGGCAAGCGACGGGAAGATGAAGCTGCAGATCAATGCGCAGAACTGCGTCCATTGCAAGTGCTGCTCTATCAAGACGCCTGAGGAGCCCCCACATCTTTGCGTCTTGCAACCTTGCATTCAACTCGATACCCAAAACGCAGCTAGCATCCGCAGGTCAGGACAGGACCTTTAGTTTCTACCATTCCCTATCAGCAGCTGCAAGGAGGTCAATGACACAATCATAGGCATCAGTCTTGTTGCTTCAATGGTGCATGGACTTCTAGGTTTCAGCTGGATAGAAACTCTTTTCTGAAAGGTTCCATCTGTTGTCAAAGCCCAAAGCCCTGTAGGCCTTTCTGAAAGCTGCGAACACATGGCTTCGACAGGAGTTCATCAACTGGACAGTCCCAGAAGGTGGAGGTGGTCCCCAGTATGCTGCCATGTGACCATGAGCGCTCATCTGAGCCGTGTGAGACCCAAGAACGCTTCTCGAAGCTGTACATACAAGCTCATGCGCCACTAGCAGGGAATCGGCCAGGAGCAAAAGCTCTTACCGCGGAAAGCTCGAAGCAGCGCGCGTTGATCTTCTCTGCTATGTGTGAGCTGAGCTGCGAGGATTAGTGCCACTGTCAATCAGCAGGGGCATGTCTTCGTGCTCTAGGCCTTCGGAGGTGTTTGAAAGAGGGAATGTCTAGCACTCTAGCACCGCATCAGTGGAAGCATGTCGTCCAAGTCTGAGGCTGCAAAAATTCTTCCCACTAGGTGGTTTGCACAAGTCAGCACTAAAATTTGCTTTAGGACTTTAGGTAGCAGCTTTAGGTAGCAGCCGATACAGATTGTGACAATAGGCCAACCAAAGTCTTTCGCAATGTGCAGACTGGACACATGCTTTCCTTGATGCATTCATGGTCGTTTGGACCAGGTAGTTGGATTTATTCTGTGCTGGAGGAGGTGAACCATGTCCTTTGAGCGAAAACATCATCACCTTCATCAGCCATGTGTACTCTTGGCGTAGATTGCGCGGGCAGAGACATCAGAAACGGCCAAGCCGCTGCTTTGACCAGTTTGATTCTGTAGAAGTGCTGCTGGTGGTACTGTTTGCCCAGATGTGTCTGTTGGACTAGCTGATGATGCTCAGCCGAGGTGAGCTGTACCTTAGCCTTCCAGGTGGCCTGGGAGTTGTCGTGGACAGGGAGAAGGAGGCACACCTGATCTGCTAATTTCAGCACTGAAGGCAGGCATACTGAAGCAACACTTCTTCCAGAAGGCATAAGGTGCAAAGGTGACCAAAGGTGCAGGATACATGTTGCCATGTTTTGCATATCCCCGCCTTCGAAAGCTGATGCAGGCGTATGCCGATGGGCTGAGGCGCCAGGAGTTACAGGCCGCTCGGGCGTCTTGGCTTCGACCAATGTGCCTCGTAACTAATAGCAGAGGGTTCATTTCGGGCAAAAGTATCGTCTGGAATCTAGTCTGCTTGGATGTGTCCTGGTTGACTCAGGACCCACGTCGCAAGCCCAGCTTGTTGCAGAGAGCAGGAGGAGACACCACGAGCTTTCCTGCAACCTTCAGCACAACTGGCGCAGTTCTGCGACATGTCGCAACGTGCATTTGGCTCGCCATCGTTGTCGTCGGCTGCAAATGCTGCACATGCTGTGGCCAGGTTGGTTGTATGAGAGACCGCAGTGCTTGGACTATGTTCATCATCAGGCCGTCCTGGGGTTCTTGAGGTCCTTGGCTCCTCAGAACATCGAACCGAGTCAGCGCATGTCAGCGCGAGAGAGCTCGAGTGAGTAATTCTGCGCTTGCGGCAGGGCACATGTGGCGCGTGCTACATGTTTGCGGCTTTAGACTCGTTGTCTGACCGGCACTGCATCGACTCGACGAACGCAGCGCGCTCTGAAATGGGGTCCGTGCCATCACGGTATCCTGACAGCTATGCTCTACTCTGAGTTGAGGCCTCACGCCTGGGCAAGGTGGATCACCTGTCCGTACAGATGGCACTACTTTGCGAGCCATTAGGCGGGCAGTTCTAGATTCTTTCCATGAATATCAGCTAATGCGGGCCCAACTTGCACTATCAGGCCGTCAATGTGCAGGCGGCTGGGCGGACGTCGGTTTCAACTACTCCGTGTACGCCCCGCAACGACGGACCATTTGTCCTGCTGCATTGTACTGCCGAAAGCATCCAGGTACTTCGGTCTGCACACGGCCACCAAATGGCCGTATGAGAGAAGTTGCCTCTCAGACTCTGAATGCCAGTTCGGAAAGCAGTGCGATAGCCTCAGAGGCATTCTCAAGAAAGCCTGTGGGAGGTCCGGTCCATGTAGGTTGCTTGGAGAAAACTCAGGTTTCTCGCCCTCGAGCTACGGGTGCCCCAGCTTCTTCTCGCAGGACCGTCTCGTGCCCAGGCTTGCTTGCTGGATATCTCTTGTTTGCTGGATGGAGGAAGAGCTGGATGAGATTTCTACATTCAGCGATGCTTTGCGAGCCTGCTGCCCAGCATTGCCCATGGCAACTTCAAGTCTTGCTTCTTCTAACCAGGACCGCTTTCCGGCTTGGCTCATGATACACGTTCTCTCTGCAAGGTAACGAAACGCAAATGCGAGACATCGCACATAGAAGATCCGGACAACTGCAAGGTGCCTTGATGAAGACTAGGCCTATCAGCTCATTGACATCTTACCACATCTGTCTGTGATCTGTCTGGACGCACTTTTTCCTGGACCTTGTACGCGGTACAAGCCTAAGGTGTGGGCGGAGACCATGTTTGCCATGTCACCAACCATGGTCTTCATGCCGGCTACGGCCTTGGTTGTCCATTGTTTAAAGCAAGCAGCTGTTTCAGTTGTCGACCTTTTTGCAATATCCCAAGCTTTTCATCAAACCTTGCCCCTAGCACCACACAGACTGAAACTGAGCACTCTTTGTTGCTTTTTCGTTGACAGTTGCAGCTTAAGAGGTAAGCGCGCAAGCGCTGATGTGAGCGTTGCCGCTGGAGACGAAGAAATCCCAGTGCTCGGGGTGGCAAATAGATCTTGAAAAGAAAAGTAGCTGAAAAACGTACGTGGTTATCCACTTATTCAATAAGAAAGGTGCCAAGCAGCGAATCAGCAGCTCAATCAGCAGGTTCTACCAACTGTTCTGTTGTTTGTCTGACGTACATTCAAAAGAGATGTTGCCGAGGAAAGTTGCTTTTGTGCCGAGCTGGTCGCTGACTGGGCTACGTCTTGCGCTGGGAAGACATGTTGTCGTGTGTGATGGGACAGCTGCGTGTGGAAGGCCAGTGCAGCATCATTCTTAAACTGCTTAGGTTCGGCGCCAAACCGGTGCCCTGCCACTCTAGCCCTGGAGCTCAGTGCAAGCGCAGAGCTTCAGCATGTGATTTAGCCTGGTTTGCGAGAAAGTGCAGAACTGTTGGGATGTCATCGGTGACTCGGGCACGGGATGTTCCGCCAGAAGACCTTGCGGACTTTGCCGGTACTGATTGCGATAGCTGTGCTGACAGTTCTTTCAGCACAGGCGGTGGTGACGGCAGCGGCATCCCAACGATTCTTCTCGAGGTGCTTGTCACGCACGCCCTGACAGGAACCAAGCTTCTCAACTGAAGGGAGTGACATTTTTGTGCAGGCCAAGACTAGTCATCGTGATGAAGATGAAGATGAAGACAATGGGTTTTCCCGCCACCGTTCTTGGATTCCTTGTGATTGCAACCAGTCGTGATCGCACCGAGTGCCACATGAAGCATTGCAGGTTTAACTTCTTTGAGTGGCTGGCAAGCCTGTTCTTTGGAAGCTCTCAGGCTGCTCAATCATCGCTTTACAGTGGAGTTAATGCAGCTCTGCCCACGCCCTGAATCTGGGAAGGAACAGACGAGTCAGGACAGGGTTCGTGAGGAGTGGCATGGATTTGCTCAGCAGACGGGTGACGCATGTCAAGATCGTGACCAGGAGAGCAGCACCACTTGGAATGCTAACATCCCAGGCGGCTCATGGAGCTCTGGATCGAAGTCGGCCGCCACCTCAACAGGGCACGACTAGAGCCATCTGCAGCCATCTAAAAGTCTTTGTGTAGCGCTTTTGCCGCTACGGCAATGACTTCTCAGCATTGCTACAACCCAGAGCATGCGAAGACATGCTAAGGTTTCTTCGGTCACTTTGACTACCACGACTGTGGAGCCGAGGGTTTAGTCTTGAACGTGAAGAACGTATTGAGCAGGTCGTGACTGGTCGTTTGTGCGCAAATGGAATCAACTGGACAGTGCCTTTTGAGAGTTCGTCAAGATTTTCGTGAGGTTGCTCGTGAGCTGTTCAAGTGTGAGGAGCAATGCAGCAGGGACCGTTGCCTACTAGAGCCGAAGCCGCACAAGGCCACAAGGCACGCGGACTTCGACACGAGTGCTCAGCCGAGTTAAGCCGAATGCCTTCTCTGCACAGGTACCACTACATTGTCAATCAGAAGGCCTGGCAATTCCTGGTATGTTCTGGATGCATGAGATGCGCGAGGCTCCTGCTGAGATACTTGCAGCACGACTTGTTGAGAGCCTGTGAGAGCTTGCCAAGCATGAAGCATTGTGATGCTCATGGTAACTCACAGGATGTCTTCAAGATGGAGATCTACAATGACGGCCCGTTCTACACAAGTTACTACATCTACGAGGTTTGCACGGGACGAACTTTCATACAGTTCTCCCACGTTGGCATCCACATGGCCGTTGAATGCCTGCCTCGGGAGAGATTTGATTCACAGTTTTTTGGACTGGAAGCAGCTGCGAGGATTTTACGTGGTTCTTCCAGTTGCAGCCTTAGGTCCTCCGGTGTCAGGTCTGTCGCCTGCAGCCCTGTCTTCGCTCCAAGCATCATACCAGAATCACACGTTTTGCCGACAGTCTTTTTATCCCTGTTGAGTACAATGTCCCAGGTTCTGGCCTGAAGATGGCTACAATTATCAGTGGGGTGCCATGCAGGTCCAGAACTTGTGTAGGCTGTGTAGGTGTTCATGCTCGCGTCTTCATGCGCTTTCGAGCTGGAGCATGAATGTGCCTTGGCGGCCTTTTTCGGAGCCTTTGGCTGCATTCTGTCAGGGTGGGCATGCCGTTGTCCTCATCGGCTGGGAAAGCTGCCAGTATCACGGGGACTGCTCAGAAGCTATGTCTGCACTTGTTGTGCAACTTTGCATCCGTCCGCCATGTTCTAAGATCTATACTCAAAAGCAGCAGCCTCTTAAACGTGCCAAGCTGAAGCACCCTCCTGGTGCACTCCTGAATTTGAGCTAGCGTCCGCGCCAAGAGGGAAACTTTCAATTGCAGAGGTAGATACCGACCCCTTTTGCTAGTAGCCGTGTGTGACATGGACAGAGGTTCCTACTGGAGGTACGAGCGACTCAACATCAAGTGATTCTAAATATCGTGCTCTGCTGAGCGGAGAGGTTTCCTTTCAGTGTGCAGTTCCATGGCTTGAAAGTGTTTATTGCACATTGCCCTCCTCTTAAAGACTTCATGCTGATTCTAAGCCGAACACGACTCCAAATTGTTCTTGCCCCTTCTCAAAATCAGGGACAGAATCCAGGCAACGCGTAGGAAGGCAAGATCGGGACACATGACAGAACTGCCAAGACATTATGAAACACGCTGGGGCCACATCCCTGGCAGAAAAATCCAAGGAGCAAGTGTGGTGTATATCTCTACATCAAGAGCACTGCGCTGATGCGCGCGTCAGCAGCCAGCGTGCGCGGCGATGACAAAACACATGTTGTTTTCCGGTTTACGACCCTTTGTTGGCACGTTGGTTATGTTCAGCAGAGTGCCAGGAAACGGTTTCTCGTTTCATGCGGCTCTTTGTAGTGATCAGCTTCGATCAGCTGTGGTGCAAAGCAGCCAGGACAAGATCGCCATTCCAGGAGATACAGACCCGGTGCCGTGTTGGGCTTTGAGCAACAGTGCAACACACACGCATAGCATAAACATCGGGAGACACAGCAAAACAGGGATTGATGCATGCCGAGGCAAAACAGTGGTTCCAGCAACCGCCAGAAAAGCACTGGCGAGCTTGTGGCTTACACCCGAATGGCAAATGCATGACATTGTGATCAAGACCTGGCGCAAGAAACCACCAGCTGCTAGGACATTATTGGCTTCTTCTCATTGCTCATCGTTGCGTTGCTCATCGTTGCTAGTTGGCTGTCAAGGTGTTGGCACCTGCGGAATACCTGGGGCGACGAGTGGGGTGACAAGGGGCGCTGACAGCCAGTTTGCTTCCTTGCTGTTCATTGGTCCTGTGGCCTGCTGTCAGCATGCTGACTCATGTCTCTGTTTGGATACGAGGAGGATGAAGATAACAGAGTTAAAGTCTTGCAGAGCTGGGCAAGAAAAGCCAGGTACTTCCGCATGTTAGATGACATGCTGACCGGCCTGCTACTTGGAAAGCGTAAACGCGACAAGAGCCTAGGCGACCATTCAATGTATTTCAACAGGTCCACCTGGCTATCACCTCCACATTGCTTCCGCTGCAGCAGATGGGCCGAAAAGTGTGGTGCGGGTCTTAGTTTGCCGTGATACCGTGATACTGTCTTTGCATGGCGTCTCATGTGGGTGTGGCGTGTTGTCGGGGGCAAAGTGCATTTGCTGCCCCCTTCGTGTTGTCGATGTGTCAGTTAAGACGCTCATGTTGCAGCTGGGAGCTGAGGAAACTGTGATTTGAGCGCCCGAGCACTGAAAGGTAATGTCGTGAGCATGCTGTTGCGTCGCGTTTTTTGCAATAGGTTGGGCCTGTTCCTTCGGCTCGTGCCAGCAAGGTCGGCATGCCAAGAGAGCAGCCAACCGCGAAGACGGAAATCCTACGACGCACTTAGGTGCTTAAATGCGACAAGAGCGTTGACGTGCAAGGAGCCTTCGATGATGCAAGACAATCGTCACGGGAATGTCAATATGGTTTCTTTCAAGCATACGGAGGTGATTCGGTGAGTCGGTGAATCGGGTGCTCCTTGTGTGGTAGTTGTCGAGACCATCGACGACTAGCCGCTGTTGGCTGCGAGAAAATTCCCGTTGCACGTTGTTGCGACAGACGACATCTGAAGATTCCTATTAATTTTTCATTTCACTGCTTGATTTGAAATAGTAGATCTCCGGGACCTCACAGAAGTCAGCTCTGACATGGGCATATCAGGAGGGCATCCAGGCCGGACACTGCATGATAGTGTGTAACTCTGTAACTCATCTATCCCGCAGCATCGGACTGCAATGCGCGACATGAGATTCGGCCTCGCGGCCAGGTTTTTGAAACAGGAGCAACTGCAAAAGTAGATGCACAAGAGGCTTTTTTGAAGTGAAATCAACACTCGGGTTGTAGTATTCCCAAACTGTAGCAAAGCGGAGAGGTGGCACTTCTCAGAGAGGACGGATACAATTGAAGCAGCAGCAGTCCCTCATAATTTCAAAAATACCCCCAGCACAGGAGGCCTAGGCTCCCTTATCATCCGTGCGAACATGTGCCAAACCAATGAGGTCTTGAAGCGTTCCAGTGGGACGTGGCGGGACTGGCTAAAGCTGACCTGTAGGCGTGGCTGCTAGAAGCCTGTCGCCCGTGGCAGTCTTGCTCAAGGGTATCAACTGCCGTTACTCATAGACGCACACAGTCTCGTTTCCCGTTCATTTGCGACGTTTCGATGAGCACTGAACAGCCAAGGCACTTAAATCCACAAAGAAATTTCACCGATCCGACAGTAGCGCTCGTTTCCCTAGTGAGGGAGCCAGGCCTCGCCTGCCATGCGATAGCGCAAGCTCGTTGCATGCACTAACCGATACTGTCCATCTTGAACATGGCATCTTGTCTTGGCCTGAATGTTTCGTGCTGGCAGGGATCTCGACATCATGGATAGCCCGCCGCCCCAAAGACAGGCCGCCATGATTGTACGAGTGATGGGCTGTTACTGCATAGTGAAGCGGCATCTGCTGATATGGGTGCCCTTTTGTGTCGAGTTGTGTCAGGAGCTCAGTTGTGTCTCGTGTTGTTCCGTTACGTCCTCGGTTTCAATTCGCCTCTGCCACTCAGTGGTGGCTTTTTTCCGAGGGAACTAGCTTCGTTCGAGATGCTCTCATGTTGAAACTCATTTGGTTTTTAATCGCCAGAAAGGTTGTGAAAGCATGCCCCCGTCATCGCTCTGCCTGATGTGTTCCCAGACCCCCTGCTTCTACTGCATCTATCTAGGCCTTCAGCACACTCAACATTGCACGCTCGGAGAGATTCTTGGCATGGTCCGCATCGTCTTTACCGGGTCGTGGAACCTGAGTCGACCGCCGCTGCACTGCACTCCAAGGGGGGCTCGCTGCAGAACGCTGCAGAACGCTCCTCAGAAGCTGTCTGTAGCACTGGGGACCGCAAGCGGACGAAACCACCGCCTGGAGTGTGCCCTGTAAACCCGAAGTGAAGAGCGTCACCGTCACCACAGCGTCAACATAATCACAGAATCGATATTTTTGGCATCTCCATCAGCAACCTTTGTTGAGTGCATTCGATCGCGAACTGTTGCATAAAAACCGGCGGAAAGAGATGTGCATGTGGGCAGGCTGGCTTTGTGCCTCCACCAGGCTTGGGCTCGCCGATGAAGGTGGCCCGGCCGCGGCACATGTCTTGTTTTTTCAATCGCCGCATGCCGCTTTCATTTTTGTGGGTCTGAGGGCATGAAATCCTCCACATTGTCTACTTGTACCTGCTTTGGTGAACATTGGCCCGGATCTAGAAGGTGTTCATGTGCTTGCAGGTCATGCAGTGCAGCCATTAAGCTGTGACCGGTTCCCGTCTCATTGTCACAACACTAAGTTCAAAGCCCCTGCCACTTTAAGAAGCTATCAGAGCTTTTGTCCAGCAGCTCGTTTTTAGTCTGCTCCCCGAATGCAGGAAACCCAGGCTCCTGTGCTTTCCCGGTTGAGCGCAGATCAAAACCCTTCAGTGGCGGCAAGCCAGACCTCGAAGCGCGTCAGCTGGCGCAAGCAACCGCGCACGGACAGGTCCCGTGTAAGCTCGAGCAAGCACTTGTTCCGGCATGTTTTGTGTTTGATTTTTTCGTCCTTGCACGCGTAGAGTACCTCTGCAGGACGTTGTGACCATGCGAAGTTGCATGATGAAGTTTCAAGTCTTGCTTGTCGGTGGGGGGGGGGGTATTGGGGGTCATTACGACCAGGCCAAGTTGTAGATTGAGGAAGTACTGTTTGACAAAGTATCCCAGAAGTATCCTACAACTTGCTGAAGATGTTTGCCGACAGACAAGCATGACAAAGCATCACAAAGCCCAAGCCTTACGGTCTTCCAGCCAAGGCGCAGGCGGAGGCCCCGCAGCGGCGAGCAGCCGAGGATCCCAATTTCCAGACGGAAGCGCTTGTCCCTGCTCTGATGTTTCTTGTTCCTGTTGTGTATTTTGGTCTCGTGGGTCACCATGTGGGCACGTGCGGGTGCAGGATGGGGTTGTTGTCTGCATGAACCTTGGCTTGCAGAGGACATGGCCGGTGCCAACGCGCCTGGGCGGGGTCTGAATCAGGCTAGGTCATAGTGCACCGACATGGGATCCTTTCAGCTGTTCGTCATGCGTAGGCGATGGCCGATTACGCCTTCCAATCCTGTGGCGGCAAAGGGGCGGCCCTGGACTTACGGGAGTTGGGAGTTGGGTGGTGTTGGCATCGGCAGGCTGCTGACCCTGATGCCCTGACCTACTGCAGGCTGGCTATGGAAACAGACAGATGCTTTGATCTCAGACATGAATGCACTACCTTTTGGTCGTTTCTTTCCTCAGTACAAGCCGCGGTAGTGTCTCGGTAGCAGGCATGAAGTCCCAGAGTCTCCTGGTCACTTCGAAACCGCACCATTCAAGTGCCGCACGATTCAAGCGCGATAAGGGGATGAGAGGCGAGTATGAGAGGAGTCGATCGAGCTGGGAGTGGCGACAGGTCTGTACCAGAGCACAGGCTGTGTGGTGTCGAAACCCAGCTGCTTGAAGTTTATAGAATAGTCAAAGAGGGCCTGGGGCGAGCTCGCTTTCAAGCGCTGCAATGTCAACACGGGTCCACCAAACAACGGCTGCAGTTCCAAAAGACCCGTCTGTTTGCACATTGTTTGCACTTGTCTGTGGGATCTTTGCTCCGCATGCCCGGAGTGCAATGGCATTGATGGTCTTGGCATGAAAGGCTCCCACCTCCGTGCTGTCCTTGCTATGTTGCGAAGCGTCCAAGTCGCCCACAGTCACGTCTGCTCCCTGCGGTGCCTGAAGGATGAGGCCTGAGACTTGCCACGTAGGAGGACCTATACTTTGGCATCGTACTTGGGCCAGGTGCAAGTATTCCAGCTTTTGGGCGCAAACAGTCTTCAGAGCCTTCAAGCTTCGAATCGTGCATGAATCTGCTTGGCCCATGTGACAACCTGCGCGCCCTCGGAGCCTTCGGTCTCTGTGAACAAGCTTGCATGTGCCCGAATCTATTCGTATGCCCGAATCTGTCCGCTCAGTAGATCGAGAGACCATGGCCTGTGATCGTTGCAAAGGCCCTTGGGCGCTTCGCGAGCACCAGGAGCCCACCTCGCTTGAAGCTGAGTGTCGTGCGGAATGCCATGGTCACGGACGCTGCAAGGGAGGTGCAGCGCTCTTTGCCCGAGGCGCCCCAGCCTGGCATGATGGCCGGCTCAGGACTGACAGGGTCACGACTGTCAAGCATGTGTTGCGTCGAAGATTCCTTGCAAAGCTTTTTCGCCACCTCTAGAGGAACAGGCAGTGCAGGCAGTGCTGTTATGGCATCTGCCTTGCATTCTTTGCAGATGTTCCAGGCCCAGTCGAGCCCTAAATCCCTCGCCTGTCGTGGGCAGCATTCGGCATCCGTATTCAGCTTTTTTTTCAAGACTCCTCTTGCAGCTTGCTAGCTCGGATGCGTTGATGGGTACTTTCTGCTAGGGGGCAGATGGATATGGTGCGGCCGGGGCCATAAACACAGCAGACGAGAGGTCTGGTCTGGGCTGTAAGGACATGTCAGGATACAGGTCTTGAAGACTCGCCGGAAAGAGCCGTCCCTGCTATAAGGCCGAAGAAGCCACTGAAAGGCAGTTCCATTCTAAGCCCGTGGCAATTGAGTGGGTGCACCTTTGCATGTAGACGAGGCGCGTGCGCAGTGTGCGCAGTGGCAAGTCAAGGCGAGCTGCGGCGGAGGCGTTGGCCGGTCTTCACACTGGTCCTCAGAGCAACCTACGAGCCCGGAGCCCACAGACCGCTGGAGTCAATTGCGCCGGCTTGGTGTGTGAGAATGTCTGGGAGCTAAGGCTGGTGACACTGATGTGCAGCAGCCTCGCTATTTGCACCTCTCGGGTGCAGGGGGTGAGCAGAGGGGCGCAGCAAAGGGCACAGCAAAGGGCGCAGCAAAGCCCTCGGACAAGCATCTGCCTGAACCATGCTATGCTTCCAAGCAATCTGGGAGTTGTGGGCTGTTTTGCGAACTCAGCGACATACCGTGACCCGCCACAAGCCACGAATGAGCTCTGGTCAACACTTACCCTGTCCCTACCTTCAGGCTGCCAGGGCCTCCGGGGCCTGTCCTGGGCTGCATTGGGCATACAGCTTGTAAGCTTTCCCACCCTTTTTGCTCTTCTAAATCAGCCGCACATACGTGTGAATCAGCGGGGCGCGACACAGATATGTAACAGAGGGGGCGGAACCCCGCGACATTCCGGAGTTTGAGCCACCGCCTTGTGTGATAGCACACATGTGTGCGTTGTGGCATTGGAATCGGGTGATCCACAGATTGATGTAAAGACGAAACGGCATCAACGGTGGCTTCAATAGCTTCACCGCCTTCGACGGCTTTGCATATGGGCATCACGTAGAGTAGTGTTCTGCATCCCTACAAATACGACGATTCAATCGCCATGTGTGAGGTGGTGCTCTTTGTGCCATATGCGCATCCCAGTGCACTTTTTTGTTGCAATTTGCCTGGGCAATCTCGTCGTTACATATGTTTTGCGTGCGCTCAGGCGGGCTGCAGCTACAAATGCAGCCATGGAAAATGCCAGGAGGCACGTAACTGGCATGTGAGTGTACCAAAAGAACACCATGTTCGTTGCAGCGTTGGGCATCCGAGGTTAAAAGATTCGCCCTTGGTGCAGGGTTTGCCTCAACGGAACGTGTGAGCCTCAGAGATCGCAATGCAGCCCCGAAAGCGGCACGTCTGTGTTGCGGATATCGTGTAACTCAGGCGAGCGCTCCGCAAGGCCCTTCGCAGAAATCACTGTTTTGCACAACCATAAATGTATCGCGGCAGCAGACATCTCAAGATAACAGAGGCTGTCCTTGAAAGCTGTTGACGCAGCCTTACCGACAGGTCAAGAAGAGGGGCGTGTCTTGGACGAAAACGAACGATGGGGCGAAGGGCTTCGTGGACCCGTTCTGTGAAGAAGTGCTGCATGTACATTAGAATGGAGTTCGGTGGGAGCATGGTCAAGAATCTAAGCTCGAAACACCACCTGAGCATGACAACCCCATGATGGAAGCTGAGGTTACACGGGAATTCTCAAGGCCCCTTGCAGAGTGAGACGAGCCGTTTCTTGTTGTTGCCACTGATGCATGGACAATCCCCGCATGGCTTTGAGAGGGGGCTCTATGTGTCGGCCCAGCATCTGTTGTGTGTTACCTCATCATTGATGCCATCTTGGCAGGTCTTCAGGCCTGAGCATGGTTGGGGTTTTATTGAGAACGCAGCAGCTCGGCCTTGGGGAGCATGTAGAGTGTGGATTCTTCATCAGCGCGCAGCGTCGACATAATCGTTCGATATCTACCAATGAAGCTTTGCATGTTTTCAAGGAGCATGCTTCTTCTGCAAATGCTCTTCTGCTGCGCATGGAAGTGTGCGTTGGTTTGTGTGCGCCCGCGCCGGCCTAAAACTAAGGAGCTGAAGGGCAAGTATGGCGAGCCCGGCTGATGTTTGAAGTTAGGTCTTCTGCATCTGTGTTGTCTATTGGCGCAAGGATGTTTGACGTCTCGTGCTTGCATTGTGTATCTGAGCTGCTGGCCCAGTATGTCCCAGGCAGTCAGATAGGTCCAGGTCGGTCAACATTTTTCATTGTGTGTAAGTCAGAGAGCTTGTAGTTCGGCAGTCGTGCCATCGAGCTGAACCAGCTCGGAAGTCTTGATCTATTGGAGGACCCTTCCAAATAGGTCGCACTCCTGGAACATGTTCGAAGGCTAAGGCTATAACTTTTGTTTTGCTTCCTGCAGCCCTTTTTCTGCTGATGGGGGACCCGTGCTGCGCCTTGAAGGCATGCTGTGTGCGGTCTCTTCCTCTTCCTATTTCCCGACCAGAAGCAGATTTGAAGTAATTGGAGTATGAGACTTGGTACTCCAGCTTCTGATAATTTCAGGGTGCCGGAAGTGAAATTCGTTCGAACCGGGCAGGTGGGACCGTGCAGCTGCGAGCTATATCCCATCTGGGGATTCTGCCGACCTCAATTCCAGGAGCGGCACCCCTCGCAATGCGAAGCGTGTGGCAGCTACTTGCAAGGTGTTCGCACGACTTCTCTCTGTGGCATTCTGAGTCACCTGCAATCCAATGCAGGAGGTCCATGATCTGGATGACGCCGAGGCAGGGATGTAAAGTGTAAAGCTCCGACGTGTTTTGGGGTCAAATGGCCGCCTTTTTGACTCGACCAGGCACCAGATGGGCAGGCAGACCCGTTGATGGCAACGATGTAGTGGGCTGACTTGTCTTTTCCACTTGAGCCAGGCTCAGTCATCGATGCTTCGATATCGGGCCAGGAGCAAGGCACAAGATTTTGCTTGAAGCGCGGCAAAGTCTCCACACCGTATACGCTTCGCTCAAGGACCCAGGCACCATCAAGCTCTGTGGCTTAACAGCTCCCAGGCAGATTTCTTTGTATCCCTGATTGGCAGCAGTGCTCTGGAGCCGATCCATCCAATTCATGATGTATTGTGCATGATTGCATCCCCGCAGGCTGATTCAGTCCTTCGTCTGGCGCGTGGCGAACATCTCTGTGGATGTCTTGGCGCTGTTGTATTGCCTCGATACATCCTTGGCGTGACATCAGCTCTCACCAGTACCGTATACCCTGTTTCCTCGAGGTAAATGCAGTGCAGCTGCGGCGAGTGGAGGCGCTCATCACCAGCCTGGTGCTGGTGGCCATAGGCAGGAGGGTTCGAGCGAGTCACGCTTGCTAGAATGATGGAACTTCACGGGGCTGTGTGTTGATGCGTATTGGCGAGCTTCCTGCAGGGGTTGTCCTTACGCTCATGACGCTGGTCGGCGGCCTCTCCCGTGGGGTGCTGCTGGAACGCTTCGGCTGGACAAGGGATTAAGGGCAGCAAACGTTTTGCACGATTGCAAGTACTGTTGCCAGCGGGACGCTCTTTCTCTCTTTCTCTCTTTCTCTCTTTCTCTCTTTCTCTCTTTCTCTCTTTCTCTCTTTCTCTCTTTCTCTCTTTCTCTCTTTCTCTCTTTCTCTCTTTCTCTCTTTCTCTCTTTCTCTCTTTCTCTCTTTATCTCTTTCTCTCTTTCTCTCTTTCTCTCTTTCTCTCTTTCTCTCTTTCTCTCTTTCTCTCTTTCTCTCTTTCTCTCTTTCTCTCTTTCTCTCTTTCTCTCTCTCTCTCTCAGCTGTCCACACGCAAATAGTTGGGTATCACACGGTCGGGTGGTCTTGCTTTCGTGCTTGACCGGTTGGGTGTGGGCGTGTCGTCGCCTGTGGAAGCTGGTACACCATTGGCCTCTTCCGGCCCTGAGTGCCATTCAGTCTGAAATTGGCGTCGTCTCGGTGATGCCCAGTCGAATGCCATATCAATGTTCCGCGGGCACCACTGGGTTCAGACTCAGGTGCGAATTTTGTTGTCTGTGTTGCAGGGGGAATCAGCCTGGACCCAAATGCACACATATATATATACATATATATAGGCATATGTATATGTATATGTATATGTATATGTATATGTATATGTATATGTATATGTATATGTATATGTATATGTATATGTATATGTATATGTATATGTATATGTATATGTATATGTATACATATATATATATATATATTTATCTTTATCTTTATCTTTATATTTACATTTATATTTATATTCATATATATATATATATATATATATATATATTTATATTTATGTGTGCACACCTGCATGTGTCCATATGTACGTGCACACACATTGCAATACATGTGCCTCCATGGAGGATCACGCTCGCCAATGGCCCAGAGTTCCGATACCTGGGCATGCGCTTCGCCTGCCTCTCCGAGGGCTCTTTGCGAAGCCCTGCATTTGCAGAGCGCTGGTCAGGCACGTTATGGCACGTTCATACGTCTGCAGGCTTTCCCACTCAGATTAAGGGGTTTCTGGGATGGGCCCCATACGCCATACGGGTTGCCACAAGGTGTGTTTCTTACTGTTGTAGATCGCGCTAAGTCCCTTGTCATCTTTGCAGGTAACCAGGACCGATGCATACCCCTGTCTCTTGGACGCAGTCTCTATTGCCGGCAGAGCATCAAGAGCTCTGAGCCGGGAGGAGGCAGTCTTAATCTTGAAGAGCACACAGACGAAATCTTGAGAGGTTTAGCACCACCACTAAGGAATGCACTGGACTGCCCCGTCGAGCCAGATTCGTTGAGCTGCCTGTCCTAAAAGTGGACTTGACATGATTCGAGAAATTGTTCGAGAAGTGCTTTGAAAGTAGTTGAACGTCTTGAAAATACCTCGCTGTGCAGAGAGCTGACATCCTGGGAGGCTCCGAGGGTACGGAGAGTGGGTATTCCTCCAAAAGTGGCTTCTTCTCGCAGTTGGAGCGGGTGCAGTGCAGTGCCTGCCGCAATGCCACGGCTGTCCTGCTGCTGCCGATCCTCATTACCATGGCACTTCGGCTGATATTTTCAGCAATGCCGTTTTTGCTCAAGGTTTTGGTGCGTGAGGGCATTTTTGCTCACCTTTGCTGCCGAGGCGACTTATGTGAAATTAATTCAAGGAACCACTGCACGATGCCTGGGTGCATTGGAGCAGGAATTGTGGGCGTGTATGCAGTGTTTCGATTCCGCTGCTCCAGCCTCTCATTGGCATTTCAGGACTCATGTGGCGCGATACTGCGATCAACAAGGTCCTGCTGGTGGTCTCTGGAATCATTGGAGGGATAGCGACGCCTGCCTACGCTCTTACCTGTCTTCAGACTGTAGTGGACAAAAGCCCAGATTTACCAGATTTCCTCAGATTTCTCTGAGTCCATCAAGGATCAAGTGCAGGGGTTCATTCCTCACGCTTGTTTCCAGAGACAAAGCCTTGCAAGACATAGGAAGACTGGCTAAGCAAGACGACGGTGTCTCGCAAGGAACTTGGGCTTGATGGCCATTTACCATGGAACATGCACCTGGACGCAGCGAGTATCAGTCAGTGGACACCTTGACGGGTCTGTAGCTGTTGTTCTCAGATCCCAGGGTGTTACAAAGAGTTATGGAAGTTTTGTAATTCTAATTGAAGGAACTGCTTGGTTCTGACGTGAATCATGCATGCTCCTGGCGACTTCCACGGTAGCCATTGTGAACTTTCTGAGAATCTCATCTCGCAGCGGCCGGGGGGGTGGGCTGTGCATCGCAACAGTGGAGTGGGAAGCCCAGCAGAGACCAGGCATCACTACTTTGCGCCGCGCGGAGCTTTTCCTTCAGCCGGAGTTGGGGCCAGGCCGACTGATTGTCATGGGAACCCACGCTGCAGGCTTCATACTGATTCATACTCCTGAGGGCCAACCTTGGGTCAGAGTTTGGCATAGTTTCTGAAGAGAGTGAGCAAGTTCCGGGCTGGGATCTTCGTTGCCTTCGCTGCTTTGCCAAAGCTTGTCGTGGGAGGCTTCGGCTGTCTGCTGCTGGCAACAGTCTGTAAGATGCGGCTTGGCTGGTGCTGGAAGGTTTCAGGAGAAGTTGTTTTTTTGTTTTGTCTCTTTGTACTTTTTATACTTGAGTTGTTGAATCATCAGCGTACTTGCCCACAGCACACGGCTCTGATTCTGCCTGGATGAGGCTGGCTGCTCTCCTGAACTTGTGCCTAGGAGTGCGTCAGGAACTGCCGCATGTGCCGCATGTTGACCTCTGAGTTCTGCAGAACCTTTCTGCAGAGGTCTCAGATGAGTTTCAATCCTTTAGCCACATTTAGCTGCAGCTTTGTGCATGTTTCGACACATCAACCTGCCATCGGCGCTTGTGCCGTTTTCGACAGGGTAGCACGACGTTGCGCACGGCCTCCACTAGACAATGCCTTGTGGAGTTGTTTTACTGCATGTAGCTCAATCCTTCGAGGTAGTTTCGTCACGAGAGCATTCAAAGCATTGCTATGCATCGACATGCAACAGTCGTTTCAGAAAGGCAGGGCAGACCATCGGACTATCTGCTCAGTTGGGGTTTGGACTTCAGTGATGGTCTTGATCTTGCGGATGGTGTCGATGGGTCACAGGTCCCTGAAGCCTGAACAGCCCTGAACCAAAAATCGAGATCGCTGCCTGGGGTATCTCTCGGGGCTTTGATCCCTGTCCCTGCCAGCCTCAAAAAGGGGGCAGAGCGCGCCAGGCTATGATGTTTTCCTCAACCAGGCTGTGGAGGGCGGAATCAAACTGGGCAGCCTTGGCCGGACTCCTGTGAGTGATGCGTCTTGTGGTGCATTTTCGACGCAGGGTCTCGAAATGTGTCGAGCGTAGGTGTGAGGATGGGTGTGGTGATGTGTGGTGGTCAGATAGGGAAATATTCGCAGAAATCTGTGCTGGAAGAAATCGACCAAGACCGCATCACCTTCGAACATCGGCATAGTGGGGCACAGTGGGGACAGCTTCCAGCATGTCAAGCTCAGCAGTAAGCTGAGCGCTGGAGGCAGCGGCTCTCTGGACCTCGCTAGACTGCAGTGCTCTGCAGTTTCTAGGTATACAGTCGGGTGCATCTCATGATCTCAACCCGGCCGCTGAGTTAGCTTCACTCTGGAGATCAGCAAGGATGGCAAGCCCCAGGTTCCTCTTGCGCGACTGTGACTCGTGTTTGTGGCGAACTGGTTCCACACATGCAGGGCACTTCTCTGTGTGGGGCTGTATCTGCAGGCACGCAATGCCAGGATGGAGGTGGGCTACATAAGGCTTCGTTCCGTGTGTTAGTTTCAGCTTCTTCTCAGCAACAGGCCGAGAAAGTGGACAAACGGCAAAACTCCAATCAAGGACGGGCCGAACCCTTCATCCTAAACCCATGAGTCCACCATTCCGATCCCCAAAGAGGTGCAAGACCTTTAAGAGGCCGACTGCAAGCTAGGAGGCTAGCAGCGCTTACCTCAAAACCAAGCCCCTTGAATCAACGCGTCGGCCTAAGCCCAAGGATCCCGAGCCTTAGCACTGAAGTGACCGCACCCCAGCTGCAAGCTGCAGCACCTGCTCAGGACCGCCGGCGAAGGATTTAGTCGGAAAGGCGCTCGTCTGGTTCCTGATGTGTGCAGAGGGCCCTGCTCTGCCCTGCTTGACCTGTTTGGACCCCGTTTACTATTGAGCATATTTTCAGCATTTCTTTTCAGCTGTTCCATCTCCGGTCAGGTGTTCCGGGGGCGGGTGAAGTCCTTCAATTCCACGAACGGCTTCGGCTTCATCACCTGCGACGAGCTGAAGCCGACGCAGGATCCTCAGCTTCTCGAAGGCGTTCGAAGGCCTTCGAAGGCCCAGGCACACTCCAAGTGCTCTGAGAAAAGAACCTCCAAAAAGTTTTGAAGGTCAGAAAGAGTCTTGACTTGACTTCTGGCTTTCAACAGATTTTCCAGGTTCAACAAGCGAGACGTCTACGTGAATCACACCCAGGCTGGGGTGATCGCTGCTGACTCCATGAACTCAAAGCCCGCACCAAGCTCGAATTGTCCCAGCCAGCAAGCAGAAGCCTACCTTACTCGTCCTTGCTACGTTTATGGATGTGTTTTTGTGTTGAGATATGTTGATGAGTGAGGGTATGCTGTGGGCATCCGAGAAAGTCTTGGAGAGGTGCCAGGTGGCGGACCCCTGATCTCAGGGCCGTGCCCCAAGCAGAGTGGGTCACTGGAGGTGTCTTCGACAGGGATGACCATCTTGTTTTCGGGTCCGCCTTTCAAGGGATTTCCTGCCCGGGGTTTGGGTGCTTCACGCCTTGGGCTTCAGTGGCTTTGCAAAGTCAGGCCGTTCCAGGTCACTTCTTTTCCAACCAGGATGGCAATCAGTTCTTCTTCCGGGAGCTACAGTTCTACTCGGGCAGGCAGACTTGGAGAATATCTGTCCCATAGTGCAGACTGAGGCAAGAGTACGAATTCCGGCTCTTTCTCAACAATCAGGGGCCACAGCCTGAGTTGATCGCATCTGGAATGCCGGATCATTGGGCACTGGTCGCATATTCGCAAACACCATTATCACGATCCTGATCGTCCAAGCGGCTCTGAGTCTTGACTCAGACTGAAGTCAACGCATGTGGTCGTCGTAGGGAGACAGAAGAGAGTGCATTGCTTTCCTGCCTCGGCTTCCGCTGCAGGCAACCTCAGGGCCGAGATCTCAAGTCCCTGCATCAACCCGAGGACTACAGCAGCCGCCTTCTCGGGAAATCTGTGGAGCGTCACAATAAGCCTCAGTGTGATTGTTTGTTCACTCGTTTCATTTCATTTCAGTAATGCTCTCAACTTTGCCGATCCATCATGACCCAGGCCTTGGGGAACTCCCTACAGCGCAGAGCGTAGGCCAGGGTTCTGAAAACACACTTGCCCACGTTTGTCCCACCCTAATGCCTCTAAAGGCCACAGCCCAAGCGGGGACGACTCCTTCGGGTTTGGGATTCATGGATGTCCGGCTGCGGACTTTTCAGAACTTCAGAGCTTCAAGCTGGGCTTGTGCTTACGTGCCACAGGTTGTGGCTGCATCTGCAATGTCGATGGCCCTGTAAAACGCCCAAACACGGCTATGCGTGGTACCCATAGCCAGCCAAATGGCGGAAGACCGTAGTTTAAACGCAAGGCCTGAACCACTATGCATCCCGAGCCCAAAGCAGGAGCTCTTTTTGGGTTTTGGCCTCAGGGCTCGTTTGATCGTTTCCGATCTGAGCGTCTGGTGGTTCAGGATATGTTGTACTGACAGGAAACTAGGTAGTCAAAACGAAGGCAGTGGGGTGCAGCGGCCCCAGGGTGGGGATGTGTTTAAGGGTGCTTCAGCGCGGATATGTTCGCACCTGCTCCGAAGGCGAAAAACTCCTCGTTCACTGAGGGCTCTCCGGCATATACCAGCATGGTTTGCTCTTGCTGACTGGGTGATACACCACTGGGCATGATTCATGTTTTACCTTGAATTAAAATGTTTCATGGTGCGCCCTCATCGTGTTCAGTGTTTATTCAGACCCTGGTGTACCTCCTCAGCTTTCTGTAGCATGTAGGCGCCTGGCAGTACGCCTTGCGATTTGTGAGGCATTTAAGCTTGCGCAGGACCGCTGGTCTGCCTTGTGCGCAGGAGAGTTCTTAGAATACAAACGCAAACAATGTTTGCCTGCTTGAATCTGATAAGGCTCGGCTGGGTTGTGGGAACAGTGGTCCGGCCACTTTGACATCACTCTTGCACTCAGGGTGTTTCCCTGTACCGAGGCTAGTATTTCCAAATGTCGTCGGGCATGTTTGGTAGCAACGTTGCGGACCAGCGCATGCCTGGTGTCTACCACTCCAGAACTAGCCCGGCATAGACGGGAAGGCGAGCAATTTGTCGCGGTTCTCCGAGGCGCGTCAACAAGGGAACCCTGCGCTCACAACACCCTGGAGTTTGTAGCGGCCCCTCACCTAGAGCTGAGATTGAGCTCAATGGAAGTTAATGGAAGTTAATGGCCAGTCGAAGGCAAAAAAGGTTATCACCACCGTGTTAGACTAAGTGTTAGGCACCGTTACTGATGAGGAGGCCTCAAAGCTCCGCGAAGCTCAGCCTTCCTGTCACATAGGCCCAGCTAGGCCCGCCCCGCCCAGCACAGGTCCGCCTCTCAGAGAGTGCCTTGGGTAATGAGGCCAGATGAGGCCAGATGAGGCCATATGAGGCCATATGAGGCCTCTTGCTCACGACATGCAGCAGTCAGGCAAAGCTAGGTCCACAACTCTGGGAGACGTTGGCGGAGTTGTCTACCAGACCAGGACGATCCCCAATACAAAAAAGGTCCCATAACAGCTGCTTCTTCCGGCTTGTGGCCCGGGCCAGCTGGCGTTGGTGTGCATCAATCTTTGCAGCTGGCTCGCCGTGATGGCCTTTATGTTGAAGACGACATTGTCCACGACTTCCATTAACGTCAGTCTGGAAATTCGTCTAGAAGCCCTTCGGCAAGCAGAGCCCTGTAAGTACCCCAAGCCTCCAGAGCCAGCGCTGGCGCAATGTCCCTGGGATATGCTGGCGGCGCGAGCCAGCCATGCCAGGGGCCCAAGTCTCCGAGCCACACTGTGCAGAGATGCCATGAGATGCCCTGGCAAACTGAGGCACGAAGAAGCCGTCTTCTCAGAACCCTGAACGTGCCGTGCCAAGAGTGGGCAACATGGGGGGCGACGAGGTCCCGCTGGCGCAAAGACCGCATGGTGGACTCGGAGCCGAGCAGGGTCCGAGCCGGAGAGGGGGCTTCCAGGCTTGTGATGAGGCATGCATTCATATGCGGTCATATGCATGTCATCCGCGTTCATATGCATGTCATATGCATTCGCATGCATTCTCGAAACATTAAGCAAGCTTTCTGCTTGCAAGATTCATCACGTGGACGAATCACGAGTTTTTGATATCGTGCCATGTACATCACGCTCTCGCCGGTGACCTGTGCTCCAAAATCGCGCTCCCTCGCGCTGTTGGCTCGGTCCAAGGTGCATGCTGCATACGCTGCTCATGAAGTCGAACTGTCTTTGCTTTTGGGCCTTGGATCGTGCTCTCTTGTTTAGGGCCTACATAGGCCCTACGCTTGCAGAATAAGTAGGCGGCAAGGAATGGGTCCTTTCCGTTGCCGCAGCTTTCAATTTGCTGAGGTTCTGTCGCTCAAGACTATTTCGGCCGGTAATCAGGCGGCGGAGCAAGCGCAAGCGTCTCAGGTTTTGAAAGTTGGAGCGTCAAGATTGCAAGCTCCTGCCACTGGAGGTTCCTGGGGCTCCATGGCCGGAAGTCTAACTTCAACCTCTTGGAGAGTGCTGCAGACAGTGTTTATTCTTCCGTCCTTGACGGCAATGCGCACTACTACAAGGACCTCGGCGGGCCATTCATTGTTGAATGTGATCTATGCGCTGTTTGAGCATACCTTCTGGTGCACTTCGGCTAGTTGTCCCTCTCAGGCGCTTGTTGCTGATGCTGGGGACTTCTCCACCTACCAGGCTGGGGCAAGTTACTTGACGCACCTATACACTTGCAGATGATTGCGAAGAGCCAAAGCATCCACAAGAGGCGCTTCTCTCTGAGCTGGAGTACAAGCCATGGGCCCAGAGCCGACCCTTGGGACATGGGAGACGGACCAGCTCTGTCTGTTTCTCTTTGCCCCATCTTAGGCCTGCCTGGATGAGTGGCGGCCTCCCGTTGCACAGGAGACTTGACACAGACTCTCAGAGACCGAACTTCTCCTTCCCATCTCTCCTCTGCAATAAAGTCCCCTGCAAAATAGCCTCACACTCTGCAGAGTATGCAGAGTATGCAGAGTATGCAGGCCTACAGCTCTGGGCTCCGAGTCGCAGTGCCGCCGGCAAGTGACCAGTCCCGAGGGATTATTTTGCAGGGTCCGTTCGTCATCTCAGAAAGGATATAAGCCAGGCCAGTGTTTGCATCCGCCTGCTTGTTTTCTCTCCTTTAGAGCATCCATCCTCAACAGGGGCCGTTGCAACGTAAGCCAGGTTGCGGCAGTCACCGACTTACGAGCGGGTAGTGCGTTTCTTGGCCGGCTACTTCGGCGTCGAGCCGATCCGGCGTGCAACTGAGTTGCCAACTGCTATGGCTGCTATGGACACGCCGCACACGTAGCCAAGTTAGCAAGAGAGACTTTATAGAGCTTCGCATGGGGCTGTGAAGTTTCCTTTCTTCACACTCACGCATACTCAAGCAGTAAGAGCAAGGAGTGGGCCAATAAGAGCGAGCATTGATGAGCATGGTAAGTATCCACACGAATAGTCAGATTTCGGCTGTGTGCTGCTGGACGACGACGACGACGACGACGACGACGACGACGACGACGACGACTACTACTACTACTACTACTACTACTACTACTACTACTACTACTACTACTACTACTACTACTACACTGGACGTCCAACTCGAAAAGGATGTGCGCTGGACGTGGAAGTGGATTAATAGTTTTTGCAGGGTTAGGCATGTGGAGACGCGTGTGAGACGTTGATGACTGACTGCATCAGGGGTTTTCCCAAGGTCGTTAGTTAACCACTACAGATCGGGGGAGGACAGCTGGTGCAAAACCCCGCAAAGCCACACAGCAAAAGAGGACCGGAGACCTTCCGAAACACGTTGCTGCGAGGACTTCACATCCTTCCATTCAGACCAGTACTTTTCTGGTGTGAACATGACCATCGGCGCTTCCTTCGGGGAGGCAAATGCTGCATTGAGTTGCATCGCGAAATAGGTTGCGCACTTCACACTGTCTGTAGTCAGGGTATGTAGCATCGTGCAGCTGTGTTTCGTGCCCACAGTGTGCTTGGGCTGATGCATGCAAGTGTGAGCTCATGCTTCTCCCGGGGTTGTTCGGGATGGGCTGGGGTGGGCCAGGTGATAACGGACTTGCAGCTGTGTGTTCGTTGTACTGTGGCTTCTTGCCATATTGTGAGATTTTTGCAAAGATTTGCATTGTGCATCATCTTACATTCGTACTCGCATCTCGTACAGCAGGGCCATTTCGTTTGAGCCTTGCACGGGGGCTCGGAAGCGGAGCTGGTTGGCAGGGGCCAAAGTAGGAGCTTCCCAGGTCTTGAAGAACCTCCGCAACAGTCTTCCAGAGAAGCTCTTTTGACAGCCTCTGCTGTCCGAAAAAGATTCCGCGTGCCCGCAGCGCAATTCTGCGTGCATGCTTGTGCGTGTTTGTGCGTGCGCGCTTGCGCGCGCGCGTGTGTGAGAATGTGTGTGTGTGGCTTTTGCACGCTGATGGCTGGGTGTGGAAACCGCAGGAGCCCAAACAAGCCGAGTGGTGTGGTTGTTGGCTGATTTTGCTGCTCCACTGCTCTGAGAGGGGTGCCCATGAGGGAGTCAAGATGCCACACAGCTTGTCATCATGGTGGATTGAGACTGCAGGAGCGCGCGCTGGTTTTTGAGCACCGTGAAACCAAGGAGCAGCCCGAGACCAAGTTCAGCAAAAGGGTACACACAGCGTGGCACAAGTGAAGAAGTTAGAGCAGCGCAAATGAACGCAAACCAGCGCAAGGAGGGGCAGAGCTTAGGTTCAGCTTCCCGCAACACAACGGTGATGTCTTTGCCTTCACGGACTCAGTGAACCGCCTTTTCGTCCATGGCATCCCACGAGAGCCCGGTGGCCTAGGGGCATTGCGCACATCGGCGCATGTTGCGGAGAAGCACTTTTGCTGTCCTCTTTGTGTCTTGTTTATCGAACGTTTCTGCCATGAGGCGTAGAGCACGCTCCACAACAGCCTGTGGCCACACACCGGGGCGTGGCTCTGCTGCAGACTGGCGACCGGAGTCCAGATCCGAATGCGGAATAAACTTGACTGCGAACTCAGGCATCTCCGTAATTGTTTGGGGGCGCAGAGATCAGGACCGTTCGGGAGATGAAAGCCGATGGAACTGAGGCCCGCTGTTGTGACACGTCTCTGGCATGTCTCAGGAGCTTTGGAAGACCCAGGCCCAGACTCTGCCGCTCACTTTGCAGTCCCTCAACGTTCTAGAGCCATGTTCTCAGATGCTGGAGGTGTCTGGGCCTTGCAGCAGTCTCCGATTCGACCACCAAGGTACGATCCCAGTCAGGACGTGGAGAAGGCCGAGGGCGCGCAGACAGATCCTGCCACTGTGCTCATTCCCCGGCATTTGCAGTTCAGCTGGTTGAGTTCTTGTCAACCAAATGCATTCTCGAGGTTAGGGCGCTGGCAGAAAGATGATCCATCATCACATCAAGGTCGTGGGAGGACCTCACATGACGTGAGCAATGGGATTAGTCTACGACAGCACCCTTCTGTCAGTGATTGCGAAGATGGCACACCACAGTGGCGAGGGCCACTTAGCCACAAGTGTGCGCGGTGCGAGCAAGAATAGTTTCTGCTGTGCACAAAGTCCAATGTAGTGACCGTCTACAACAGAAACATGTGGAAGAGTAGCAGTCTACCAAGCTAGGACAACCAACCAAGCAACTACACGGCCATGGGAAAGACAGTCCTTGGCTCATAGGACCCTTGATGCCGGAGCTGCGCGACCAGGCAGGCTCTGGTACGGGCCTTTGCAAGGGCAGCCTGCAACGGTCATGTTCTCTCATTCTGTCTTCAACATTTGAGCTTCCCCCACAAAACACAAGAACACCAAGCCACTCTTCTCTAGCTTCTCGAAACTGGAGTGCTTGCTTTGATGGTGCCTCCAAGATCCTGCTCACCTGCCCAAGCTGCCACCCCTGGGCGAACTGATGAACTCTAATGAACCACTTTGTTGAGGCCACGAGCCAGCCAGTCTGAAGCCTGACGCCTGGACGCAGATGCGAGGATCCGATTCACTGCAAGGGCCCCTGTAGAGCTGTACAGTCATCCCACATGGGGGTGCAGCCTCTTCATGGGTTGAGTTGTGCCTTGGTAAAGCCCAAGCTTTCCTTTCCACCCCAGACCTGGACGAAATCAGACCACGTGAAATAGAAACGCGCGAGCAACTCAACCGCGCTGCCAAGGGCGGGCAATGGCAAAGGCCTTAAACGCTTTGGCCTTTTGCATATTTTTGCTTGTAGGGTCATAGAATCCAGGCTTCCGCTTTGTACAGGGCAGCGACATCATGCAGAAGGTTGTGCATTCATCTCAGGGGCCTCGCCTGGCAAAAAGGTTGCTTTGCACGTTGCGTGACTGTGTCACTGCTGCTGGAATTTCACAAGGCGCTCAAGCTTGCTTGCTTGTGAATCACGGCTTTTGCAGCTTGGGCACGCGACCCTGTTTAGTGCAACCATCGTTTTCCAAAGCGTCCGGGGCTCAGTCTCGTTCAGTCAGCCTTGGCACTTGTCCTTCGCGTGCCAAGTCACAAGTGAGGCTCTCAGTGTCCTGCACGCCATGTCGCTGGCCTCCGCTGTGGGGTGCGGCACAAATCAATTACAGTCGCGGCAACAAGATTCGTTGCAGGACGGGGCCGAGTCTTAAACGCTTCGCATCCCAATCCCTAGAATTTTTAGAAGCTTGGGTCCCACAACCTTCAGACCTCCCCCTAGCCCAATCTATCGGTTTGAAGGCGGTTAGGATCGGTTGTAACTATTGGGGTTTCAGTAGGCCATAGTTTAGGATTGTCTGCCATACTCGCGCGGGCCACGCAGGCAATCGTGAACAAACATATCCAGGACCCTGCCAGCTCCTCGGGCACGCTGCAAGGTTGCATGACCCTGTTGCGCTGGAGTGGGACTATTGCAAGCATATGATCACACATTTAATGACTTTCGGTCGTTTCCTGCATGAAAGCCTTGCCTGCAAACAAGAACAGCAACACGAGATAACAACCCGGCAATCACGGCTACTGCTTGCAAGACCTAGAAGATTAGCAGATGTCCTGTCTGGGCAAGGGATGCAGCCTGAACAGAATAGGTGCTTGTGCCAGCCTATAGCCCCACACACGAGTCACATAAAACGGCCCTGCGTCGATGTGATGTTGGTTGCCATAAATATTTCCATGATCTTCAAGGCTTTTTTTCCCGTTCTTTTGTGCTCAGGCCCTGCGAGAGCTCAACAGTAGCCAGACCTCCACAGAGCGGGGGGTTCAACGCTGGGAGCAGGACGCGCAACCGCACATGCCAGACACAGAATTGTGGATTTTGTGTGATTGCTTGGGTGTTGAGCCCTTTAGCACATAGATGTTTTGAGTTTCATGGCCTGAGAACTCAGAGAACCTTCAAGAGTGGGGCCTGAGGATGAGGTGATGCCTTAGATGCTGTCAGTCCCTACCCCAACGCAGCCCAAATGATCCCAAATGGTGTGTCCCCAACCCCAACGTCGCCGACACGGTGTGTGGGAGGCGCACCTTGTCTCTGCCTTGGATGTGATTAACGAGTACCAGCGGTCACGCCGGGCCCGCGTCTTCAAGGCACTGGTCGGGACCTGAGTTTGCCAGCATGGCCCTGTCATGTCATGCTGTGATCACGCCCACAGCCCGGAACCTTCTTGCATTCTTGCACGCTGAGGGAGACTTTGGACCCAGTTGGAGGCGATCCTACAAGAACGATCCCAGGACTTGGAGCTGGAGACCCACTAAGCTCTATTTTTGCTGAACCTCTTTCCGGCTTTTCTTGATGCCCCTAACTTGGTGTTATCCCCTGATCCCCCCATCTAGTGCGGCTCCCAGGCATTGGCTGTTATCCATTGGTGCAGCGATCCGGTTTCTTTGGCGTGTGTAGGGTTCTTGTTTTCAGAGTTGGGGGTCCGGGGGTAGGAAGGACCTTGACCCGTCCATTTTACGTTCCCCATGAGCCGTCCGCACGTGTTCACTCGGGCCGAAACTGTGACTGTCATCACTTTTGCGTTGAATTTTCTTCTCAGGTCCTTCAAGTCTGTTTTGGAACTTCACCATCCTTGTGTCGTTGGTTTTTGAAGCTCCGGCTTTGTCTCCGCTTGGCCTTGAGAATCCGTTGCTTTTAGGTTGTCAGGAGATGGTTGGGCTGCTGTAGGTTGCTTTCCTGGTTGTTAGCTTGTTGTTCTTCTGCGGGTCGTTGGTCGTTCAATGTCGTTCATTATGCCTTTCTTTTGTTACTCGTTCTGCATGTGTTCTTTGTTTGCTCTTTGCTCGTTTGTTCTTTTGTTGGTTCGCTGGCATCTTGTTGTTTGTTGCTCGTTTGCGGTGCATAAGCTACAGGCCTTGAGGGTCAACGTCTGTCAATGTGGTGGTCAACAGTCAGGTCGCTCGTACCCCCAACGGGAATTCTTTGCAGATTCAGTTCAAAGTTTAGGCATCGACCTACCCATGCCTTCTGCATTATTCACTTTTGGGGCGAGGACCCGGATGTGTGAACTGCTGAAGACCTGGCTCCGTTCGAATGCCGGGAGCAGTGCGCTAGCAGAGGAGGAGGCCCGATTGCCATCAGCTGCTCGGGTTTTTGACTCTTCTTACAGAGTTTGACTCAGCTGTGTGCGTGTGTGTGTGCAAACACCGGAGCACGGTGATAACTAGCATGCGCCACTAGTGCAAACGTACCTGCCGCTAGCGGATTCGAAGCAGGTACCTCATCCTCCTCCGCCTTTCACCTCATTGTTCATCCTGTGTGATTCTTGTGATTTCGTACTGAGGGCGCGAAACCGTTACCCCTTATGCGTCCATTCTTGACTCTTGTTTTGCTGAGTGCACTTCTCTTGCGTGCACTTCGTTATGGGTCGTGACTTGCCCGAAAGTAAGAGAGAGAGAGAGAGAGAGAGAGACACACAGTGTGTGTGTGTGTGTGTGTGTGTGTGTGTGTGTGTGTGTCTGTGTGTGTGTGTGTGTGTGTGTGTGTTTTTGTGTTTTTGTGTTTTTGTGTTTTTGTGTTTTTGTGTTTTTGTGTTTTTGCGTTTTTGTGTTTTTGTGTTTCTGTGCCTTTGTGTTTCTGTCCTTTTGTGTGTTTGTGTTTCATTTTTGTTGGTGTTTGTGTTTGTGAGCGTGTGCCCGCGTCGGCATGTGGAAGTGACCAGGTCCGCAGTATGTGTGGACTCTGCCGCGACATCCTCAGCCACCCGCACCTCTTTCCAGTCGGGCGCTTGGCCTCGGCTTGCTTTTGGGGGCCTTGTGTTTTGAATCGGGGGGGTCTGCGATATTAGGGTACCCCTTATATATCCCAAATAGAATAGGGTACCCCTATTTTCGAATTGGGGGTACCTTATTGGGGTCCTTATTCTAGAGGAATCCTGCTATTTGGGGGTCTATGGAGTCCCCGTTTTTCGTAAGCCCCCGAATGGGGGTGGCTGCGAAGGCGCGCAATCCGCAGAGCTTTCTCAAGAGCATCGCTGACGTGTGCCTGGCATGGCTTTTGCCGTTTCCGACCAGATGAGGACAAACCCTGCTAGGATTTGCCTGCGGTGACAAAGGCCATCCAGGTCTCAAATTCTGAAGTTGCCGCATCTTTGCCAGGTTTATGACCACCTGCAGTGGCAGTTGCAAGAGGCAAAAGCGGCCAAGGGGATGCAGAATAGGTGAAGCAAGCAAGGGGTGCTGGCTTACAGGGCATAGACAACTTATAGAAGAGTTCACATGCTGAGCCGATCAAAAGCCACCCGACGCACCCAGCAAGTTCTCATCACTTAGGGAAGCCTGCAAGGTCTTGGAGAAGGACCGAAGTTGTGCAGAGCTCGCAGCATCCTAAGGCGTCAGGCAGCTGGCGGGAAAAGTAGCGGTTGCCGCAGTTGCACACTAGCAATGGTACAAGCACATAGAAGTACTAAGTTTTATCAGCGGCCAGCTCGGGATTCATGTGCAGAAAGTCCTGCCTGCATGTAATCTTCAGATGGACGCAAGAGCGGAGAGCAGTCTTCAACGGACAACAAGGAACGTTGATATGCCCCGTCTAGGACTTCAAGCCTGTCGACCTAAGGCTCACCGGCTGATCTCGCTGAGTCGCAATCTTGTTGCTGACACCATAGCATACCTACTGCTGCTTGCCAGCACTGCAGCAGTGTGGAGTCAGCTTGGGGTATGGCTATCTGGTTCTAAGAGCCTGGTTCGGCCGACCCCTGAAGGCTGGCTCCCACTGACCTCAAGGACACGGATGTGCGGAGCTTGGCCCTTTTTGACACAAAGAAAAAATCGGATTGTCGACGCTGGGGTTCTGGATGTTGCACAGGGCAGCCTGATGAGAGAGCAAATCAGTGTTTGGTTCAAGATGTCATGGCCTGAGCTAGATTGGTTATATCTTCGGTGTGCTAGGGAAGTTCAGGGAGCCTGTTGACATAATGGATGCATACTGCGACTAAGACAATACGACCCGAGACTCTGTGACTGCCTCTGTGCCCGCTGCCGCATGCTTCCATGGAGACTCCTTCACCAAAGATGCAAGCTGCGAAAGTTCAGGAGCACACGGTGCTGCTCCAGCGAAGTGGCGAGATTCGCAGCTTTAAAGCCACGCCCGGTGAGCCTGCACCGCTGCTTGCACGAGTTTGCTCGCCCAGGAGAACTGGCGGCGTTCCTGCATGAAGAGATCCCTGTGCGCTTTGCAGAAAGGATTCGATGGATAGAACAGGTGCCGGAATGGACAGAAATTCCGGAGCTGGTCGATGCCCATCTGAAGCACATGGCCTCCTTCTCATACATGCGCAAGGCTGACCCCAACGAGCCTGTCAAGTTCCAGGGCATGCTTCAGAAGGTCTTGAAACGCCAGGAAAACATGGTCGAATTGATGTCGCAAGCCATGCAAAAGCTCCGCACGATGCGCGGAGTACAGGACTTCGACAGCTTCTCGAACAAGTTCCTTGACAACTTTCTGCTGAATCGTCTTGGCTGCAATTTGCTTATGACACACTACCTGGCCTGTGCACACCCCGGGCGTCACACGATTGGAATCATTGATCCACAGTGTGATGCTGTGGAGGTTTGCAGAGAGGCAGGCCAGGATGTGCGCAGTGCCTGCCAGGACTTCCTTGGCCGAGCACCCCCACTCCAGGTCGAGGGCTTTTCTCAGGGTTCGCCGACAGCTTCCCTCGCGCCTCGATTTGCCTATATCCCAGGCATCCTCAGCTTCATCGTGCGCGAGCTGCTGAAGAACAGCTTCCGAGCTACTTTGGATTTGGAGGATGCTGACCTGGAGACTCGGCCCATCCAGATCATCGTGTGTGCTGATGAGGATCATGTCATGATTCGTATCAGCGACCGAGCGCAGGGTATTCCCATCGATGTTGGCACGCGCGTCTGGTCCTACATGTATACAACCTCCAAGAAAGCGTCGCCACTGAGTGGCTACGGTGTTGGGCTGCCGTTATCCCGGCTGCATGCCAGGTACTTGGGTGGCTCCTTGCAGCTCGTGTCCTTGCCGGGCTTCGGTACGGACGCCTACCTGAGCCTTCCTCGCGTGGACACACAGATGGTGGAGGTTGTGCCAGACAGCGATGTCCCCGAATCGGTTGAGTATTCGTTTACTGTGTAACTGCCCACATGGACGTGGGATTCATGGCTTGGACAGTGTCCAGCGACTGCCAGGGCGTTGAACTAAGCGTAGCCAAGAGCTCGCAATTTTATAGATCGGTGGTCCAAGAAGAGGCAGCGCGTCATTTAACTGGGCCATGAAGTGTACAGCACCTCTAATCACTGGAAGGACACTTTGCGTTGGTGCAACGCAAACCCGCAAAGCAAGCCAAAAGCCAAAAGTAGCGGCAGGACAGCAACGAAGCAACTGACGCCCTTGCATGAAGCAAGTGGCCAGCTGTGGCTTTTGTGCCGGTTTCAACCCTTTCAACCCATTTCGTCCCAAGCTGAGCCATCAAAGCTTACGCTTGCCATCCTTTGCCCCTGTGCAGGGAATGCCATCCTTGGAGGTGGGCTGGCAGGATAGGAGTAGGGGTTGCTGTCGATGTGACTTGTCAATTGCAAGGTGGTCAAACTGTGGCAGTCCCTTCCAGATGAGAATCATCCTATGTTCACACCTCAGATTCGCAACAGCTTTGGCTTGTAGACTCGACAGCTTCTGGCAAAGACAAGAGTTTCTCGAGGGACATGTTTGAAAAGGTCAACCCAGGGCCCTTGGACTAGAAGGGTTGCCCTTCAGCAGACAGTTCAGAGTCACTCGAACACGCATTGGCGAACTTCTCTTTGTGTAAGCAAAGAACGCTCAGCTTTGGCAGCGTTGATGCTCTCGTCACCATGGTCACCTGAAAGCTGTCTTCGCAATTCTGCACATGTCAGTAATGAGTCGAGTAATGTGCACGAACCACGAAAGCAAGTTACGTTGGGTCATGAGCTGAGACTCCACACCCCAGACAAGCCGAAGGCCGCATCGCAAAGATCCGGCTTTGCAGAAGTTGATGTCAGAGGCCGTTGCTTGACATCCGTTTGCTAGCATCACACCCACCGCCCCTCCGTGATGATTTTTTCACTTTTTTTGGGTATTCGAATGTAGCAAATCTTTCCAATCCGTGTATGGGCGTAGGCCTGGAACACTCGCTGTGGTGCCTTGGTTGCGGCCCTTCTGCGAGCGCCTTGGCCTGGGCCTCAGCATCAATGTAGAAGAGGGTGTATGACCGTATCCGAAGATTGCAGCAACACAATTGCAGTGTTTCGGTTTCACCTTGAGGCGGCTACGCAAATCCCGCTCGTTTCTGGAGCACTGGGCCCTTCTTAATGATACCCCGGCCCTGGTGTTTTCTTAGTCCGCGCTTGTTCCACCGACCTGTTTGTTGAACCCCTGCTCCTGGCCTCTTTTGTCACCACCTCTTCTTTAAACTTTGCTCTGACAGTTTGCGTTTCACAGGCCCTTGCATTTTTCGCTTCTTCCCCTTTGTTGGTCTTACCCGAGTTTGTTTGCTTAATCTGCAACCTCTAATTTGTGTTTGAAACCCTTTTTCTCCACCCGGTCCCTAACTCCGCCTCCATCTGGCTTGTTTCTGCGTTCCAGGCTGTTCCTCCACCCACTGACATGTCGCTCCGTGAGGGCTGAAGGGCAGAGTTTTCCCCGATTTGCTGCTCTATGTCGTGGTTCGAGTTGCTCTCAACGTTCCCTTGGTTTTCTCATCATTGAGCTTGACTTGGGCTCCAGGTGTGTTCGTCTGTTCGCTGGGGCGGATGCGGAGAACACTGCCAGACTTGCAGCCCTAGAGAACGGAGAGGCCCATGGGGCCACTTGAGAGTTTGGCAGTTCCCGGGGTTTCCGTTTGAGCCTTGCTTCGGCATTCTGTATGGTGATCCCCTCAACTTTTGGGTATTTGGCCCGCAGCTGTCAGGTCACGCAGATATCCAGCACCTCGCTGCAAGATCTGCTTCGACAGGCGGTCCTAGTAGTCTGTCAGTGTGATCTATCAGCTAGATTACAGCTGCAACTGCGTGTCGATCTTGCAGCCCAATCTGGGATAGCCTTTGAGCCAACCATGTCTTGTGGGAAGCCTGGAGCAAGCGACAGGCACGCATAGCCTTTCAGACTGGGAACTACAAGGCAGCAATCCGTTGCCCTTCTTCTGGTCACAGAACCTATTCATGGCATTCAGCTGTGTTTATCAATGCCTCGGCACCTGGCCGACTGGTCAGGCCAGCGGGCTTGTTGGCGCGCTTCGTGGGGAGCAGAATGCGCAGCGGGAGAACTTGCTTCAGGCGGCCACCCTAATCTCAGACATCGTCTACCTTCTCGGGGAGGCGCCTCGCATGTGACAGGTTGAAGATGGTTAAATTAGGACTTGTAACGTCAGTCTGCAGATAAGGAAGTTGCATTTGATAGGTGATGGTCCAATTCCATCGCATCAGCGATGGGTTGGGAGACTATGGCATGATCCGGGTGGCCCCATGGCTGCATCCGATCCTGGAGACTCTGCAGGAGAAGGTGCAGCAACTGAAGGGCAGCCTGGAGCAACTTTCTACTTTCCTGGACTCTGCTTATGTTCTGGCACGGGCACGTGGCCAAAAGATACCCAAGCCTGCGCCCTCGGACAAGATGTGTGCCCGCGCCCGGGATGCCATTCATCGGGCGCTGCTGGGCAGCACCAGCCACGCGAGTCAGCTGCTACAGCTGGCCGAAGAGCTTAGGGTGCGCTCGGCACCCGAGCGCTTGCCGCATCTGGCCAAGGGACTTGGCGATGCATGTGTGACTTTGAGCGAAGTCTTGGTGTCCGCAGAGTTCCGACGTCATGTTGGTGATGCCTTCCCGCGATTGCCTAGATTGCTAGACCTGGGCGCAGATGCCAAGCCTCGTGCAAAAACGACAGCCATAGTCGGCATGCCTACGCTGGCTTTGGAAGACACTCGAGATGTGCCAGACGCGGGGATGCACGCTTTTACAGAGAGGCCAATCGTGTGCCGACGTGACCCACATGACTCGATGGCAATGGTGCGGGTGCGCACAGAGCCTAAAACTGCACAGGTCATGAATGCCAGCCTTTGGGCAGATACAGACGTCCAGGACACGATATCCACATCAGCCACGCCACGCGCCATGGCACGTGAGAATTCTCAGAGTTGCAGCAGCTGCTGCTCGGCTCAAAGCGTTGGCATCCCCATAAGTGGCCCGGTGATGACCTTCGAGGTTAACCGCCTCACATCCTTTGAGCCGTTAAAAAGGCACGACCGCCGACGGATCGAACTTCGAAATGACGAGCTCCTGATATACAGCACGGGCTCACAATCCAGAATTAAATCTGCAGTGCAGCTGCCCGAAGGGGTGGAACGCGTGTTCTTCCTGTCTGATACTGTGCTCGAGGCATGCTTCTCACTTGTTCCGGCCGATGCCGTTCCAGGAGGTGGCGTGGTACGGCCCAAAGACTACATCTTCGAGTTTGCCACATCTGAGCAGGCCGATATCTTTTGCGAGGACTCTCTGAAATTCTGAAATCCTTCCGTGCCACGACTGCCCCAACGTTGCGACACCAATCCCCCGATGTTGGGACCAAGCCATCATCTTTCCTTAAAGTAAAGTCAAGTCACATGCTCCCCGCACTCAAGGTTCATCCAAGCAGCAACCAAGGCATGCACCATCAACATTTTAAGAAAGTTGCCAACGTAGACCTCCAAGGGAACGACACTACGATCACCGAGCAACATGACAAGAATAGGACTTGCAGCATTTAGTGACGCAGCTCGATTGCACAAGACCTGCTGCAGCTGACAGGAGCTCTGGCAGCGTGGAGTCAGATGATTCGTCGCGGTGCGTCAGTCAACGAGCAGTTTCCCAACGCCCGGACAGCATAAAATGATTCCATAGTCGCATGACTTTACTTTCATCGATGCTGTTGCAGCTGTTGTGTTTATGGCTCCGGGTTGGCGTTCCTGCAGAATCTGTTTTTTCCCACATGGTCGCGAATCTTTGGGAAATTCTCGGGAATGGCGCCCGCGACTGTACAGGTGCCTTGGGCAGGCATTTCAGCTGTAACATGCTGTAGCGAAACTGAGCTGTCAGGGCTTCCATCTAAGTGTCGTCCCTGCAGTTTTCCTGCTCCTGAGTCGTCATGCACAGGTTTGCCGTCACAAGACCATGAGAGCTTCTTCCTGGGCGCCTGAAGCGGGCCTAAGGCTTGAGCCTTGTGACTACACAGGTAGCCACGGCTCACAAGGTTGGCAATGCCGGAAGACGTCTCATGTATGCGGCTGGAAGAGCACAAAGCTTGTTAGTAGCGTAGGCTTTCGTGTACAGTGCATGCATGCACCGAACTGTACTGCCTGGCAGCATGCTTTGCATGCAAGCAAAGCCGAGCCACCTAGGCAGGCATGACAGGTGCGTACGTCAGGTGTGAAAATCGCGCCTCATGAGGATTGGAGACAGGCCATCAATGGCGCATCTGTATGTTTTGTGACAAGACGTGAGCTTTCTCAGGCTGTTTACGCCCAAGTGCCTAAGTGCAGCAACACCTCTCACGAAGACAAACAGCCGGTATACTTGCCAAAATCCTGTCGAGGACTGCATATAGCATCTCCCATGGGCGCGAATGCTTCATGCGCGGAGCTGGTGATGCCAAATGGGAAGGATGCAATCAGGCGACATCCTGCAGGGCACAGTTTGTGGCATCTACGGAGTTAAAAGAAGGGTTTTGTTGAGCTCTTGCAGCCTTCAGTGGAGATGTTCACTGCAGGGCCATGTGCTGTGGACCAGCAGTTAATTAGATTTGGTTGGTCATTTGAAAGTAGAGCTGAAGCTTGGCAGATGTCCCTGCAGGCCTCGAAGATTCAGCCCAGTGCGGAATCCACAAAGCTCCGACAGCGAGGGCCTAGAGCCCGACGACGGCGAATGGCTGTTGCCAGATCCTGCTGTCATCAAGCACGTTACTGTGGAGCAGTACTTGGAGTTGGCCCAGCGTCTTCGTACCACCGCCTCCGACCGACAGAAACTGGCTGGAGAGTTGCAGGCTGCGCGGCGGCAGCTTGAACACACGAGCAGCGCCCACAGCCGGTTGAGCCGGCACCATGCGAACGAGTCCCGCGACCGCAAGGAAGCGGAGGCACAACGGGACCAGCATGCCACACATGCAAGTAAGCTCCGCAAGAGCATTGCCGCTGTCAGAGACAGCGAAGAGGCATTGAAAGCTGAGCTGGCGCATGTGAAGGCGAGCGAAACCCGCTTAGAGACCACTGTTGAGCGGCAGAAGGACCTGATTGCAAAGCTCCGATCCGAACATGAGAGGCTCGTGAGCCTCTTGGCCTTGCAGCGCAAGCAGATGCAAGTGCTAGGGACCCTGTCCTGTGCGCAGTGTGCCCTCAAGGCCAAGGAGATCGGAGCTGTACGGGATTTCTTTGAAGAAGCTGGCCAAAGGTAAGCCGGCTTCTGCAAGGCTGTTTTCTCAGACCCCGACGTTGCGCAACAACTCTGGTGGGCCTGCGCAGAGCACGACTTGTGGCATGGGTGTGGAAGCTTGTGGACATGATCATTAGTCTCGTTACTCTCACATATATCATTAAGTAGCATTATTAGCTAATCTTAGCCTGTTCTTGTCGCTCTTGCTCTTCTTGTTGGGCTCCTCCGCAGCTCAAGGGTTGTGGGAAGGTTCAGCCAGTTTGGCTTACGCCCTTCCCGCTCCACACGCAGCTACTGCAACAACCTGAAGCCCAAACTCTGCACCACTTGAAGACGCCTCCAGCATATCTCTACTTACGGTTTCCATGCGTTGGTCACGACACGTCCCGAGCTCCGTAATGCCTTCTGCACACGCTCGGCCATTCCCATGTCGACCAAGTCGCTGGCACTTACGTCTGCCTGGCAATGTTTCTGGGTCTCGAAATTTGCCATGTGAAGGCGAATCAAGATCCTCAGAGTGAACAGCGCCCTGCCTGCTGGGTATACCGGGGGGGGGGGGGTTCGCGACAGCAGTGCACTCCACAGAATGGCATGGCCAGGCTCGTCCAACCCAAGACCTTGGAGCTGCGATCGGTTTGGCAGGATGAGCATGGACCTTACATGGAGCGGAGCTTCTTAGCTCTCCTTCCCTACCAATACGAGCGCTCACCCTCCCTCCCTTCAGGGTTCAAAGATTGAAAGGGGGGGAGGCCCTCCACCCTGTTTGTCGCGAACAGCATTATGCATCGATCGCATCCTTGCCGCACGCCCTAGCTTTCGCATCCTGCTTTCAATAATCAAGTGTACCGGGACATCGCAAGCCACGGTACCTCGACTGACAGCTGCGCACGGGCAGTCGCAAGCCACACCCTCTAAACACGCCTCCCTAAGCATACTGTCAAGGGCGTTGCGAGCTGGGCAGCTGTTGGTGCCCCACCCCTTGCTGTTGCGATGCGACTGTGGCTTTCTACGGCTTAGGCATCTGAGAGAGCGGAGGTTGGCAGTTTCATGTATCCTTAAACGAGCTTGGGAGGTACAGGTGGAGTACAGCAGTGTCCAACCCCAGGACGGGGACATGTTTGCAGGCGGCTTAGCTGCTGCACCACAGAACCATGGTGGTCACGAGAGTCAGATTGCACCAGCGGCCTCCCACTATCGGAGCTCAGAACTGCAGCGGCCGATTTGCCGAGCTCGAGCTGCCACATGTCCTGGGCGTCGAGGGTGCCGCCTGGTGTGCAGGCAATTGTTGGAAGTCGAGGGCCTTGGGATCTCAGTCTCAGGGCTTGGACGCCGCATGTATGTGAAGTGTAGCACCTGCTGAACGATGCTCACGGGAGCCTCCTCGTATCCAGCCAACAAGTTCGCGGTTTTGCATCGGCCGAGCCTTTTCAACTCCGTGCTAAGGTTGGTGTGGTCTTGAAGTCCCGGTGCGAGAGTTTTCAAGAGGGCGCCAGGTCCGCTGCTGCATTGTTGATGTGTTCGAATCACAAGTCGCATATCGCGCAGAATTGAACAGAAAGATGGGGTCACGGGTTCAGTAAGGAGAGGTTCACCGAGATGCTTTTTGGGATTCACAGCCTGAACCAGGATCGCCTTCCTTCTGAAGAAGTTCTTCAATGACGAGAGTCCAGAGCTTAGTTCCCCGTTCCCTGATCCGGCCAGACGTATGACCCACAGGCCATGGCTGCTGGCAGCGCCGGCTCATTTTAGATGAACACCGGGCGATGATCTTGGCGGTGCCCCGAAGTGCTGGAACTCTTCACATTTTTAGTTCTGTTCGCGTCTGATCGTGTGCGGCAGGTACCTGCCGTTGGGGTCACAGCTTCCAAAAAAGTTTTGCTTCCTGAGTGAGTCGTTCCCAAAAGGTCTCGCAAGTGTGGGGTGTTGAGAGTGCTTGAGGTCGTTGGCCTAAACCAGATTGCAGCATGCACAACATCCACAGCGGCGCCGGCATTCGATTTGCCTGCTCTGGTTGCTGCTTCTTGGGGTGTGTGCATGTCATGAACCGCTCAAACACATCTGCGGTTCTGATGCGCCAGGTTGCGGCCCTCGCCTTTCTGAAGTTTTTCCCTCCGGCCTCCCAGATAATCGTGTCCACCCCTTATGAAGGTTTGGTCAGCTGTGCGATTCCCTCCAGTAATCGTAGGAGTACTGAATCTCTCTGGTGTCCTGTATTTGCGCCCGAAGCGTCTCTAGGACGGCAGCCTGCGGTGCTGTGGGCCTGGCCACGATGCAGCTGGGAGCTCTCCGTGGGCATCGGGTGCGCAGCATAGAGCCCGAAACCTCGCTTCCAACCCTCAGGCCAGGCTCAGGCTTCCAAAGTGCCAGCAACATGGACTGCCTTTGAGAATCGGCAGCGGATCGAAGTGCTGCAGCATTGCGCAGCATCCCTGTCCGATCCCATCCGCCCAGATGATTGGGCTGGTTCGTGGTCCTGAACGAGCTGCCTGGATTGCAAAGGAGCTGAGCATGAGCCGATCATGAGCCGAGCATGAGCTGAGCCTTCTAGCGTTTTCTCCCGAGCCATGGTGTCCTCTGAGTGCCAGGAGCTGGTGGGGTGTGGTTCCATTGCAGCCCAGCCCACAGCATCCCAGAGCATCCTAAGGCGTTGCAATGCAGACGCTTGTGTGATCGTGGAGCGACTGAGGTGGTCGACACCGACGCGCCGGGATGGATCAGGTGGCCTGTTATGCCGAATTATCCCCTTGCTTTGTGGGTATGGTTTGTTTTAAGGGCACGTTGCTTCTGATGTTTTGCAAGGCCATGAGGGGAGGAAGCGGTGTTTACAGCTTGGGGCCAAGGCTCGCCTTCCCTATGTCTGGCAAGGGCGAGCTTATCGCGCCTCCGGACGCCTGGAAGTCATAGATGCTGGCGAGTGCATGGGATCGATTCCTGCAAGTATCCAAGCCAGCGCTGCTAGCCATGCAGGATTCCACAGATGTCGGCGGCGGTGCTGACGGAATCATTGATGGAGTTGGTGGTGAGGTGTGAGGGGCTCATTCTCCAAAGCAGGATGAAGTCTCAGAGCGTTTGAGCAAGAGCTTGCGCTAAAGAGGTTTCACTTCTCACTGTCGTAATTTTCTGTTTGTGTTTACCTTGGGGTGGTAGTTGGAAACTCTTTTTTTCAGGTTTGCAAGTTATGCTCGTGTGCCATCCTGCTTCTGATTGCACCATCAGACTACATCATAGTGGGTGCGATTCTCTCCACGAGACTGCAGATTATTTTGTTGAACGAGGTTTTGCGTGGAGACTTCTTGAGCCCACTGGATGCGCACGGTCAACGGGACCCTTTCGGGGACTCTCGCCTTGTTCCCCAAGCTGTGCCCAGGCTAGCCCTAGCACTGGAGGAGCTTCTACGGGTGCGTGCCATCGTCGTACGGTGCTCCGTCGAAGGAAAGTGTTGGAGTGAATGGTAGGTGGCTGCCTTGAGAACAGGTACAGCGCCGTGCTTGGAGAGGACGCGGCGCGTGTGGATGCTGCGCAGCACAGGTTGCACCTGCAGGTGCTCTGTCCACCCGAAACTTCAGCTGGTTCCCCCGAAGTTCCCGTTGTTGTAGCGTGCCCTACAAGTTCACGGAACATAGCATGTTGCTGGGTTTGTCAGCAATTCATGTTCAACGCAGCGTCTACATGCTCTTATTCAAATGTCTGGGGGCAGTGCTTTTTGTCTCTCCAGAGGTGAGGTATGGAAACATCGAAGAATTCATGGCCTCCCTTGATGCGGTCCGGCAAGTCGAGGTGGGTACGTCTTGCCTGCTGGGCGGCGCTTTGAAGACTTTTACTTTTGCTTTGCTTTCCGGATCCAATGCCGATGCCTCCATGTTGTCTCCATGGTAGCGGTTCGGGATCTGTTGATGAAGGGCCCCCCCCCCTCCACAAGTTGGACCCGAGACTGTTCACAATGGTTCCTTCAACACGACCTCATGTTAGGGCCAGAGTTCAGTGACTGCAAACCAGCTGTCAAGGCCAATGTTTGGTTGAGATTGTCAACCCTCCCATTCTTTCTGCGGGGGAGAGTGGCGCATTGTAGTATGTTGCAAGTTGCCATCTTCAAGCAAAAACTCGGGCCATGCAGACAAAGCCGATTTCTGCTCGCCAGTCGGAGAGGCGCCAAACAGCGAACCCGGCCGCGCGGCTAACTTCTGATAAAGTCCAAGGTCTCATTCGTAAAGATGAACAACTAAAGCAGCAAGAAGAGCAAGAAGCGCAGCAACCAAAAAGGGGGTTCTAAGGGTAACCCCAGTCAAAACCGTGAAATCGTGGAAAGGCGGCCTTCGCCCTGATCGGGGACGCGAGGCCGGAGCCTACGGGACCCAACGACTTTGAGAGTTCATGTTTGGCACGCTTGAGTGTCGCTTTGGGGCACTTCTACTCTCGAATTCGTACATGGGTTCCTACTCCTTGACGGTGTGACGCAGCCGAATCACAGCAGAGAAGTGAGCCTATGGCGGGGAAAATTAGGGGCAAGAATGTTCACGTCGGCAGACCTTTGAGGCTTCGGATTCTTAAGCTGTTGAGTGCAAATGTTGTTGAGAAGCATGAAGCCCCCTAATCCCTTCGAGCCCTGCAGGTATCAACCAAAGGCCTGGCATGTGGCCAGTTGGAAGGAGGTTGCAGAGTGCATGAAGGAGCCGCAGATATTCCCAGAGAGGGTGTCAGTCTTGTCAAGTGGCGGCTCACAGACTTGCAGCCGATCGTGGAGACGTAGTTTTAGAAGTTGTTAGTGTTATCTTCATGAGCTGACATACTGTGCTGACGGCCTCAACTGTTCGCTTCGGCCAGTTTTCTGTTCTGTTCTGACAGGGCAAAGGGTGTGGCGGCGGTTTTGCCACAGCGGCGCCCTGCTGCAAGGGCCCAAAAAGCGCGTAGCACGGACCAGTTACGTACCGAAATTTACTCCCCCCCCACTTCCAGGTCTCAGAGCTTGGCTGAACCCCGAAGGTCCAAGGTGTCCCAAGGATTATCCCCAAGCCTTGCGATCTGAAGCCCAGTAAACGTCTCAGCCCGGCTGAGAGCCTGCACAGCACGTTTCGGAGGACCAGCCAATTTGGACACGCCATGCGCGGGGGCCCCTGATTGGAAAAGGCCGAACGAGCTAGGGGAGTAGCTACTGCATTCATGGTGTCACATCTCGTGGATTGCGACATTGGGCTTCTGTTCTGGCCGTTCTGACCATGTTTCTGTGGGCAGCAGCCATCGCCCTCAGGACACAGGTGAAACCTGGGCGCATCGGTCGGATCATCCTGAAGTTCGACTGACCTGCCAGGCCGCCCTTAGCGGCCCTCGACCTACGCATCCTGTGGCTGCGTGGGCTCATGTAGGTTCCAAAGTGATAGTCTGGAGTGCATGGCTCAAGGCTCTGCTCTTCAATTGTGCATATGTGAGCGCTGAAAGGTGGCGCAGATCACATTCCCCTCACGCACGGTCGTCCAGAAATCGAAGTCCCCGGATTGCTGTTGCAGCTGCACGCGTCAGTTCCAACTTCAAGCTTGTTGCATTTGTGGACCTATGCGAGCATGTAACGTCACGCAACAAGCAGCACTCGCGCGTGACAGTGACAGCGTTGCTCTGTCGGGCAGCCTTTGGCCATGCCGTGACTTCAGTCGATTCGCGAAGTTCTCGAGTTGTTGAAGAAAAGGCCGAAACACGGCCCAGGGGTGCATCAAGTTGGCTGACGTGCAGGATGTTGAAACAACCGTTAACATCCTGTGAACAGGTGTGCGAAGATCTATCAGCATCATGCAGACACAAGAACTTGGTGACCTTGCATTAGGGCATGGCTCTCGCTGGCAAAGGAAGGTTGCATCATGTATGCCCGAGCAGGGCTGCCGGCCTTTGCCGCTTGGGAGGCCCGGATGCTTGGCATGCGCAGGCTACACTGAGAAGTCTGTGACATCAGCGCGGGGACGTTGGACATCACCTGACCCATTCGGCTTATCTTCAAAGTAAGGATTGCGCTTATGAGAAGCTGAAGGCCCAATGTCGAGGCAGTGTCCGGAGTTTGGAGAGTCGCTTCAGGCAGCTGTGGGCTCGGCTGGTGCCCAGGCAAGCCTGGACAGTGTTTCAGCAGTGTTTCAGTTTCTCCTCCTCAAGCCTCAAAACTCAAGAAGCAAAGGATCTTGAACCCCTTGCAGGTGATGACCTCTCAAAGCCCAGATATTGTCCCCACCCTTTTTGTGTGCCACGACCGCTTGGGATAACGTGGGTCTGTGACATTGTTCCGCAGGCATCACGCATTCTGGGTGTTCATAAAACGCACAAACTCGCAATTGGCTACCCACTTGGCAGTGGAGCTGCTCACACAGCTTCTCGTTGTCCATGGTACTGTGGCACTGTTGGCACGGAGTCTCGAAGACATCCTTGAAGAATGGTCAGTGGACATGTTGTGCCCTACAGCTACGTTCGCCCACCTTTGAATCGGAGGGACGCTCTGTGACCCAAAGAAGCGCAGCCTCGGCAGGGCAGACTGGCCTCCGCAGCCTCAGACATCTTCGGCTTCGGCCACAACCCGTGCCTGGGCAGCCATAGTCCGCACCTTTTGTAGCTGTGAGGTTGTTCTAAAACTCGGCTCCATGTCAAGAGTTGCGTGAATCAGAACACCCACTACGGCATTTGCATTTTTCGGTCGTGCCGTATTGACATGTATTGACCATGGGACTGAAGCACCTGCGGGAGGTCCTTTTGGATCGGAGCGTTTCAGCATGTCCCCGCCTCAGAAAGGGCATTCTTTAAGTTTCCGGATGACGAACTGCTGGTGTAGAACCCCAGGCCACCAAACATTGTAAGATCCCTGGAAGAGATTGGGAAACCATTCATTCCAGCTTCGTTTGAGATCGCTCCGTCGAGTTGGAAGTAGTCAGGCGACGTTTCACATAGTCGCACATACAGTCCGACGAATATGTCTTGCGAGCCAGCGAGCACCCAAGCTTGGCGGCCTCATGCGGACTGTTAATTTCGGAGCCTGCAGCGCTGTCGAATCCCTTCTCAGTCCCCGTGCTCCTGATGCAAGAACTCCTGATGCAAACGCTGGCCGCAGGCCAACACTGTTCTGGACCGCTTCGCGCACCAGGTCTTCTGGTTCCACGCCTCCAGGTGCTTGCCACAGCTTCATGTAGTGGCAGCCTATGTAGTGGGCATCTGTCAGAGCGTCGGCATACATGCGAATACTTTCAGTACAAGTACTTGAGATCATGTTTCGCTTCCTTAACCTTCGGAAATGTTGGCTTTTGAGTTTTTCTTGTGGCTGCTGCCCGAATGGTGTTGGAATGCTCCGCGCAGTCGTGCAGTAGCCCAGGCATTATGCAGAATGTGATTCAGCCAAATGCGTTTAAAATTAGTTCGACTGCAAGTCCGAACACAGTCCGCCAGCAGGAGAGAGGCAGCGACAGCGACTCCCCCCTAACTTATTTCGGTGTTTTCCGAGGCTCGGCCACACCGAGTCGGGTGTGCGCGCCTTTGGGCGGACGGCGGGCGCAGAATACTGGGTGCAGCGAAGGCCATGCGAATTGCCATGGAGACCCAAGCCCAAGACTCTGCGATGGAATGGCATTCTGAGTAACAGTAAGCCGAAGCAAGACTAGCTATGAGTAGCATCCCGCCTCAGTCGGAGACGCGACATGAAGTTTTCAGCAGGAAGCGCTGTGGAATAAGCAGGGCAGCGCGGCTCGAAGTGCGCCGTTTGATGAGACCGCAGCTTGCGCGCAGGGGTCCAGAGCAGGCACCCCACGAACGAGGGATGGACTGGCACTTTGACAAGGAGATTTTTGTTGTGCAATCCTGGGACTGGGACTACAGTGGGCTTCAAAGACCGCAGCTGGAGCCTGACAACATATGTGTGGTACTCTTGCTTTTTCTTGTTGTCTCGAGGACGAGGACCTGTGTCGAGCCCAGCTTTCCGTTTCATCTGCGACATGCGCAGTCGGCAACTGACCGCTCCCTGCTCTACGATCAAAGATCACCGCAAACCATGCTCAAACCACGTGCAAATCCTCCAAAGCCGCATGGTGCTCACCCAAGACCACAGGCAAATCGAGTAGGATTTTGAGATGCATCCTGGCATTTGGCGACTTTACATGGCACATGGCTGCATATCAAGGCTTGACCAGAAGGATCTGGTGGTAATGCCGACAGTGGGAACTGTGACCTACTTGAGCAGTGTTGGCGCCCCACTTGTCGTCCGCATCCTAGACTGACGTTGTTACGGCAACGCGGCAGATGAGAGCAGCTTTCCCCCGATGATGATAAGAGGCAACTCACGCCTAAATTTGCGCTCAGTCCATGCACTCCTATGAGGTTTTAACCCAGCCGACGCTGGATGAGCGAGGCTTTCCACGGCCTCTTTCAGGCAGTCAGGCAGGGGCATGGTATGGCGTGGTACATTTCATGTGATTGAGAAGCATGGTCGCTCCACGGCTTCCGAGTAGGGCTGCGCTGCGCCCCAGGTGACCACTTTCCTTACCCGTCCAGTCTTTGGCCGGCATGCAGCTCGACGGCAGTGCTGGCTTCAACGCAGAGATGCTGCACTGGATGCGAGCAGCATCGCGTACATAGAACAACGTTCTACATTGTCTTCTACAGGTGGCATTCGATGGCCAGCTGCTTCACGGCTGTCCGGCTGCTCTTGCTGAAGTGGGCGAAAGGCAGCTGGCATGGCAGTGCGGAGAGTTTTCATGGGTTCGTGCCTGTCTTGAAGAGTGCTTTTCTATCCGGCGCTCTGAGTCCAGTGTTGTCTCACTGTGCACGATGTCCACAGGCCTAGAAAGACAATCTTGAAGCTTCTAAGAAATCGCCAAGTCCTGAGTTGAATATTTCGGAACATGCGCTGGTGCAGGCTCTCGCTGGTCGTGAACATTTGGTTCGAGCACAAGCCCTTGGGAGCAGCAACCTTAGTCTTGCCGTGCCGCATCATCCCTAGTGCTGCGCCATGTGCAAAATGTCGTCAAGCAACACGTTGTCGTTCAAGAAGACACTTCAGCTAAAATCCGAACGGGTCCAAAAGTTTATGAACGAAGTGACCTCACAGCATTCACTCAAGTTTGGCATGAACCTTTCCCGTTTCTTTTGAACAGAAGAACCTTGTGCACTCCGCGCTGACACTCCAACATCTGGCAAGCTGTCTGCTGTGAAGCCCTCACAATGGAACTGCAAAGCTGCTTGAGGGGGCTTGCTTGAATCCGTGCCGCTTCCCAGACCATCGCACTCTTTTCAGGGTACAATGCCTCGTGGCGCGAACATGCGTGCGCAAGTTGTGACACATGCACGGCACGGCACTTAGGTCCACACTCGGCGCGCCCGCAGTTCATGCCTCAAAAAAGTTCAAGAAACATCTTTCTTTTCATGTTCTACGTTGCAAGTACAAGAGTCGGCCTGGCTGTCGATGCATGCCACAACAAGAACTACGCTCCCTGCTGTCATTAAAGATATTTCAAGCTACTCAATCACTCAGAGCGTCGAGTCCTGTTTGGGCATTGCAAGCACTTACAAATGGCACCATTTCTGCAGCTTTCTGCAGAAAGCGCCTGTGCACAACTTTTGCTCCGCCACAAAGTCAACGATGTGCATGGCAGCCGCAAGAATACTCTGAAGGTCACCCTAAATCACCTAAACGGACTTCCGCGAGCATGCAATGGCCAATCTGCTAAGTTCTGAGCGGCACAGAATCAGCGGAATCCAAACTCAATCACGAAAGCTACTGAGCTCCCTCAAGCTCGCAGTCGTTGTCGTTTCCCATCTCTCTTGCTGCAGGTCTCCACTGCCAGGGCGACCAGTTCTGACCTCCAAACACAGGCTTCGAATGGTTTCTCAGCAGAACTGTTAGTTTCGAAGACAGGCGCTGCTTGAGTCGTGCTGACATTTTGGCTGGGAGGAACGAGAGGAACTGCTGTCAACTTCCGCGCCTTTGAAACCGATCCATCAAGAGGCTCGTGGCATCGGCATATTGCGGGCAGCTCACTGGTCCATTTGAGCCATCTCCCATTTAAGGATACGCTAGGAGGCACTCTCCGCCACGGCTTCCTTTCAGCATCGCTTGTTCACGTGCCACGCAGAAAGGCTCCTTCAGCTGGTGGACGAGTCCTCGCCGTAGACTTTGGACCTTGGCGCGTGGGGAACTTGGCAGATGAAGGCCGCCTATGGGCAGAACCACAAGTCAGCCAGGTTCAAGCACAACAGAACCAGAGGAGTACACCTTAAATCCCACACCCCAGGGGTGTTGGCTCACACCGTCCGGTCCCGTAGGCGATAACATCTTGTTTCCCTGTCATTTTGACTGGAGCATACTGAGATGCGCGTGCACCCGATGTCGCTTGCGGCCATACGTCAGATCTGGCAAAAACGATGCAGCAGCGCGCCGCGCATGCCAGTAGCATGGGATCGCAAACCAACTCAGTCTGCATAAAGGCTAAAGCACTTGGAGTAGAGGTCAATGGTGGCCATTGCTGGTAGAAGGTGTAGCAGTAGAGTTCAGGGTCTTGATGCCAGCTGTTGTATGCAATGTGGCGAAGCTGAGATCAGCGGGCTGCGGATTCCCGCTGAGCTCCAGGCACTGCCTGGAACAGAGAATCGGGTTAACGGGATTGACGGGTGTAGCCCCTCACTCATGCTCTGAGTCTTGAGCCCCTTGGCAAATGGAGGAGCCAGGAGGCAGCCCATGTGCTGTACACCATTCCGTGGACCAGGCAAGCTTGTTGAATTTGCTACTGGCAGTCGCAGCTGCACCTGTCCACGGGGCTTAAGTCGGTGCACTCGGTACATGTGCACAGTTGCAGTTCAAGAAGCTGTGCCTGTACATGACCCACAGGAGTGAGTAATGCAGGGAGCTCCGGGAAGGTCTTTGGGCTGAGGTTCTTCGGACCACTCGCAGCACTACTTGCATCTTGCAGGGCCAACTCGTCCTTGCAGGTTCAGGTCGCACTGCCAACCGCAATGTGTGGAACGAGGTTTGGGCCTCGGTGATGGCGGGTGGAGACAGTGGAGATGGGCGTCACTGACAAGCTGGAACTCTTCACCTCAACCATCGTGTCAAGAGCCTCAAAAGTAAGCCAATCCCCCTCGGCTGTAAATGCCGGAACAGTACGGGGGTACCCCCTTTCCGGCAATTAGGTTTCGGCAGCTATGGTTTTTCACTGTCGTTTGCGTCTGTGAGGGGCTCGTGCTGGGTCTCGATGGGCGGGGGTCGAGAATTGCCTTCGGCATTTTCCAACCCCTACCCTTAGTCCAAGGGGGATGTACGCCAATGCTGTCGTCAGTTTCGTGAGCACCTGAAGGATCACTCGGACTACTGTGTAAACCCAGATTTGGACGCCTTTGCCTGTGTCCTTGTGATGAAAGGTCGCGCAGAGGTCGCGGTGCGCGGCAAAGGCCAGGGCCTCAGGGGACGAAGCTTGCGATGTTTTGGCTCGTTGCGGGGTGCCCACATGGACAGATGGAGAGCATGCAGAGCATGGGAGCCCCGCACTGCCCCACATGAAACGAAGGACGCGATCTCGGTGAACTCCTGGGCCAGAATCTCATTTGAGTGCTCGGAAAGAGTGGAGGGGAAGGGAGGGGGGGGTGAAAAAGTGATAGCAGGATGTGCACAACAGAGGCAGTTTTTCTCTCAAAGGTCCAGTTTGGGAGTCTTGGGGGCCATTGGGGGCCACTGGGGGTCTGGATGGTGTGGTACAACTACAGCAATGCCCTCAACGCTCTGTCCTTGGCCCTCTCGGGCCTTGCGTACAACCGCGACACTTTCGCAGATTCCGTTGCAATGCAGCAGAATCAGATGTACCAGGAGAAAAATTATCATATTACCTGGATTGCGTCTGTGCGCGAGGAGATGCGAGACTTTTTGACAATTTTTTTGGGGAAGCTGCAGAACACTGGCGTGCTCAACACGCTCCTGTTTGGAATCTCAACAGCATTTCTTTGTGAGGGCGAGCTGGACAGTGAGGCCCCAGATGCACTGGTATACGCGTACTACAGCTCTCTGATTGTCAGCATGCTGTACTTCGGCTGCTCCATCCTGTTCTGCTTCATTGGGGTATCAAGTGCATATGCTGAAAGTCGAAGGTTTTTGCTCAAGTTCGTGCCCGATGTTCACGACGCCTACAACTTCGACTACATCGCTCAGCTCCTTGAGTGGGAGGGCAAGGGCGAGGCCTTGCGTGTCCCCTTTGCCATGGAACCCAGCCGCTTAGCAGACAGGAGGGAGCGAAGAAACAAGGAGGCCAAGGAAGCCAAGGGCGTATCCGCGAGGTTAGAGCCTGACGACTTCTACGAGCGCTTCGATGGCATGATGAGAGACTTCAACGAGCCCACGAGGGTGGATTACCTCCGCAAGGGTGGGACCAACACCCACTTTTGGGGCGTGAACCCAAGCAGCGCTGACTGCGAGGAGATGGGAGAACGGCCACTGGAGGATAGCTTCTACGAGATTATCGGCAGGTACAACTTGCTTTGGGAGCCCTGCTCAATGGCAAGCCACAACTCAATGATGCTAGGCGTTTTCATGCTGTGTCAAAGCTTCGCGTATTTCCTAATCGGACGACACATGAGCCGATCAATCCCGGACCGACTGGGCATGTATGTGACCATGACCGTTGTGGGGCTTGCCTTTGCAGGACGCTTCTCTCGGCTTCTGACAGTGAAGTCTGATGTCCTCAATGGTCAGCAAGTGGAAGAAGACTGCCTCGATCGAGCGCACAAGCTAAAACACTGGGTTCTGAAGCTATTGATGCTTGTTGGACCAGCTCTGGTGATAAGCGGCATCTTTTTCCGAGACAGCACCTTGCTGCTACTGGGCTATGTGACCCATGGAACTTTCCATGCCTACTTGGCCTTTTTTCTTGCCCGGTCTTTCCCCAGCCCACCAAAGCATCAGGGTCTGCCGCCGCCACGGCCGGAGAAGCTGAGGCAACTGGCCCGGGGCAAGGGTTTTGGCGGCGACAAAGAGAGTGATCCTGGGCTTGAGGCACGGGAGTCTCCAGAGCCTATGCTTCGCCAGCTCCTCTTCCAGAGCGAGAAGAAGTCTGTACAGACCGCCGTGTTCATGAAGAGGCTCCTCCTAAAGAGCCACATCGTAGCTATCCTGCCCTGGTCTTGGCTGGCCGTGGGTGCCTGGCAGTCTATGCCGGCTCCGGCCAGCAGGGATTCGGAGGTCGATGCCACAGAGGTGAACTTGACCTGGTCGTCCGATGCCTTCTTCAGTGCCCATGCCATGAGCTGCTCGCAGGATGGTCGTGTCTGGCTTGCCAGTGAAGATGGAGTGTTTCAGATCGCAAGTGGCGCAGGCGGCGGCGCAGTGGAGAGTGTCGATTGTCCCGACCTGCCCGTGGATGAGAGTGTGCGGGACATCACTGTTCGGTGTTCTGAATCAGGCTGCTGGCCGGTAGTTCTGGGAAAGAGCAGCAGGCTCTACAGCTGCAACCCGGAGCCTGATGAGGCCGTTATTTCCCTCACGGGTCTCTTGGGCGTCTCTGGCGTTGCGTTCGCAAACGAGGGCTTCTACGTCCGAAAGAACGACAGAATTCTGCACATACCCAGCCGAAAGTCAGTGGCTCGTCCCCTCCCTGGCCTCGTTGGCTTCGACATCCTTCCGAACGCTGAGGCAGACGATGTCTTCCTTTTCTCAGAGGACAAGGTGGCATCTGTCCAGCGAAGGAGTGCAACAGGCAACGAGCTGCAAACGTGGGTGTTGCCTTCAGAGCTGTCTCCCTTGCGCGCTGCTTGCGCGATGAATCGCACCACAGTGCTCGCTGTGGTGCAGGATGCAAGCTCAGAAGACCACCCGCGGCTCTTTCGCTTCCATTTAAACTAATTCAATACAGAGTGCTTTCAGTAAATCTCTCAAGCCTTTTACCGCCATCGCACGACGCGGGTTTGCGCGTGTTGCGACATTCCTGGAAGTCCCCTAAGCCAAGGATCCAGCTACCAAGCACGCTTTCACTATGTTTCAATCCTGGTGACCTGATCCTTAGTTGTCGTCTCATTGGACAAAGCGGCAAGCCTAGCTGGAGCCTTCAGGGATCTTGCTTTTGCTATTTCTTGAACCTCGTCGACCCCAACTCAGAAGTTATTAAGGGACCGGTGAAGGTATGGTCCAGCGGAACGGAGCAAAGCTGCAAACCTGGAGCCTGGAGGATCGCTCGGAATGAGTGAGCAAAGGTGTATCATGGTGTATCTCTCAATGGCGTAGAGTCGTTAAAGGACACTAAGACCCACACACTTTACACTTAGACGGGCTGGCGCGGAGCTGCGAGCCGGGAGTCTCCTGGAGAAGGGGTGAACACCATGCGGGGGGTACCACCGTTCACGGAAAGGGTATGGAGCATGTCTCTTGCAGAGCAACGCAGTGGTGCTGGGAACTAAGGTACCAAGCCGAGGAGGACTCCACAAGGTGGCGTTGCGATTCAAAGAAAAGGGCGCGAACTCCCGAAGTGCTAAAGCGATCGGTTGCGCTGTGCAGCGTGCTGCGCGTGATTGTAGAGAGGTAGGGCGAGCGGCTCAAGGAATGACTCGCATTCCGAGAAGACCGGGAGGTCAGCATCCATTCCATTGGACAGCGATGGATAATCCCACCTACTGCCACTTCAAACATCAACATGATGCTTGTCAAGTAGCCCCCGGCAGTATCCTCGCTGTTCTCCCTGCCCGGCAAGCGAAACCTGATTCTCTGAGAGGGCAAAGGCCTCAACATCGCCGGCTCAGCTCCAACGAGGTGCCACAAGGCGTGATCCGACGGCTCTTTCGGCACTATTTTTTGCAGTGTTTGCAATGTTACGAGGTCGCTGCAGTCGTGTCCAGTCATTGGCTTTGCTGGAGCCATCTGAGTTGATGTGGGAGGCCAAAGTTCCTGGCACCACCCTTTGGCGTCAAGATGGCCGGGCTGCCACAAGGGTTGTTGGGCTTGTTGGGAGTGTAGGGCCTGTACCCGTGCAATCCTGTGCGTGCCGCGAGCCAGTCCGGCAGCTTGATGGGACGTAACTGGAGTGTTGTTGCGGTCTTGATTTTCGTTCGAGGGACGTTAAAGCAACTTACCAGATAGTGCCAAAAGCAGCTAGTACGCAGCTGCATTCTTGTGTTTGGACAGGCGCCGTCAAACCAGCACCGCTGCCTGGACTGGCTGTCTGAAGCGACTGCCAGGCACCACATCTTGTGGGGAGGGCACGGCGTGTGGCAGTGCATGAGTGAGGAACGGAGAGAGACTGAGCTGAAATTCCATAGCTGTCCTGGAAGCATCGGGCGTGGATGCCCAAGCCTAGTCTGTGCGTGTGCAAGTTGCGGTGCCATTTTCTGGGTTCACGTCATGCCTGTGAACGTTGGGGCCCCGAAGCCTCAACGCTCAACCCTGAAGGCCTGAACCCAGAGTCCCCAAATCTTACCTTCTGAAAACCCTGAACCCACCAGCCTGAAGCCAAAGGCCTTATCCATCCTAATTCAGAATGCGGGGCCCACCCCACTCCCCCAAAACCCAACAATAGAGTGGTCCACCCAAAGCTTGTTCAAGCCCAAAGACCCTACAATCCGAGAGACAGCCTCCCAGTAGCAGAGGGAGAGGGTCCAGCTCTAGCATCAAGTCGCTTGCTCCTTGCAGTCTAATACTGGTGCGGCAAGACGACTACGAGTTGGAAGACCTGCGCAAGGATCCAATGATGTTTTAGGCTGGTACGAGGAACTTCTGCATTCGTATGTTTGCGGAGAGGACGTTCTGAAACGACGAGATACCGCCATCCTTGCTTGTGCTGTGGAGATTCTGGTCTCCGTCGATTCCTTACGTGCAGTGTGCAGCCGCAGATAGAGGACTCGCCGTCAGCATGCTGATAGCGAGGTTGCGAGCATGGCTCTGTACGACATCAGGAGGAGCATAATTGTTCCCATCGCAAATACGGCCTGAGCCTTACCCTAGAACCGTCCCAAAAATCTCATAAGGCTAGACCCGACTTCCTGCGCCATTGATTCTCCTGCTTAGACTCATTGCTCGGCTGCTGTACTTACTTTTGGTTAGTAGGGAATGGGGGAATGAGGTACCCTTTAGAGTCCCTTAAAGGGCAGAACCAACTGCAAGCTTAGGTTCTGGCCATCCTTGCAAGCATTGGCCTCTTTGGGGCCCTGGCCCTTCAGCTGCCCAAGATCCAGGTGACCTTCAGTAGCTTCAGCGGCAGGAACCCAGAAGCCCTCCACAATGCCTACAGGGGCTCCACGTACATCTCAGCAACTGTTCGGTTGGGAGGCATAGTTAGGAGGGAGCAGCTGAGCTCTGAACAAGTCAGCGAAAGCATTGTCTGCCGTGGCCCAGAAAAGCACTAGAGCGGCAGCTTGTTTAGAGCGACAGTGGGCAGCCATGAATGCCTGCAGCAGTAGTTGCGCAAGGGTTTTGCAGATTCAGTTCTTACATGATCTGCGTGATTAGCGCATGTTTTGTGCAGGTGAGGCTTGGTTAGCGGAGGGTTGAGTTTATGACCAGCCATGATGACTCCAGAACCATATGCCAGCTATGATCATACATTCAGCTTAACCTTTGCAAGCCATGTCATACTGTGCATTTCGTGCTGCAACTTCGCATGGTGCAAGTTTGTTGCTGATGTGTTGGAAAGACGCGCTTTATTTTGGAGATTTTTCGGCATGATTGTGAACCTGCGTATCGATTGGACAAGCTCGTGTTGCAGCGTCTGCGATTCATTCGTTGCTGCCCAGAGGAAATGCGAGCTACTGGGGGGAGGGGGGGACTCATACTCAGCATCGACAGTTGGCCCTGGCACTTCAGAACAGGACCTGGCACTGACTCAAGCTACAGTCGCTAGCCGCAAGATGCCATTGCATCAGCACATGAAGCGGAGACATTGGAGTCTTGCCATGGGGCAGCAAAAGCGTCAGCAGGTTGACTTTAGCAAGAGTGTTCCAGAACAAGTGAAAGCATCGTTGGCTTGGACGACCGCTTCGAATCTGGTCTCAGTCGGCACATTTGTCTGTCAGACACACATACCGAATAGTCTTCCAGCATCGACGTCTCCATAGATTTCCGCTCGGACGATCGCAGAGTCGGGGCTATAAGACTTCGGCGTCTGCGAGGTTTTTAGGGTAGATTTCCGGATACATGGGTTCCGGGCTTGCATGGACTGATGTTGTGTGCAACAAAGCTGACCCGTTTGGAGGTACATGGCGTTGTGACTACGGGCTTGCTCATCGCATGCTTGGTGAACTTCGTCTGTGAGGCTTTTCGCTGGGATGTTCATGTTGTTGAGCGTGTGCTCAGTCAGGTCCTAGTGCATCAGGCAATGCCAAGGAATCTTGTGACAAGAAAGGAAAAGACCTCACAGCCTATGTTGCCTTCGAAGCAGAAGAGCCCAGTGTCTCCGCATGTCTAGAGATGCTCACATTCGACAGGCTCTGCTAACCAATGCGGGCATGGGAACGGACACGTTGCCGGGATGGCTCGTGCTCTTGTTCCTTTTGGCCCGGTGGCCAAGCATTGAGCCGCTTGAGCCTGTCACACTTACGGAGTCTGAACGGACTGCTGCAGTCCTGAGGGCTGAGGGCGAAGGGCAAGTGCTCTGGTATTTCCCCAGGTACCGTACAGCATCAACCTGGCTTGCTCCATTCTGAGCGTGATGCTCGGCCCGGAACTCGAGCAACTCGCAACGATGATGGCAGTGCACAGGGGGATCGGCACAATCGGGGAAAGCAGGCTTCTGAAGCCGCTCCTCAAAGGAACTGTGAGCCCATACCTGGACTGCTCGTCCCAAAGGAACATCTGAACAGCAGGAAGAAGGCCTCACACCAGAAAGAATTGTTGAAAGCAGTTGCTAGCCGCTAGCCTTCCTTGCTAGCATCATTGAGTTTCATCATGTTCTCCAAAAGGAATCTGAGTCACTGAGTCACTCACTCAGCATTTATACCGGTAGTTCTGCAGAAGGCAGAGCTTGAAGATGTAGTAGTCATTCCTCCCTAAAACCTCTCGACTCAACCATTCACTCAACCATTTTTCAATCTTAAACCTTACAGCCTGAACCCACAACCTTGCAAGCTCCAAGCTCGCCTCCTCTTTCAGGCCCTCAGCTTGCTCTGCATCCCTGTGCACGAATATGAGCCTTGCCCCCCGGCAAACTAACAGTAGGATCTTCTCAGCCAGGCCAGCGGCTGTCAGAGTTTCTTGACTTGGAGGAGCTCGACTTGCCATCCCTCGTCAGAAGCATGCTTGTTACGGCTCGGGGCCATGCCAGATCTGGAGGGAATGCAGGATCAGCCGTTGTGGCAGCTCTAGACTCTGCAGGGGCTAATCGGATGGAAGGTAGATCTCACACAGGTGGACAGGAGTGCTCGCATGGGAGTTTGACAAGCTATGGTGGCCTAAACGATTGAGTCATGAGTAACGAAGGGTGAGGGCAGCTTGTGCCGGCAGGATGACAAAAGCGGGCTTCTAAGCGATGTGGGCCCGGTGCTCGGCTGGGTTGGAATGGGTTGGGTAGAAGAAAGCGGTTTTGATTGGACACCTCGTGCTGCTTCAGGCCTCGCGGAACAAGCAGAGCTCGTAGCTGGTGAGGACGTGGCTGGATCTTGCGCTATTTGAGCAAGGGTCAAAACTATGGTCATTGCGGTTTTATCTTGATACCACATTTGCATGCTGAAGTGTCAAAAAACCCTGTGTAGCGACGGGGAACGTTGAACAGCGATGCCCCTTAAATCCCTTGCAAAGCGACGGGGAACACTGAAAAGCGATGTCCGCATTGCGCGACCTAGGCCCGACCTCTAGAGTTTTGACGGTCGCTCATTTCACCGTGCTACTAGGAAAGCTGTGCATATGTAACTGCTGCTGCTGCTGCTGCTGCTGCTGCTGCTGCTGCTGCTGCTGCTGCTGCTGCTGCTGCTGCTGCTGCTGCTGCTGCTGCTTCTGCTTCTGCTGCTGCTGCTGCTGCTGCCGCCGCCGCCGCCGCTGCCGCTGTCGCCGCTGCTGCCGCTGTCGCCGCTGCTGCCGCTGCCACTGCGACTCTCCACTATCTCTGCTGCTGTTACCACAGAAGCGCCACACAGGCAACGTCCATACTGCCTGCTCATGCCGATACTAAACTCTTTTGGTTGTGGCTTGGCCGAGTTACTGTCCAGTCGAAAATCAAGTGAAACGACGTTGCAGGACCGCTGCTGCGCGTGCATGGAGCGACGAAAGGACTCACTGCCACACCAGCAGGGCAATGCAAGCAGGGGCGAACCACTTCCACTTTAAAGCGGCAACCGACATGTCATGGGCACATTCCTCAGTTCTTCCAGCACAGAATCCTAATTAGTGCCAAATGGTGCTTGCAGTGCTTGTCTTATGGCGGGGGCAGGTAGCTTCAGTATCGCTTGATGTTGCAGGATGCAGTCATCACTCCATGCGGCCACCGGGCAGTCTGCATGAATTGTGCGATAGCCCTGAAGGCCGCATCTGATACGTTTGGAGTTTCTTCGAATTTTCTGCGAATCGTGAAGCCATAGTTCGGGACATGCCAGCCGGATGTTTCATCGCATTGGAGCAGGCCCGAAGCAGGAAGTGTGCAGCGCCTAGCATTGCTCTGTTTCATGCATCGCAACCAACCCTCCCCCTTCAAAAAAACAGGCTGTAGCTGTGATTCATGGGGGGAGAGATGTCAGGATCCGCGTAAAGCCTCCATCATGAGGAAAAAGTTTCTGCCGTTACCTGCAAGATGTCAGCCATAATCTCAATCCCTCACCATGCTTCTCAATTCACTTTGCCCAGGCCCCATCTGCCGCCAGACCATAGATCAGGTGATCCGAGCCTTGTCCCCAGCTGTGGACATGGCATAGCCTGCAAATCTGCTTCTTCGGGCTCGTCCCAAAACTGCTCCCGCTGAACTTGCCTGGCGAAGCACCCCTCCCTCATGTTGTGTGTAGACCATTGATCCGTTCGAGGTCTTTGACTCCTGACACACCTGGGAAAGGGCTTGTGCGAACACCAGCAACGCTGGTACACATGAGCTACCTTGACATCTGTCGGCTGGCAAAAGGGTTCACTTGCGAGTAGAAGGAATTGCCGAGGCTCCTGCCTTCCAGTACCATTCTAGACTTTCCCCGGTTCTACTTATATGAAAGTTTTGAACCTCCCAGTCCCCGGCTCTCCTTATGTGAGGCTTCCAAACCCAATCCTGGTTGCACGACAAAAGCGTTCCTAGTGGGTATCCAGTGCATATACATCACGTCCAGAACAATGTGCCACAGCTGTGCCATCTTCGTCAAGCCACGTTTTCGGTTCACCACAGGTCACCACCGAGGAAGGAAAACCCACCACCGACCACCGTCACCACAAAGCTTGTCAAGACGGTGTTTCGTTTCTAGGCAGAAAGGCAAGGCCCTGGTTTTTGCAAAAGGTGTGTCTCGGCCTTGTCCTCTTGCGGGGGTGTGGCTTGGCTCGGCTCGGCCTGGCCTGGCTTGGCTCGGCTCAGTTGGGCTTGGCTGGGCTTGGCTTGGTTTGGGCTTGGTTTGGCTTGGCTTGGCTCGACTTTGCTCCGCATGTAATTTCCTTTCTTTTGCACACAAGGAAATATCGACGAAGAGACACAGAAATATAGAAATTCGTAAAGAAAAAGAGAGAGAAAGAACTAAGGAAATGCATGAACCAATGCGTGAATGTTCGAAGACATACATAAGGTGAGCGAAGTGACCACCACCCACCTAAGCAAGCGTGAATCCCTTGCATTGTGTTTGCACATGAACGGGGGGGCTGCACCCTCCCCAACCCCTCTGATGTTTAGGCCGTGCAAGCTTGCATCAAAGCATATGACCCCCTTCCAAATCCATGCTTGCCGACCTTGAAGAAGTACGACCTTTGCAAAACAAAAGCCCTCCGCCAGAAAGGCAACGCGGCTTTCCTGAAGATTTGGGGAGTTGGGTGCTGGGAAGAGTTCGAGTGCCCGCCGCAATCTGATGCGACTTCCAGTGCTGGTAGCAGCAAGGTAAGAGCACTGAATCATATCAGAATGTGTTGCATTGCAGTCACCAGATGTGGCCTTCAAGCCGCTAGAGCATGGCCAATATACCAATGCTAAGTGCATGCCACCACACCAGGCGACCATGAGAAGGAATCCTCCGATACTGAAGCCTTGAAGCTTTGGACAGCTGCCATGCGCCGGCCCATGGACAGTGCTGACCGAGATCGGTCCAGTTCCAGAGGTGCTGACAACCTGACAAAGACAACAAGAATAAGCATGATAAGCATGGTAAGCATGGTAAGCATCAGCAGAAGAAGAAGAGGAAGAGGAACGAGGAGAGAGAAGAGAGAGAGAGAGAGAGAGCCGTGCCGAACGCGCCTTGGCGTGGCCCACTTGCAGGCTGGGCATGCTGGAAGGAATGAAGGCAGGAAGGAAAGAAGGAAGGAAGGAAGGACAGAAGGAAGGAAGGAAGCGAGGAAGCGGGAAGCGAGAAAGCGAGAAAACGAGAAAGCCAGGAAGCAGGCAGCGAGGAAGCAGGAAGCGAGAGGAAGAGCGACAAACACTAAGGCGCTTATAATAAATATGAATGGGGCATTCGCGCGTGATTGAGTGATACAAGTGAATAAAAGCCCTCACAATATTTTAATTTTAACGCTACGCGACCCGCCTCGGCCCGGCCCAGCGCATCCGCGTGAGCATGGTGATTCCACAGCACCCAAGTCGCTGGACCCCAAGCAATAAGGGTTGGGTTTAGGGTTTAGGGTTGTGGGTTTATGGTTTATGGTTTATGGTTTGGGGTTTAGGGTTGAGGGTTAGTTAAGGGTTGAGGGCTTAGGGCTCAAGGTTCACGTTTTGGGATTTAGTGTTTTTGGGTTTAGGGTTCAAGGTTCAAGCCAAACCCTCAAGCAAAAGGGGGAGGGGGTCGGGGCAGGGGGGGGTGGGCAGAGGGGCAGGGGGGGGGGGAAAGGTCGGCCTGCTGGCCGGGACTTCAACTGCCCCTGGTCCTGGCGAACCGTCCGCTTTCAGATTGTGGGCGCCCACGGGGGGTACGACAACCTATACACCTTCGGCCCGAGGCCTCGGCGGATTGGAAAAGCCCCCCGTTGTGATAGTACAACTAGTGGGCAATCATTAGTGGGCAAAAAGACCCAATAAATGTATCTTTTACTGTAAAATCGCGTGCAAAAGACGCTTGCATTTGCAAAATATTGAAACGGTGCTTTTGGGCGAGTTCGCGTGTTCACCTTGAATATGAGTGAAGCAAACACGGAGTAGCCGTTTCGACAGCGCCATGAAGACGCCAGCGGGCATGGGACATTGTCCTTCCCTCACGCGATGCAGAAGACGAGGAAGACGAAGTGGTCATTTTCTCTGAGGCGACGAGCAGCTCAAGCCCAGCCCCCAGTGTCCTGGCAACAATTCCATCAACTCCCGTTGCCCGTACAGCCCTTCCTTCGGCACAGAATTCTCGACTGGGCCAATGCCCAAGGCATACGTAAGCACCTACATGTGCTGGTGGTGCCAGCAAACCAAAGCTGGGGCCCAGGCGGCTCTGAGAACCAGAATTGGCAGCACAAAGGCCAAACCTCTGTGCTCAAGAAGCGAAGCCACGCTCTGGAACAAACAAGCAAGAACACTGACGCCGGATGGGAATTTCATCCTGCACAGTGAACAAAGGCCTAGCAGACACAAGCATGTATACACAAGGCTGCAAGTGGGAGGACTGGCAAGTGCACTCAACAACTGCCTGTACATGGTTAGAGTGCCTAAGACTAGCAAACGGTCACCTTGAGCTCCTCGCCTCTCTAACATCGTGCAAAGACGTACCGGACCGTGGGCTCGGTCAGCAGGCAGCAGAGCCGCTGTTCGTGCCAAATATTGGGCGAATAGTTCTTTGGGATGGTAACCTCACCAACATCTAACAGGAGCTTGGAAAACACCAAAACAGTCATATGGAGCGAAGGGAGACGACATTTTCCAAGGAGGGGGAGTGTTTCAGCACAGCGAACGGACCGGAGTTGTTGAATTTGGGCTTTGGCGTTGGACCTTTAGGGGTACGGGCTTGTGCTGTGGGGCCGCCAACGGGTGTTTTTTTTTTTTGGTGTAGGCGAAGTGCACCTATGAACAGATCTTTTTCAAGAGGAGACGCTGCCTGTCCTCCTCTGTTCCGGCTGGAGCTTCTGAACGTTTCAGGACAGCAGAAACGGAGTACCAAAGCAGCGCGCCGCGAGTTTCAAGTGCTGGCAGACATCCAGAGACAGTCCCCATCGGGTACAAAAACAAAACAAGCCCGGGACTGCCTTCAACAGTCAACTTGAAGCGAGAGCAATCGGAGGTGCAATCAGGACCGACATGGTCAGCCCAAGCCCGACGACAAAGCATCGGCAGCCGTGCGAGCCCCAACAGCTGCTGGATGCTCCTTGCCCATCTTTGAATGGCTACTTGGGAACTTACAAGTGAAATCTCGGAAGCGAGGCTAGTGGCAGAGGCCATGACCTGCCCTAGCTGCCCTTGCGCGCGCTGTTTTCGCTCAGGTCCAGCGGCTCCCGCAGTCCTTCGACGGTTTCTCTGCTAGGAGCAGAGGCTCGGATCCCGAGACCCAAGCTTTCGCAGAGCCATGAGTCGAAGTGCAAAGAGTGAGGACTTTCGGAGTGTATGGTGTGGTGGCCTCGTACGCTTTAGTTCGGGCTCGACCGGTTCGGCTTTTGGGCTACGGGATGTCCGATGGTCGTCGCACGTAAGGTGTAAGGTGCAAGCGCTGAGCACAGCACGCTGAAGCAGCACGCCCCGAGAGCCCCACATGCATTCATGTCGATCTGACGCGGAGAAAGGGTCTTCTGCCTTGTGGCGTCGGATGGCTTCGGACTCCCAAAGCCCCGAGTCGCACCGTCATCTCATCGTCTGGGCCTCGAAGCTCCGAAGCCTCGCAGACTACGTGCAATGCGCGGCATCACCAGGTCCAGGAATACTGAGACATGGATTTTGCGCATCATCTTGCGTTGGAGCACAAAAGCTCGGAACCGCTTCCAAATTCAACAATTCAATCTGCGAGCACTTGAACAACGACAATAAGCCAGATTTAGCTTTTCCCCTACCCTACCAGAGCTTGAGGTCGACTTTCTCCTTGGCACGGCTCCAGCTTATTGTCTCCGCTACCGTGAAACAAGAGCTGTTTGCTGTTTGTGCCATCGCACACCAGGGCATGCAGTCGAGGATCCTTTTGGCGTGCTGTCGCCAAAGCTTAGACATGCTTAGGGTTATAGGGGTTGAGGGCTCTCTTCCGTTGGACAAGAGCTGCATGATCTTTACTGAAGCAAACGAACCAGGAGTTCTTTCCTTGCCCCGAGCTGCAGAGCATGCTACTTCAAATCTTGACCCAGTCCTGCGTCACAGATAGAATGGTGTAAGACAATCATTCAAAAGAGAATGCCCCTGTATGATATTCATATGAGCAAGTGACTGGGGGGATGGGCACTTGTGATTCTGCAGGCGCGGGGCAGCCTGAGCCTTTCTCGCTTGGACTCCCCGGTCACCACGCTGCGGCCGTCGACGCCAACCTATGGTGGGGCACCCGGGTCTCAAGTCCCCACAGGTCTTAGGGTTTTAGGGTGTCAGGGTTTAGGGTTTGCTTTGAAGGTTTCAGGGCGTTAGAACCTATGTAGTGCGCTATCCTTCGGACACAAGGGATTCCAGGGCCCATGAGGTTTGGCGTCACGTAGGTACAAAGCGTTCATGACTTCAAGTCTTGTTTGGGGGTAGGGCTGCTAGGTACATTCAAGGCTTCACGACTTTGCCGCCGTTTTCTGACTCGCGCTGTTTTGTTTTCTGAGTCGTGCTGCTTTGTTTCTTGGCTCGGCCGGTTTGGTTTTCGGACTCGGTTCATGCTGCTTTCGACTCATTTTCTCCGACTCGCCGGTCACCCTTGAGCTCAGTGCCGGCAAGACAGGGGTCATGATATGTTCTGATCACATCCAGAGAGTGCCATGGCTCAGCCCCAGGTGGCGGAGACAGGTCCAGCACCAGGCTGGATCTCAGGCGAGTTCTGGAAAGACACGGCCTCGTCACACAGAAGGATGTTCTTTTAGGAGTTGACCTGCGCCATTGTTGCATTGTTTCGACATGCCAAGCAGACCGGTTTGCAACATGGTATGCTGCAAGACATGACAATGTAGCCAACCGAAGCGCTCTGCCTGCTGCAGTCGCACTGACATCATGCACGGCTTGTTAGATGCACCGGACTTAGAGTTAGCCGCTCTGCAAAGACCACTGCTTCATGTACTTGTGGCTCACATCATATAGCGCGTCCAATTTTCGAAGTAAATGAGACTTGATACCATCGACTCCTTTGCCGTGCGAGAGACCTTTGCACTGCCCATGCACAGTTGCACTACCCATGCCTCCCCAGGTGGGTGAGACTGAGACGGCAGCATTCCGCTCGAGCATTGAGGATGCGGCAATGCTGGGGTTGCCCTGAAAGACTGCGTATGGCAATATATTTACAAGAATGTATGTATGTATGTATGTATGTATGTATGTATGTATGTATGTATGTATGTATGTATGTATGTATGTATGTATGTGTGTATGTGTGTATGTGTGTATGTGTGTATGTGTATGTGTATGTGTATGTGTATGTGTGTATGTGTGTATGTGTGTATGTGTGTAATACATTGTATATATTTTACGTGCATACATTTTGATAGAGCCATGTTCAATAGAACTGATGCCCACAAAGACCCAACAGCGTTGTTGGTCCTGCATAGAGACGCAACGTACACAGGCCTCCACAAGCAAGACAGGAGGGGGCGTGCGAGTTTCGGAGCTGAAGGTCGCAAGCACAGGCGGGGCAGCGAGAGAACGCACGTTCCCACGGACACCGGTCCTTGCGCTCTTCGAGCGACGTGTGCGTTTCGGAGCTGGTGAAATCCTTGAAATCCTGACGAAACTCGCGTCGCGTAGGGCATTGCACGGAGCACCGGACGCAGGGAGTGAGAGCGCGATCTGAAGCCGAGGCTTGGAGAGCTGCGGACCCCGACCATGAGCTCAGAAAAACGACGTCCTTTGCTTCCTCCATTTCATCAACGTAAGAACCGCGGCACATAGCATAAGCACAGCAACTATGTCTAGACAGAATGACAGACATCATGATTGGGCAAGCCTTTGGCCGAAGCAAGGAGCTGCGATCCTCAGTGCGCGATCTGCAGCGGCAGATGAAGCAGGCGGGTGCGGTCTGTGCGGCTTTGGAGACGTCTTGCTTGACCCTGGATGGCAGGTGCCACGAACTTGGCGCAGCGAGCTGGAGACTGCTATCGACGCATGCCAGGCCTGGTGTTGACACAAGACCAATGCTTGGTGGATGGCGGCATTGGAGGACCACTTTGGAGGGCCTTGAGCGATGCTTCGTTCAACGAGTGCTTCTTGAGTGGATGGGACGATGGGACGCTGCTAACTCCTTGGCCGCCTCTTGGATCTCCTGGCTCGTTAGCATCTCTGCACGAGGTTCTTGGGGCGATTCACCTCAAGTCTTACCCTCTCCCATCAACAACTGTGCACTCAAGTGCTGCGCAAGCTGACTGCAGAGGCACTTAGTTCAGGCTCCAGCTCTGTCCGCAGCCATGGCTCTGCTCGATGAATCTGCGGAGCATCGCAGTCGGGTGGGCCCAGAGCCGAGCCATGGGGTTGAGGGAGCGCGCAAGAGCAAGTTTACATTCTTTCCCTTCAAGAAGACCAGGTCGGGCTTGCTGCAGAAGTCGCCATGCCCCAAGAAAAATCTCGTCCTTGCGGGACTGTTGAAGTTGGCTCGTGGAGGTCATTGCCTCATAGGAGCGTGCAAAGGAAGCTGTTGTTTCTGCTGGGGATGACCGATTGAGTTGAGTTGAATTAGCATGGCACCTTTTGAATTAGAGCATCCTATGAACAGTCACCTTTATCTCGCCGTGCAGCCTCTTGAACATCGGAGAGACTGTACTGTAAGTCTTTAACAAAACCCGGGCCTAGGTTGGGCTGCCCTCGGTCGCTGTAGTCGCCAGCGGCCTGGAGAGGGCTTGATCACAGTACCTACAGGTGGCCTTAAGGCTAAATCAGCTTCTGGTCCAGATGGTTCCAACGTAGCTGTTCGTGTTGCAGCGGCTTCGGGATGCACCCGGTGCTCTCTTGGCCAGAACTCATTTTGGGGTGGATCGTCAAGCCGCGCTCCTTTGCTTCAGCTCTAGGTGGTGACCTCTGGCCTTTGGGAGTATCAGCAACGAGCCAGGGCCTGATGAGCCCTTTGCGTTTCTGTTAAGCAGGGTTCCATCGTCATTGTTCATGTCTACGTCTAAGAGAGGCTTCATGTCTTCTGGTCCAACTTCTGTTACGAGGTGCTGTGGGCAAAGCAAACGTGGGCACATGATTGCCTTGCCCTTGGCTTGCCCTTGAGTCTGTCTGAGAACATGAGCACTACGTCTGCAGACCTTCACTGCCGCGTGACGGCATGACAGCTGCAAGAACGACGTAGTAGTCACCGTACTGCCTTCTGCTGCCGAGTCTCTGGGATGTGGCCCTGCCTTCTGAAAGCCGCTAAGGGCCCGAGATTCTATTTGTAGCAGGCGCATGGAGCCCGGAGGGACTCTGAACCAGAGGGATCTTTTGAAAGGGTTTATCATGTTTTGGGGGGCCCTTCGGCTTTATGCCTTTGCTTTGGCACAGTTTAGTTTGTTCGCTACCTTCTGGAACATGTGGCTACATCCTAGCAGTTGAACGATTTCGGCTTTGAAAGGGTTGTTTCGAATGCCCTCTCAGCCCCTCAGCAAATCATCCGTTCTTAATCGGAGAGCAGGGCTTGACACTACAGTCAGTACAATGTCCCTATATTTTCTCGTCAGATCTCAAACCCAGAAGGGTTTAGGGCTCGGTGAGGGTTCTGAGAGTCTGGACGAAGGCCCTTGAAAGCGGCGCAAAGGGCAGCGTAGGTTGGAATTAGTTGGCCGCGGCCGGGGGCCCACGGTGGTCTCCAGCGACTCGCTTTCTCTGCCCAGAACTTGAGGCCTCGGCTGGCAACATTTCCTTGGGCGTGGAGGCCCTGCAGACGCCCTGGTGTACTGTATTGAATTTGGTGAGGCTTCTCGGGTCTGCAGCTGTTTCCCATATCCCTCTGCTTTGCTTGAACCGAGCTCCGCCATGTGCTGGCCATTCACTCGAGAACGTGCTTGCGTAAGCTGCGGGCTGTGCCGTCCACGTGCTTCAAGGCCGTGCGATGATGACGAGGAGAAGGGAGTCTGCTGCAAGGCACCGACCCAAGATCAGATCACACAGAACGCGCTGCCTGCAATCGGGAGTATTTGTCAGTTTGTTTTTTTTGTTTTTCCGCATAGATGTCCCCTTGCGCAAATGGCCAGACCATCCTGGGGTTGAAGCTGGCTCTGCAGCGCTTTCCTCACGCTCAGTGGCCGTGCCGGCATGTTCTCGGTTTCGCTGGATAGTTGAGCTCCGAAGTCCGGAAGTCTCAGTTAGGACTACTAAAGATTTGGGATTTCCATTGAGACGAAAGTGAGACACTTCTTCATGCAGGATTGTGCGAGCAGTCGCCGGCTTCTTAGCAGAATCCACGGGATGTAAACGCAGCTGCTGCGTAATATTCGGCCCTTGTGTGTATTGTAGCCTATATGACCAGCTGTGGTTTTAGTGCATAGCACCTTTGTGCAAAGCAGTGCTCATGTTCTTGGTGATTCCTTTTCACTGGCGACGGCGACGGCGACAGCGACGACGGCGACGGCGACGGCGACGACGACGACGACTACTAGTACTAGTACTAGTACTAGTACTAGTACTAGTACTAGTACTAGTACTAGTACTAGTACTAGTACTAGTACTAGTACTAGTACTACTACTACTACTACTACTACTACTACTACTACTACTACTACTACTCCTACTGCTACTACTGCTACTGCTACTGCTACTGCTACTGCTACTGCTACCACTACCACTACCACTACCACTACCACTACCACTACCACTACCACTACCACTACCACTACCACTACCACTACCACTACCACTACCACTACTACTACTTCCACTACTACTACTACTACCACCACCACCACTACTACTACTACTACTACTACTATTACTACTACTACTACTACTACTACTACTACTACTACTACTACTACTACTACTACTACTACTACTACTACTCCTACCACTACCACTACCACTACCACTACCACTACCACTACCACTACCACTACCACTACCACTACTACTCGTCGTAGTAGTAGTAGTAGTAGTAGTAGTAGTAGTAGTAGTAGTAGTAGTAGTAGTACTACTACAACAACTACTACTGTACTACCACTACTACTACTACTACTACTACTACTACTACTACTACTACTACTACTACTACTACTACTACTACGACGACTACGACTACGACTACGACTACGACTACGACTATGACTACGACTACGACTACGACTACGACTACGACTACTACTACTACTACTACTACTACTACTACTACTACTACTACTACCACTACCTGTCTTGGTGTCCAAGGATGACACGGTGGTCTTTCCAAATCAGCTGGCAGCCGAATTGCAGGTCTTCAATGCAGAGGCCTCAGTAAAGCCGGCACAAGGTATGGGTCAAAGAGATTGCGGTCTTGTCCCTTGACCCCGAGCCTTGAGCCTTGGGCGCTGAAGTTTGTGCACTCTCGAAGCTTGAAGTCCATCGCGGAGAGGCCGAGCAGTTTGTCTATGTGGGCGCTCCGTCGGTCACCCTCCTCTGCCATATGGCGGTGCTCTCAGAACAGGGGTCCGACGTTCTTCCGATTTTTATGGGGCGCACGTTCCTGAGGCAAAGTATGCCAAGCAGTGTGGGGAACTTCATGCAGGCGGAGGAGGCAGGAGACGAGAGACCTCTGTACTGGTTTCTGTTCGCGCGGCCCGCTTTTCAAGTTTGTGCATCGGATTGTAAGCGTGCCTGCTGAACTGAGGCGGCATAGTTCTGAGCCGACCATTGGCCGAGTTTCTCCTGAATCTGGAGGACTTGTTCCTCAACGTTTGCAGGCACGAGCTTGCATCAACACAGTCTGGAATCCCTTCGAGTTCCATTGCCACATATTGCCACCATGCACCGCCGCACCACAGCAACGTCATTGGATTGCAATGCACGCAAGATCCCATTGGTCCCATTTTCCGTAATTGCCTTTGTCGTTAAAGTGTCGTCTGCAGGCGCTGGGGATGTCACCGGCAGTTAGCATTCCACATGCAGCTCAAATGCACGAGTTGCCCAGGCACGATGACGCATTCCTGGGCCACTTGCTCCGTTACGTGCTCGATGTCCACGTCATGGTGCCGAGCCTCATCTTCGGCACCCTCTAAGCCGGTCGTGAAACCTCGCCCCTTCACTGAAGCGGGCTTGATGTTGCCATGTCGCTTGCAACTCTGCCTGTGGGTCATCGCAAAGTCCGATCTCTTCTGCGTCCCCCCCTCTCTGTCTTAAGCCCGTCCCCGCCCATCCCATCCCTTCCTTGAGGTTCCTCTGGGTGTCATGCTCGTTTTCGGTGCCTTTCAGCCTCTGCTTGAAATCTCTTACATCCGCGGATGGTACCAGATGCGATGGTGGCATCGTACGGAGAGTCGTAGGTGTGAAGGCGTCGCATTTGCACATGAGGATGGACATCTCGAGTATGGAAAGAAGTTGCTTCCAGATAGCTAAACGGCTTAATTGCAAGCGAACACATGTGAACCCTAACCCTGCGCACGATCCCTTGATCAAGGCGCTTCCCGGGGTCCTGCAGGAGCCTCGATTCGAACAATTGCGCGCGGGCCCCACCAAGCTGACCCTGCTGAAGCTGGTCTTACTGTCTCAGACTACTTAAGAATGAACATGACTAGAGGCGCGAAATAGACCCTCAACATCCTATGTACATGGAGGTGCAGGGTTTATTTAGCGTTACGCGTCATAGGGTTGCAGGGTTTAGGGGACAGCGTTTAGGGTTTGGAGAAACTCGGGGGGGTTTGAGGAATTCAAGAGCTTCCGGGGTTTAGGATTGCCCAAGGTTTTTGCCGCCAGATGCAGTTTAGTGAGTTTACGGGTACGGGCTATGGGGCTTCGGGTTTCCTGCCAGCTGAACCAGCTGCGTTAGCATTCAATCGTTGACCGACATAATCACGGCACAATCATGGCCCCCGTTGCAGCAGGTCCTCTTATAGGCGTGGTAAGGTGTCACATGATGTAAGAGTCCACCAGCGTGTTGTGGCAAGTCTCTGCAGCATGGGCGTCTCGCTGGTGGCACATGCCCCAGCGGCCCAGAGCAGATGTCTTACAAGCTGGACCCACCGGGCCCACCAGACGTCTAGTCCAACAGAGGTTGCGACCGGACCAATGATCGAATGGCCGCAGCAGGCGGTCTGTAGCCAGAAAACAATCGGCGAAGGCATTCAGGGAAGCACACACCACAAGATGCAGATGCTGCATGTGAAGGGCTCCCAGCACGCACTTGTGACCTCGTTCCGTGGCATCTCGAAGTTCCCCTTGGCTTGAGGGAGTCAAAATGGGTGCCGGCAGATTCCTAGGCTGGTCCGGGCCGGGACTACCACCTCGATGCACTTTGCCACTGCCCCCTCCAGCAGCTTCGGCCGCAGTTGATGTCATAGACTTGCCGGCACAAGAGGGCTCTGATAAAGCGATAGAGCAGACATGCCTGTGAAGTTGGACTTAAGTCGCACTTTTCGGAGTCGATGCCCCTTCATCAGCTCCTGATGCGAGGTCTACTCTCCTATGGAGGCGAGGCCGCCAGGGATTTCTCCCGGCCGTATGGGGTTCAGGGTTTAGGGTTTTAGGGTTTAGGGTTAGGGTTCAGGGTTCAGGGTTTAGAGTTATTTCAAGATGATGCGCCAGATGATTCCAAAGATGCCTGGAGGACTGGGGGCCCGTGCAGCCCTTTGCTCCCATGGATGCCACAAGGCTCAGCCTTGTCCACGCTGCCGGGGCACCCGGCGCCTTGCCGTACCTCGATAACTCGATAACTGTAATTTTTGATGATGGGATAGATGGGATAGAAGATGATAGAGAGATTTGGGTGGGAGATTGGGATAGAGTCTCGGATAGAGTCCGATCGGTCACAGACACATACGAGGTCAGAAACGGAACTTGCAGGCTTATGATTCACATGTAGTCGCGGGAGGTAAAGTCGTTGTTGCTGGGTACGAGCAGCAGGAGGTTCAGCAGTTCGTCGCCTTGACAGAAGAATCGCTTCAGACGTCTGAAGACCATTTTGGATGAACTAGCGACGACGATACAAGGCTGTGTCACAACTGGGTGGGAGAGAGCAAATATGAACTATGAAACGCATCTTTGCCTGCATTGTGCGCGTGTGGACTTTGACACAAGAAAAGTAAGACGACACTGTCGGTCGCGTGCACGCTGTTGCCGGGGTTGCATAAGACCATTCCACCAAGGTGACATGTGACAATGTGTTCAGCTGGTTCCCTGACGCAGCTTGCAGATATAAGTCCATATCAGTCCGCTGACTGTCATCTGGGCAGCGCTCTCTCGCAAGCTTTGGGCTCAGCAGGAGTAGTCACATCCACGCGCCCTGAACAACTTGGGTGCCATTTGAAGCTCGTACCGGCGCCAGTGGTTTGAGGCTCCCGGTCTCGTGCAAACGTATCTCGAAAGCGGAGGAGCCATGGCCGCACAGGGCTATTCGGACTGCAAGTACGTTCACCTTGCCATCAACGGCATCAGTGGCCTGCTCGGACTACTCGACGTGAAAACCAGCATCTCGGTCTTCGAGCGCCTTGGTTTGTGCTAGAGGCTGGCTCCAGTGATCTAAGGTGCAGGTAGCAGCACAGTGGCGATAAAATCACCCGGTGCTTGAGGCTCCGCAGCAAGGTGGAGGACCTGCTGAAGATCCCTATGAAAGAGCAGCAGTTGCTTCGCGGTTCAGCACCTCTCGCGGACACGGCCACTCTCGATGATGCCCTTGGGCTGACAGGGGAGCGCTGCGATGGCTGACAACTCTTGCTCCAAGTGCAATTACTCAGACAGAAGTTGGGTTGCTCTGGGTTTGTATGCGTCACAAAGCCTTGTTCAGCCAAAAGTGGGACCAGACCCAAGTCCCCCCCCCCCCCCCCTCCCAACACGGATTCACTCCGTCTACCACCCTTCGCTCTCTTTCCTTTTCGGACCCCTCCCCAGTTCTCTGACAGTCGCATGTCGGTTACACTCGAATTTCGGCTCAGGGACGAAACCGCATGACGTTAGAAGGCGGCCAGCGTCCATGCAGAGGCACCTTTCGAGGATGGAGATCAAAAGAAAGCCGACAAGTCCTAGAAATTGCTGAAAGAACATCTATACAGGAACGTTCCAACCGAAATGATCGCTCCATGTGCAGCGCTCTTGAATCGTCCGCCGCGCGTCTGAGAGGGCCCGTAGAAGCAGGGAAAAACGTCTGTCGATCAAACCAAGGCCTTTGGGTTTAACGCTGCTTGTCCCCGTGCCATCGCGAACGGAACAAGAGGAAGCTTTGCGTGTGCTTTGTGAAGTGTCGAGCATTCATATGTCAGAAAACGATTCGCAGGCAACGTTTGCTTGGTTTGGTTTGTGTCACAGCCAAACCAGATGAAGTGCTTTCTTTTGAGTTTTCGTGTTCATGCAACGTGCAGTTCGCGCGGAGCTCTGTGTTTGCTCTGGCTTGCGGCTTCGTGAGAAGCATCTTGCAGGAGGCGCCTCCGAAAGATTGCTGCAGCGAGGTCACACTTATCAGGGTGCAACAGCCCGAGACAACACAGGAATGGGTTGGAAACCAGTGGTCGAAAGCTGTTGGTGTGCGTTGATGGTAACTTACTAGCCATGCACTGATGAGCCATCCATGTTCGATTTCTGCGTGTTGCTGCCGCAAGTTTCGCTGCAGAGAATCAGGACTACTCTCCTTGGTTGGATCGGGACGCTTGGAGCTGGCGCTGAGGAGTACACCACGTCCACTTGGCGCCCCGCTTCGAATTCGTACAGTAGTAGGATGCAACAGCCTCAGCTCGATCTAGAGCCAGTCATGCTCGGCCATAATCATAATCACAATAGTGATAGCAATAGTAATAATTATAAGAATAATAATAATAGCAATAATCATAATCGCAATATTGATAGTGATATCTGAAGTAAGCTTGCCAACAAGGAACAGGTGGTGGCAAAGCATTTTGCCGTTCTGGCTCTGATGTCTGTGTGGTTGTTTTCAAAGCATCCGCGCACAGTAATTCATTGCAGTTGCCCGACTGCTCTGTCGTCGTTTGTTTACCCTGCGGCCTTCCCAGCTTTTCCAGGAGTGTCTTGCAGAAGTTCAAAGGTCCTCCAGGGCCCCTGCAGCTCTGAGCAGCATGTCTAATACACTGCTGTGAGTTTTTGTTGCTTGGTTGGCAGCTGGAGAAGGGGAGCAGCCTGTCGATACTTACGTTTCGAGCGACGCAACACCTCGCGAAGGTGCAAAGTGGTCTGTGGGCGAAATTTTAAACGTCTGCATGTGCTTGGCACAGAGTCGCCTGACACCTCTTGAAGCAGACCGGAGTCTCTGCGTGACCATAAGCAACACCCAGTAACGCAGTAGAACAAACTGTTGTCGAATGGACATGAGACTTCAGTTTCCGCCTTTGCAAGAACACTTGCCAGTCTAGCTTGATTTGGGCAGTCATTCAGTGCTGCTCTGCCGCCTTAGCGCTCCTCGTCAGGCGGCATCTTGATGTTTCTGGAAACCAACTTGAATCATCTGAGAACGTGAACATCAGCGAGACACTGGGAGACCCGCTTGTGGAGAACTTCGCAAGCATGGCATGCCTTTTGACGAGGGAGTCAGATTGCATGCTCAGCTGCTCCATTCACAAAAATTAGTTTAAAAATGACCCCAAGGAGCAGAAGCCCCGTGCCACAAGCCTGAATTATAGGCGGGTGCGATATCAGGCCCGGGCCAGGTCACCAGGTCACTTGCAGAAGTCCATAGACGTCCCATTGTCTCAGCAGACATCAGCAGAAGAAGGCCAGCAGTGCTTTGGAGCCAATAAGCTCACGCGTTGTGATCTGTGCCCGGGCCTGCAACAAACAGCTGCAACGGCTGCAACACATGGAGGCAATTATTGCCAAGCGGAAAGCAGGGGACTACTGTGGCAGTGCACATGTGGTAGAGGCAAGCAAGGGTGATATGTCCGGCCCGCAACTGGGTTTCCAAGCACGAGAGGTAAGCTCACACGAAGTATGTCACTCAGGATCTTGCAACCTGGCCGGTCTTGGCAGCTCTTCCGGAGCTGGCGCGCCCGCCTTGTGCCAACTTTGCGATGAGAAGAAACTGCACTGATCCTGCACGACGTCATCACATCACACCACGAAAAAACCACGGCTGATGTCATTGGCCATTGCGCTTTCCCTTCATGGTGATACCTGGCCAGGTGGATGCCGCAGCAAAGCTGGGTCTGCACCTCCTAGTCTACGCCGACTCACAGGGGCATCGCATAGCTGCTTGGCTTGAGACCTTGAAGGACAAGCTTAGAGCTTGCAAGCAGATGCAATAGGCCCCTACTTGTAGCGGCCTTGGCCTAGCTTACGCCATCAGTTCATGGGATGCCAGATGTGCAACAATCACACAGCCGAGGTGTACCCGCATTTTCGAGGAGCCACGACTTTTGCAGCCATTGCCTCGTGCGTGCCAGCAGCGTACTACCGCAGGGTTCAAGTAAACTGCTGCTGCTGCTGCTGCTGCTGTTGTCACGTAGTGTTGAGACAGTGGAGCCATCCAAAATCCCACGCTTGTAAGTACTATCATCTTACATAGGGCTGTATGAAAACTGGGGGGCTTAGGGTTTTACGAACAGTGCGAAACACTTTCCCCGCGAAAGGCACGAAAGGGTGGCGGAAGGGGTCGCAAAGGGGCTGGCGTGACATCACCGAAGTGCCGAAGCGGACATCTTGTAATTTCCGATGGTTCTGTGGCTCCATGCGGCCCATACTCGCTGGATGAGTGGGGCACATCCAATCTAACCTTTTGGCCCTTCATTCATGGAAACGTGTGAGGCACGTTCTAAATGTTGTCTGTTTGGCTAGGGACATGAGATTGACTGATCTTCACTGTTCTAAGGTTTGGCATTCTTGCCGTCCTGGAATTGTGATCCATTCATGCCAGTTGTGGTTTTGCGCTCCCATCTCCCCCGGCCCGCCCAGGTGTGCTCCTATGCGCACGAAGACAGGTTGATGTCCTTCCAGGTGCGACATGTCAACCCATGCACAGCGTCATCTGTTCTACCTGTATTTGCAAGAGGCTCGTTTAGGGTTGCACTTTGCAGGGGGTAAAACACCCATGGATATTTGGCTCAAGCCATGACCAAAGCGGTCGAAGGTTTCGTAAAAAGTGTGCCCTTGGTTTGGGGTCTTGTTGGTTTGGCTGGTTGGTCCAGGGGTAAATCCAGGGCTTCGGTTGGGGTTGACTGTTTGGTTCCTTGTCCCCCTTCGGTTGCCCCCCGTAGGTTATGAGCCCAAATTAGGCACCCTGTGGGTTCGTAGAGATTTTGTACTTGTTTGGTGCAATGGACATGTTGCGGCGTCGATCTGAACCTGGACTGTCATCCGCGGCCAATGAAGCCGAAGAAAATCGTGGTGATGGGGGTGAAGAACAGCAACAAGTTGTGCAAGCACTGACGGATGGAAGAGAAGTTGCAGTGATGCAACCAACTTCTCAGGTTGAAAATGAAGTGGTTCCGGTGCCAGCAGCGAATCCTTTCTGGAGCGAGCGGGCTCATGAGGAAATGAGACTGAGGCAATCAAGGCCGGCGAGTCTTCCCGCAAGCGGAGGGGATAGAAGTGGTGAAAATACGAGGAGGCCACCGTCGCTGCCAGATCTTCGGGATCGAGAACCTGTACAAGCTGAGAGGCCATCGTCAGGTTTGATGGGTCAAATGGAAAGAGGTGACATTGGAGAGACACGAGTAGAAGAAGAGCTGATTCCGGACACTACTGGTGTGGATCAAGGAGAAGATATGGCGATCGTCAAGCATGCGTTGAAGGAGCTTCTGGCGCATACCAAGGAGCTGGGAGAAGAGTTATACCTCTGCTGCGTCTGGATCTGTGTCCCATGCACGAAGCGCCGGGGTAGTAGACGTGAGCGCTGTATACCCACCAGGTGTCAGCCCAGAGAAGCAGTTTCTGCCTGGACAGGTTTTTTACACTGATGGTTTGGGTAGCTTTTGGACTGTGTTACCAGATGGGACGTGGCTGCCTATTGAGGGTTATGATCTCCCAAGAGGTTGCAACCTTCAACCGATGCCGGAGGATGTCAAGGTGGAGGCGGAAAAAGAAGTGCCAATGTTGCATTTCCATGAAGGGAAGAAACCCTCAAGGTTACCACCGCTGAACCATCCTCCAGCGAGCTCTACCGGCCATGGATATATGGGAGGTGCGCCAGGTCTGACACAGGTTCCAGTTGTTCCCCTACCGGCAGGAAGTGATGGTGCTGCAGTTCCTCAAACGAATCCGCCTGGCTTTGTTTCTGCTCGGGAGGCGTCGTCACATGTGGATGCTGCAGGGTCAGGTGGATACACAATGGTGGAGGGTGTTCCGTATCGGTGGAAAATGGTTGCTGGAAAATTGGAATTGGAAAAGGTTCCACTTACAGTGCCTACGTCTGGTGCGGGATATGGGTCTCTGCCAAAGCCTACTGGTGGTGTGAGTCTACCCCAAGGGGCAGTAGTTCCTCGGGCAACGCCGCCAACTGGTGATACTTCTGGGATGGAGCGTCCAGAGGCTCTAGGAAAACATGTGATGAGTCTGCCTACTCTGGCAGAATACACTCCAAGTAATCCTACGGCGTTAGGAGATTGGATCGCAATGATCGAACCACTGTTGTCTTCGCTGACGGATACAGGTAGAGTGCGGTGGCAATGCGTCTATTCAAGGGCGTATCAGGCGTAGGCCAAATGGTTGAGTGTCTCCCCGCTGGAAAGGTTGGGCATCAAGGCCGAGCTGGAAAGGCTCAAGGTGGTTCAGACTGCGCACGTGTTGCTGGAGCAGAGGGCGGTGTCCCTGTTGCTACAGGCGATCCCAGAGAGGTTGAAGACTGAGATAGTTTCCACTCGGATGTTGGGATCTACAATGACATTTTATAGGCTGCTAACGGTCTATCAACCAGGCGGAGCTCACGAGCGTGGTACAATGTTGAACTTCTTGGTGCAACCATCAGCTGCAACCTCTGTTTTCGAAGCAATCAAGGGGGTGCGACAATGGGCGCAGTGGCGATCCCGGTTAAGGGAGCTCAGAGCATCTGAACCTGATGCTACCCTGCTTATCAAGGGTTGGATGTATTATCGTCAACTTTGCTGGCGAAACACCCTACGGTTCATTTTAGAGTGGCATCCTTTCGGGAGAAATTGGGGGTGGACTACTCTCCGACCTCTGAAACTGCGACACAACTAGCTGAGATGCTACAAGCAGAGTTTGAACTGCCATTGCATAGTGCTGGTGATCAGGAGGTGAAGCAGGACTCGGACGCCAAGAAAAGGGCGAGATTAAACAAAGCCCAAAAGGGAAATGGTGACGAGACAGAGGAGGGTGACAAAGGCAAGGGAAAGGGAAAAGGTCCAACAATGACGGTGAACGTCCTTTCTGTTGGATAGATGGGAAGACTGATGCAGGCTGCAGGTTTGGTTCACGCTGCAAGTTTCGCCACGACAAGGACTCCCTGGAGCGCGGAAGATGTTTTGAATGTGGGGCCGTTGGCCATTTACAGCCGCAGTGTCCATACAAGGATGGTGCCGGTCTCAATGCAGACCCAAATTCGGAAGGGAATAAACCCAAAGGGAATTCTCCCAAAGGGGGGAAGGGCGGCAAAGGTGCGAAATGGGGAAATGCCAAAAAGGCAGAAGTGGCTGAAGGAGGAGATGAGGCGGTCAATGTGGGATCGGAAAGAGGTTCTGCAAGTCCCTCATCACCATCAACGCCCAATCAAGTCATTGCTGAAGCGTTAGAGGTGCTGAAATCTATGAAACTGTCATCAGCACAGTCAGCATCGAGCGGGGATCCCAGTATTCGGATGTTATGTGGTCCTGGAGTTTTTCAGCATGAAAGGAGAGTGGCGTTGGTGGATACAGCTGCTACGCATCTTGCGCGGACACTTTTTCCCTGGGAACGTTTGCCGAACACTACTGTTAATGTGCAAAGCGCGCTTGGTGGTGTGGCTATGAAGATCGCAGAGAAAGGGACATTGATTAGGGAGGACAATGGGCCCCTGATTATTCCCCTCTGGTTGGTGTTGGAGTTTGGGGCGAACCTCACAGTGATCAATGGAATGTGTCATGTGGGTGCAAAATCTTCGCTGGACCAGCTCTTATGGTTTGAACACGGCTGCTTGGTTATGGATTACAAGACAGCTGAAAAGATGGTGTTGCATGCTGAAAGTCAGTGTGCGTCTTGGTCCCATTCTCAATGGAGGAATGGAAGGGCGGACTGTGGAGTCGGTTCGTCAGATGCCACGTTGTTGTCGAAGCAGGGAGAAGGCCGAGGAGTATGCGTTCTACATGTGGCCAGAGTCTCAGACACCAATGAGTGTTCTGGAATGGGCATGTTGGACTCGGGGGCATCACATCCTCTCCGATCACTTCGTCCTGGTGAAGAGCTTCCGCAGCAAAAGGTGTTGGTGTCTTTAGCTGTTGGATCTAGGGAGATGTGTATTACCAAAGGCGGAACCCTGGTAACTCCTGAAGAAGTAGATCCACTTGTGCCAATTGGCAAAGCGAGCGCTTTGGTCGGTCTCAGAGTGCAGTGGCGTGGTGGCAAGTGCACAGCCTCACATCCTGTTCTGGGAGAGCTTCGCGTTCGAGATCTGAATGGGTGTCCTTGTTTGGAAAAAGATGTGGCGCTTCAGATCATTGATGAAATAGATTGGTGCTCACCAAAGCAAGTGTTAAGGGTGGCACGTATGGTTCAAGGGTGTCCAAATACGGACAATGAAGTGGCCGTAAAAGCGTCGTTGCAAAGCGCAGCACGGACAGCGTCAGCGAACGAGGAGGAGTTCGTCCAGGCTTGTTGGCGATGTCTTCGGTTGTATTATGGGGAAGTACCGAGTTGGATTTGAAGAAAGGTGGTGACCTACACAATCCAAGCGTCTGGAAGTATTTTCTGCATCTGGCGGCTGAAGGAAAGGTGGTGGCTGTGGTTGGAGGACCGCCGTGCAGGACAGTGTCAAGGTTGAGGGGTGAAGACGGTGGTCCACCTGTATTACGCCGGCGCTGTGGGCCTGAACGTTTTGGTTTAAAGAGTCTTCCTTGGCCACATCAAGAATTAGCTCAAAAGGATGGGGTATTACTTCTGAAGATGCTTTTCCTATATGACGTGGCGGTGCATTCAAGGTGTGGGACCGCTGGTGTTATCAATGGGAGCTCTGTCTTCTTCGGCATGGAAAGTCCTGGGGATCCTGAGCTCATAGGGAAAGATTTTTCTCAGAATTATAAAACGGTCTTGAGTGCTGAGGATCTTGTGGATGGTTCTCAGAAAGGGATCTCAAGTCCCACCTTCTGGAGTTGGCCAGAGGTAAAATGTTTTCGCGAGCGTTATGGAATGCACGCTGGGCATTTTGATCAAGGAGCGTTGGGACATGCTCTGGTGAAGCCTACGACTTTCCTGGTGTCTGATGCAGAACTATGGGAATCGTTGGAACAAGTTCGTGTGGTTGTTCCGTGGTCGGCAACATTTGCTTCTACCCTGGAAGAACGTACTGGCCAATCCTCCATATGGGCGCGATGGGCATTTGGGTTGGTGAAAAGAATACGTCACAGGTTGACGCAATGGTTGCAAGAGAGCGACGCTGAACGGGAAACTATGCTGTCAAAGAAGGAGGAACAAGAAGGAATGCTACGGAGGTTAACGGCTGATGAGCGAGCCTTCCGTGACCATTGCCTAAGGGGGCACATTCCTTTTAGAAGGGATTGTCAAATTTCTGTGTCTGCTGCTGGAAAAGAGCGTCGGCATCTGCGACGCAAGCATGGGGATGCCTACACTTTGTCCTTGGATTTGGCAGGTCCGTACAAGTGTTCCAAAGATGCTCACCAGCAGAAGCCGCGACATGCTGTTATTGGTGTTTATCAATTGCCAATGTTGGATCCCAATGTGGGTCGTCCTCCAGAAAAGGAGGAAGATACGGGCGAGGTGGAAGATCAGGTGGAAGATGGAGGTGCTGGTGTCGGAGAATGGCTCGGTGATGCAGCCGCAGACTTCGAGGAGGAGGACTCCGAACAGGTGGAACCTGCGCCAGTTCCGGAGGCAGAGGTGCTAAAAATTCAAGCTTCCGAAAAATCCTGGAAGGAACTGAAGGACCACTTGACCCAGCCTGTTCGCATGATAAACTTCGTTATGGTGGAGCCGATTGTGGACAAGCCACAGACAACTGTTTTATCGGCTGTTCAAAGAATGATGGTGCGCCTGCAAAGACAAGGGTATCCGGTGTTAAGAATCCACTCAGATCGAGCGGGGGAGTTCGTCAATGCACGATTCCGGTCCTTTTGTGAAGCTCGTCTGATATACAGGACCACTGGTGATCCTGGCGTCCCGCAAACAAATGGGCGTGCTGAAGCATGTGTTGGTTTATTCAAACGTGGTGTAAGGTCGCTCCTAAAGGAGGCGCGACTGGGGCCGGCGTACTGGGCACTGGCTGCTCGCCATTGGTCAATGTTACGGTGGCAAACAGCTGAAAGGGAATTGGGGTTGAATCCCAAAGCGTTGCTTCCTTTTGGTGCTCAGGTGCAAGTAAAACGTCGTCCTTGGGAGTTGCTGGGTCCGGATGGAGCAAAGAAGGGTCGGCAATGGGTCGATCGTACGCAGCCTGCGCTTCTTTTGGGTCCATGTGATGACCTGCCTGGTGGTTATTGGGTAGAAGCTCAAGGGACTGCGCAAGATCCGGATGAACTGGTGTTATTTCCCTGCACTACAATCTTTTCAAAAATTAAGGAACCGCCAGAATTGGAGCTGGAAGGGGTGGCAGAAGAGCAGGAACCTTCACCTCCAGAGCAACGGGTTCGGGGGAAAAAACCGGCGCTTAGATTCGCTGATGAAGAGGATCCTCCGTTACCTCCACCTCGCGATCCTCCAGTTCGTCATCGGTTGGTGTCAAAAAGTCCAGCCTCTTCACTGCGTGCTCATGTGGGCTCCTTGCGCTCGCTTCGCAAGCGGGGGGAGAGTCCGCCCTTAGAATTTTCGAAGCTGACATGCAGGGTCTGGGGGAGCTGGAAGATAATGCAGATATTGAGGACAATGTTCCTGGTGATGAATATTGGCCAACTTGTTGTTCTCCTCATGAAGATTCTTATATGGTCTGCAAAAGGGCGACTGCCGGAAAAAGAAGAACAAACAGCCAAATCGATGTATGAAAGGTCTATGTGTGACTACGTGGACTGCGAAGAGCTTTTGGAAGGGATTGTGTACCCAAAGAGGGTAAATCGAAGAGGTGGTATCAACAATTGGTGCACAAGTACGAGAGCCTTGGTGTTGGGCCACTATGCTCATGGAGGAGTGTGTGGTATTACAAAAGAGACCTATAGAAGACCATGGCTGTGTCGGTATCTGGCATCATTCGTGAAGCACCACAATCCCGAAGCCAAGTTTTCTGCTCTTCAGATCTCATGCAATGCTCCGGTGTCATTGCATAGAGACAGTCACAATGAGAAGCATTGCTGCAATTACGTATGCGGTTTTGGTGACTGTAAGAATGGTCAGCTGTGGGCTGAGGATGAGAAGGTTTTAATTTTAGAGGAAGGAGCTGAAGTGGTGGAGCTATCCTATGGGAAGAAAGTCTTGCCTGGAAAACTGGTAAATATCCACTGGAACTTCACGTCGTTCTTTCCGAGAAAATCGCATGGGCCTATGCCTTGGGAAGGGAACAGGGTATCCTTGACCGGGCACACACCTGTTTTAATGGAGCGATCGAGCTACAAGGATAGGTGCTTCCTTCTCCAATGTAAGTTTCCTCTCCAAGAACCACAAGCTGAAGAAGGTGAAAAAGGGAAGTGGTTGAAGGTGATGCTGAAAGAGACCTCACTTGACGACATTGCTGAGGAGGCCGACTATGCTGTTTTTGAGGCGCAGCAATGGGCTCTGGGGGAGCATTTGAGTGTTCGACGCCTAATTCCTGAACAGGAAAGCTGTGTTTTGGATGAATTCCATGAATCGGCCAATGAGTCGAATGAAGAGAAAGGATCAGAGACTAGAGACTGGCTGGTTAAGGCAAAAAGAGTTGAGGAACAGCTGACGAGGTTTCTGGTCAAAGCAGCTCAAGTTCAGCAGATCGCGCAGGAAAACATAGCGCTTGAAGCGGCAGAGGAGGTCGAGTTTCTGCAGACTAAAACGATCCCAAGGAGGGAACCGTTGTCTGATGAGGTAGCGGCTTTGGTGAAAGAGTTGGAGGTGGTGGAGCCTACGACTCAAGAAAGGCTGGACAAACTGGCTGAAGAACCCAATGCACCTGTGATTGAGTACGTGCCCAGTCTGGTGGTGTTTACCCGGAAGCAAGGGACTGGAAGGCGACGCGCTCGTATCTGTGCGTGTGGTAACTTGATTTCGTCAACAGCAGCCACGGAGTACGAAGGGCCTAGGTCCCTCGAGCCTACGACTCAAGAAAGGCTGGACAAACTGGCTGAAGAACCCAATGCACCTGTGATTGAGTACGTGCCCAGTCTGGTGGTGTTTACCCGGAAGCAAGGGACTGGAAGGCGACGCGCTCGTATCTGTGCGTGTGGTAACTTGATTTCGTCAACAGCAGCCACGGAGTACGAAGGGCCTAGGTCCCTCAGTCGTCACTCGCTGTACGCTCCTGGTTTAGATTCAGCCGCATTTAGGTGTCAAGTGAGGCACGCGGCATATATTGAGTGGATCATCGCTGGGTTGGATATTTCCGAAGCTTTTCTGACGGCGCCGATGAATAGGGCGCAGAGGGAAGGGCGTCTGGTGGTGGTGCAGCCCCCAAGGGTGGGTCTTTGCACAAAGGAGGAGCGGTGGATTGTGAGGAAGGCCTTGTATGGTTTGGCCGAAAGTCCTGCAGCATGGGTGGAGTGGCGAGATCAGCGTCTTCAAGGCATGTCTTGGGTGTCAAGAGATGGACGAACAATGAGTTTTCAGAGGTCCAATGCAGACCCAAGTCTGTTTCTTATCATGGCACAAGAGAAGCTGGAAGGTGCAAGTGAGTTGGTAGGGACAATGGGTCTTTACGTGGATGATTTCTTGATGGCCGGAACTATGACAGTGCTCCGGGAAGCTTTGGAGCAGATCAGGAAGGAGTGGAAAACTTCGGAACCCGAGTTCTGTGGTCCAGGCTGTGGAGATGGATTCCTGAAGTTTTTGGGTGTCCAGATTTGGTATAGAAACGGCAGCTTCTTTCTCAATCAAGAACTCTGTGAGAGATTTGCTGAACCGACGTGGTTACCAGATTGATGAAACGGGAAAAGGCAGCAATCTGCCTATGGTGAAAGAAGCCCGGGTGGAAAAGGAGGAAGTGGATATCCCTTCTCTAAGAGCGGCTCAAGGTGCCGTAGGGGAGTTCCTCTGGGTGGCAATCAAAACCCGACCTGACTTGGCATTTTGTACAAGCCAACTGTCTTTGTGGACATCTCGAAGGCCACGGTTTGTGGTGAAAAAGGCCGAAGAGGTCTTTCGGTATCTTGCTGCAACTCCAACGTTAGGTTTGACGTTGAGAAAATCGCGACAGGTATAAAAGAACAGACCGAACTGTTGCGGTTTGGAAGGGGCATCAAGGTGGTGGAGTCCTACGCTGATGCTAGCTTCGCAGCTGGAGAAAACGAAACAAGTCACTCTGGTGCCGTGGTGGTATGGGGTGATTGTCCGGTAATGTGGGCAACGCAAAGACAATCAACGGAGGCTTTAAGTACTGCCGAAGCTGAGGGTGCAACAATGATACAATCGTGCACTCCAATAATTGCCTCCTTGGTTGGAACAGGTGAAGAAGCACTGCAAAAGGTGTTGTGTACGGATTCTGTGTCGACGTGTTCAATTATTCAGTACCCTGCTGGCAGCTGGAGGACCCGACATCTACGAATCCGAGCAGCTGGTGTTAGGTCTCTGGTGGACCGTGGATATATGGTAATTGCACATCTCCGTGGTGAGTACATGATTGCTGACCTGTTAACGAAGTTGATGAGTGGACAGGTTTATGCAAAGCAGAAGGCGCTTTGGGGTCTCCAGATGTTGGTTCAAGGGACTGACCTGAAGAAAGCTACTCTTGTTGTGGCGGTCATGATGGTGGCTGCATCTCTTCAAGGGATGGCGCCAGCTCAGGGTGGAGAAGAAGCCTTAAAAACTGGGTTTTTCTGCTCAGAAGAGGGAGTGTGCAGAGCATCCAACACATCTACGGTTATGGTTCTGGCTCAAGGTATTGAAACGGTCATCAACAATGTGGATATTGTTGCGTATCTGGTGGCAATAATCTCGCTCTGGGAACTGGCCAGGTATATCCTTCGGCGGCTGTATAAATGGCTGTGGGGCAGGAAAGTGGTGGTTATTCCCACGAGTGCCACTTTGTATACAACAGTGGGTGGGAACTGTATGCACGCGAGCAGTGACTGTGATGTTCTGCGTTATTCACAGCCCAGGGCCAGAACGCTTTGCAAGCGCTGCGTCAAAAGGGGTTGGGTGGTGGACGCTGAATTCCTTGGTGAAGAACAGTTTACTGGAACGTAGACTTCATTCGTGTGAGGTGAAGAGATCCTCAACGGTGAAAAGAATTCGGCCAATGTGCTGAGAGGTCGTCCTGGAAAGACGTTAAGCCATAGTTTGCAAGCCAATGGCTACGGCCCGTCTATTGGACGTTAAACATATGTTTGGCTGCTGTTAAAAAGACAGTTTTTGGCCAGAAAGAAAAGGAGCCCTGCACCTCCAATGGTGTCCTGAGGAAAGCTCAGGACAGGGGGAGTGCGGAGGTTGCACTTTGCAGGTTTGAAAGTGGTAAAACACCCATGGATATTTGGCTCAAGCCATGACCAAAGCGGTCGAAGGTTTCGTAAAAAGTGTGCCCTTGGTTTGGGGTCTTGTTGGTTTGGCTGGTTGGTCCAGGGGTAAATCCAGGGCTTCGGTTGGGGTTGACTGTTTGGTTCCTTGTCCCCCTTCGGATGCCCCCCGTATAGGGTTTAGGGTTTAGGGTTTAGGGTTTAGGGTTTAGAGTTTAGGGTTTAGGGTTTAGTGGTTCCGTTGCCCAGCACGAGCAGAGGCTGCTGCGGCGACTCATCATTTCTGAGGCGTTGCTGGTTCACCCCAACCCCTGACAAACATGACGCAGGCTGAGAGGAAAAAAAAGCGCACTCTTCTTTTTTCCTTCGGGTTGAAAGCGTCATCAGCCGGTGCCTTCCGAATGATGTATCTACGAAATTTTGCGACAAAGAATGCCTACTTTACATCAGGCTGATGCCGCTTGGAGTCTCAGAGCCTAAGCTGGCCTACAAGCTTGCAGTGCCACCACCAAATCTCACTAACGTCTGGAGAATTTCCCAGCACAACTCTGTCTTGCCAGCATCAACGTGTTTCGGGTTTGTTCAGGGATGCGTGAACTTTGCCAAGTTGGATATTGCCCTTGCACATAGGACTACCTCTAAAGTTGAAAGTAGAGTGCAGTGCCACACATCCACCCTCAACATCGCGCAATGAGTCAGATGACTGGAAGGACAAAAACAACAGACATACAATACTGAAAGAGCAAATAGAAAAATAGTAGAAAGAGAGACCCCGCCGCGGCGAAGCGCGAACTCTTGTCACGGAGCTTAGACAAGAATGAAGCCTTGACTTTTTGCCACGGCTCCGGCAACGGAAATCCACATCCAACGCATACAGCGCGAGTCTCTCCGTGACCTGCGTTCGATGAGAGGAGCCTATTTGGGAATCATCTCCCAGCTGCTTCATTACTCTAATGCCACAGTTGGGGTGAAACTGTGCGGTCCTTGCGAGGCCAAAGTTGCCACCTCGCAGCAAGATGCCTTGGGTACAGCCGTGAAGGAGCTCCCTGCCGCTTGAAAGGCTTGTTGCCTGCGCATGGTTGCAGGTGTAGGATATCAGGTAGGCAAAGAGCGAGCATATCATGTACATGCCCCCCCCCCCCCCCAAGGTGTAGGAGCCCATGCCCCATCCTGTAAGCGGTCTGCGCAGGACTTGCGATCTGAAGTCGATGCCAGGCTGGAGCAGGAGCCGCCAGAGTTTGAGCATGATTTTGGCTCGTGGTGACCGGTGCAGCCAAGGGGGGGGCCGTCTGTTGTCTGTTCTTGTTGCGGAAGAGTGAATGATCTGAGACTGTCGGATTATGTTTCTAGAGGGCTCACTCACTGCTACCCACACCAATACCATGCTCGTGCCATTTGACCAAGCACCAGCCAGAACTCTTTGCCGCTCGGAAACTCTCGGTCATCTCCCGAAAGCCCTCAACCCCCAGACCTAGGCCCTAAACCCTGATGCAAGCTGCTGACGCGCACTCGAGGCCACGCGAGCCTCGGCTCGCCGCTCGGCAGCCATCGAGGACTCGTTGGAGGCTTGGAAACGGGAGAAAAGCAGAAACGTCCGCCTTTTCGAAGGGTGCCGGGCAGATTGGCAGAGACGTTGAGGTGTTCCTGTGCGTTTCCACGCAGGCCCTGCGGGTCTCATCGGCTGCTCAGACCAATGCGCTGCGCACGGAGCTCTCTGCTGCAGTGGATGCCCTGGCCACTACAGGCGGGGTTGATATGGCACGAAGCCGAAACAATCCAAAGCGCGTCATGTTCTGCAATTCCTTTCCTTGGCAGGTCCCATGGAGGCAGTTACAGTAATGCAGGCCCACGGTGGAGCTCAGCTGGAGGCCGAATTAGAAAGGGTTTCTCCAATTTAGACAGGTCATGGAGGGAAGTCATGCATGGAGTCACACACACTTCTGTGACCCTCACGGCCAACCTCCCAAAGATTGGGTGTGTGGGGCTCAGCAAGAAAGTGCAAAAAACAAACTCTTGAGTTGGAGCTGAAGACACGAGCCAAGTGTGTGTGTGGCAGCGTTGTCAGTGCCTGTGCCAGTCCCGCTTTGCATTGCTGGAGCAGCAGCTGGAGACTTTGAAAGGCACCACAGATGCATTGCGGAACAGCGAAGCTTTCGCATGTCCTGGATCCAAGATAAGCTCTGATAAGGCCCCCGTCGAACCGTTGGTCTCTGTTTAGACTTCGATTGAAGCTGTCAGCTTCTGCTTCTCAGTCTCGGCGGCCACCTCCAGCATGCGAGCGAACTCCCCACCACGGTCCTCGGCTGCTGCGGGCCCAGACTTGGAGGACCAACCTAAGAAGTGCTGATTCGTGTGCTCAGCTTCGGAGATGCTTCGGAGTATTGGGGAGTTCCGAGTTATCGACAGTTATGGATCTTTAGCTGCTGCGCAAATGCAACAGTGAGTTGAGAAGAGCTTCAAGCCAACAGGGTCCGATGCATCGTTCCGTCGTAACATCCCACCCGCTTTCCCAGTGCCAAGCGATCATCCCCCCCCCCCCCCCTTGTCACCCATCTCTTTCCAAGGCTTCATATGAAATTGTCTAGTCAGTTGAGGCTTGACGCTGATGCTGTCACATGACATGGCACCCAAGGCTGACAGAAAAGTGGAGATGGTGGAGCAGAAGGTCACGCAGTTGGAGGTCCGTGCCAGTCCGGCAAGTTCGGCAGTCCTCCGTCACAAGCCTTCTTTGTGTTCAGGCAAGGCTCAAAGAGCACCGGGGCCAGACTTCAGCACGACACTTGGGATTCTGTTGCAATATGTTCGGACCGTGCTTGAACGTTGAATGCATGAATATTTGTACCCACAGCTTTGCATGGAACGCTTTCAAATTGCAAATGCTACTTCGACTTCCATGAACAATGCGGTGGACCCAGGACCAGCTGCACGAGCTCAAGAGCGCCTTGAGCTCCCAGGAGGTGCAACGGACACACTTCTTGTTCTTAACTCCCTTGGCATGGTGCCGGGACATGGACTCTGGCGTCCTCCGAGTGCAGTAGGGCAAAGAGCCTATGCCGCGGGTTGCATGACTGTGAGTAGCGGAAGCTGCAACGGACTTGATGCTGCGAGCTCTTGTCCCACTTAGCTTCGAAATCAAGCGGCACAACATAGTTGACGCTTCTACGAAGTATCAGGCTTGTCTTTGAGAAAGCGTGCCGGTTGGCAACCATGCGCACCAAACAAAAATCTACATCAGTCAGAGCTGTGAGCTTAGCGTTGATCATCAGGTGCTGGCACAAGTGGAGGCCAGCGTTTCTTTCAAATCTTGTCCAGCCGGCGGTTGCCAGTGTCTGTTTCTCTCGTACTGCACTGTTGCAAGTAACAGGAAACTCATTTCGGTGCGCTTGTGCTGTTCCCGGGACCTGCAGTCTGGAGTTCCTGGGTGGCACAGGACCTCCGGGATCAGAACTCCGAAGCTCTTCGTTCAGCGGCCGCCAACATTGCAACCCTCGAGGCTGTGCATGCACATGCGCAAACAATTAGAAAGAAATATCAGTACAAATGCATAAACGAATAACTAAACAGTATATGTATGATTCTACATGTATGTGTTGTATGTACTGTATGTAACGTATGCAATGGATGTAGCGGATGTAATGTATGTAATGCATGCAATGCATGTAATGTATGTAACGTATGTAATGTAGGTAATGTATGCAATGTATGTGATGTTTGCAATGTATGTAATGCATGCAATATATGCAATGTATGTAATGTATGCAATGTGCGTAAAGTAAGTAATGCATGCAATGCATGTAATGTATGTAATGTATGTAATGTATGTAACGTATGTAACGTATGTAATGTATGGAATGTATGGAATGTATGGAATGTATGGAATGTATGGAATGTATGGAATGCATGGAATGTGTGGTATGTATGTAATGTATGTAGTGTATGTAATGTATGTAATGTATGTAATGTATGAAAAGTATGTAATGTATGTAATGTATGTAATGTATGTAATGTATGCAATGTATGTATATGCAATGAATGTAATGTATGCAATGTATGTAATGTATGTAATGTATGTAATGTACGTAATGTATGTAATGTATGTAATGTATGTAATGTATGTAATGTATGTAATGTATGTAATGCATGTAATGTATGTAATGTATGTAATGTATGTAATGTATGTAATGTATGTAATGTATGTAATGTATGTAATGTATGTAATGTATGTAATGTATGTAATGTATGTAATGTATGTAATGTATGTAATGTATGTAATGTATGAAATGTATGGAATGTATGGAATGTATGGACTGAATGGAATGTGTGGAATACGCATGTGCGTCATGTACGTGTGTCTGTCATGTATGTGTGTACGCACGTCATGTCTGTAAGAACGTGTATGTATGTATGCATGTATGCATGTATGTATGTATGTATGTATGTATGTGCGCGTATACAGGCCAGCATTGTAACAGAGGCAGATCGGCAAAACCACCCTGAAGCTTGTTTTCGCTACAGGGGTCTGTCGACGCCTGGCGACAGCGCGTGGACCGAGCACTGAAAGAGAGCGGCGCTCAGAAAGTCTACAGCAATCTGTTTTGAATGTCAACAGCACGCATCCACGCGCTTTCCTGTGGGGCTGTCCGACCAACAAATTCCGAGGACTGAACACAGACTGTCGCAGGAGGCGAGGCTGTTTGTGTAGGTCTACGCCGCTGCAGCATGTGTCAGACATGCACGCATGTGCTGCAAAGTGCCGCACGTGATATGACACTGAGAAGCACCGCATGGAATACAGCTGTGGTTGCTTGACGCCGTGTTGACCGTTGCCCTTTATTTAGAATCCGTCAGGTCGAAAAGCGCCTGCAACCTGTGCAGGACACCGCAGATCATGTGCATGTTGAATAGCTGTCAGTTTATCTGCATGCATCTGCAAGGACCGCGTGGTGCAGGACATGAAAGGCGTGACCGGGGCGCTGGCTGCTGAGGCAGACATGGCTTCCTCGTTTGCACCGCAGTTTTGCTGCGCAGACTGCGTATGCCCACGTCGGGACTGCTGACAGGGTTTCTGAGACATAGGAATATTAAGGCAGGGGCGATGATTTTGGCTGTTAGTTAGGAAGAATGTCTTGCATACATACAGTCTCTCATTGTATGTAGTAGGATGATGGCAGTGCTCTAGAACCGTGTGCTGAGGGTTTCGGGTAAGAAGGCTAAACTTCTGTTCGGGGTTTAGGGCAAAGCCTAGACCGGCAAGTAGCTTCCTGAACAAAGTTGTGCAGCCATCGAGCCCTGAAACCTTACGCGGTCTTTGGTTTTCTCATGAAATGGCTAGCAGTGTCGCTCAGCTTGGCCCTGCGAGAGTGCGAGCTCGGTTTTGCCTTGATCTCGTTCTGATCGGGTATCACTCCTCAGTGCGTGTCATAGTTCTTGAACAGGCTGAGAGCTTGCGCGGCAAGCTGGAACAGAGGATCACGGACGAATTCCGGCAGACACGTCCTTGGACAGCTTGCCTCAGTCGCTCTCGTCCTCAAAAGTAGGAGATCTGCAGCCCGTAAGACTGCTTGGCCCAGGATCTCTGGCCAAATCCAGTCTGTCCACAGCACTGCGTTGCAGAACCACGAGTCTTTGGGCAGCAACGTGCTGCACTGAGAGGGCAACTTGCAAGTCCAGAGAATCAGAGAGTACCAGACAACGAGAGTCCTTGCAGAGAGCCCTCTCGAGGTCTCTGGGCTGCTACAGCGCCTCGGAGCCGCCGAGATGTCCCTCGCCGAGGAGCAGAGCCAACGGGAACTGATCAAGAGGCAAAGGGGGGCTAACAGGGGAGGGGGGGCTAGATGGGCTAGATTCGGCTAGATGAACGGAGATCAGGGCTTCGGTTTCTAGCAAGACATGCAGAATCGGAGAGCTGTTCTGGCGTCCACTTTGGACATACGCGGCACGAGCTGCTTGCGGACTAAAGGCACAGAACATGCTGCCACGGCAGAAGACATATCGCAGGAACTCTATGAGCAAAATTTCCCGCACATTACCAAAGCACAAGGGCAGCATGAAACGATCTGGTGCATGCTAGCCTTGTGGATGTAGCTTGCTCGTACAGGAGGGAGACAGCATCTCGAGGTAGGTAAGGCTGAATGAAACGTAATATAGTTCGATGGCTTCTGACTTACGTTTGCCATCGCTGGCCCTTTTCTCTGCATCTTTCACAGGCAGTTGGAGGAGTGCCTGAGCCAGGCTGGCTTTTCTCCAGCTGAAAATAGTGGCTGCAAGGAGTGCACACGAGTCATGTCCGTTGCGACAGGTGCGCCGTCTTCCACACAAGTCCAGCATGAGCCTCAGTGGGACAAAACAAGACAAAGCTAGTTGCAGAGGAAACATGCGGCATGTCGAGGCGACGATACGCTGCGAGAAGGCCGAGAGCATGTTGTGTTTGCTGGCCCACAGCTGCTTTAAGAGTGAGGTTGCTTGCGGTTCTTACACGCTCATGTCGCATCACAACATCCCGTGGCAGTCATCGCACAAACGAATCATGTAGTGTCTGGATGGGCATGTTAGGCTCTGCCATCCTCTCGGGATAAACCCGACCAAGCCGCGTGCGCAATTTATTAATCTTAATGTCTGAGCCTGACTGCAGCGGTCCCGACCTTTTCCCCAAAGCATCCCAAGTTGTTGATCCAGCTTGAAGGCCCTTGCCTATCAGCCAGTTCATGTGAAGCTTTACGCTTGTTGCACTGCATATGGGACCCGCACTTCAAGTTTCCCCAAGAAGGAGCCGCTGACCTGGGCTCGCCAAGGAGCGCTGCCTGCCCATCCAGCTCACATTGATGAACCGTTCCTTCATGTTTGCTTTGGGATTGACACAATCAGTTGAAGGCAAAGAGGATGGACAAAGCGGTGCAAAGCATTTAGGAGCATGCGATGCCGAGGTGGCGGCAACAGCAGCGAGCAGCAGCGATGGAAGCGGCGACAGTCACATTCACTAGCAGTTGATGGGATGGCCATGGGATTAAACCGAAGCGACTGGAACAGCCCTGAGCAGCAGCAGGAATGCAGCAGCAGCAATGATTCTTCAGCAGCAGCAGCAGCAGCAGCAGCAGCAGCAGCAGCAGCAGCAGCAGCAGCAGCAGCAGCAGCAGCAGCAGCAGCAGCAGCAGCAGCAGCAGCAGCAGCAGCAGAATGATTCAGCAGCAGCAGCAGCAGCGGCAGCAGCGGCAGCGGCAGCGGCAGCGGCGGCAGCAGCAGCAGCAGCAGCAGCAGCAGCAGCAGCAGCAGCAGCAGCAGCAGCAGCAGCAGCAGTAGCAATACACCCAATCACTGGAAAGGATCCTTCTTTTCCCTCCGAGTTCAACACACAGTCCAACCTTGGCTCAGGACGCGCGAGACGGCGCGAGTTTCAGTGCAGCTGGAGGTGCCCTTGCTTGACGAGAAAGGATGTCGTCCAAGGGCATCCCTGTCGTCTCTGAGGTCCACGACAAGGAGATGAAGCGATTGGCGAAAGAGTTTCAGAGCCAGGCAAAAAGCCTGGACCGCTTGGCCCTCGGCCTCACTCTTTTTGCGACCACGGCAGTCACAGTTTTGCTGCACTCTTCGGCTGCACTCTCCAAGACCCCAAGGCCTATCTGAGCAGCAGCGTCGTCTGGCTCAGGAGCAGGCGCGTGGGACTCTTCCGTAGGGCGGCGAGCAGAGCAAGTTGGCCAGTACTGGCTCGGCGAGTGGGGGGTAAGTTGGGGTACATATTGTGGGGTTATCAAGGTCAGGAAAGTCAGTGGCACAAGTCTGCGACGCAGTTGTTACAGTATTCGATGCCGCGGGCTCTACTTAGAACGTTAACTGTAGAATCGTGTTTCGTATACCCAGAGTTTCGCAATTCACGATCTCGCTGCAGAGAGAATCCGATATCCTTCGCAAGGCCACAGATGTCTCACGCAACGAGTCCTCCCGGCTCGAGGCCTGGGGCTGGCCTTTGGACCGGAATGCTCATCTCAACCCCGAAGACTCAACGGGCACACTACCGCAACAACACATCGCAATACATCGCAAGACCATTCAAGATCCGAAGCATTCCTCACTCTCGCCTGAAGCTACGCATGACGTATTGGTTGCTGATTGTCGCGCCAACATTTCGATGATTTGCGCCTCACAGGAGCGAAAGGGCACTGAAAAGTCCGAGAAGCGGTTGAAGGCACGTCGTAGTCACTTGCCGCAAGTGACGGAATGTTGTTCTGCATGTTCCTCGCGCGGTGGGGTAGCTGTGGATCACGTGCAGTTGCTCAGTTTGCACTTTCAGAAGAACAAAAACGCAGTCTGTGAGAAATCTGTGGGTTTTCTTGGGTCAGCGCAGGCACGCTTGGAAGAGCTGCGACCTGAGAAGCAAAGGGGTCGCTCGAGCTTCTCGTTGCAAGGCACGGGGGCATGAAGCTCCATTATCATCCGTTCATGTTGCAAACATAAACGTTTTTGCTTTTCCAGCACAGCCCTGCTTTCACTATGTCCGGTGGAAATGCCGAGGTTGGAGGCCCGTTTGGAAGTGATCCAGCCTGGACCATAGAGATTTCCTTCAACATACTCATTCTTAGTGCATGCGAAGGGCAGGGCTATTGCCCGATAATGCTCGTAAGCCTTCTACACACCTTGTGAAGGCCTCCACCCGACTCTCGCTGAGCAACTCTGAGCCCTCTGAGGTCTGGCTCACCCAAAGCGATCGCGAGGTCCGGGCCCTGTGGAGGCGTTCGAGCCATCTCGGAACCTCTGTTGCTTTGCCACCGAGGGTGAGCGTCGCTGCTTTGCTTGGATGGCTCAAGACGCGTATCATCGGGAGCCGTCGTGCACAGGGAAGCGCCGGGAAGTGTAGCCCCGGCGCAGGCCTGCACAGGAGCGATGGTTCTGAGCGCAGCGACCACGGGGAGAGAGAGGGGTGCTCCAGTGATTTACACCCTCCATGCGGGGGCAGCAGGTCCCGAAGACCTTCCAGCCTGGCTTGGAGAAAGGGGTCAGGCGGTCGTTTCTCTGGTGTTCGGGCACCACCTGCAGCCACTGAGCAGCCTGAAGCCCCTTGCGAGCCTGCTGCTGATGCCCGTGGCTGTGATCACGCTGATTGCCAACGTTGGAGGCCGGGCGCTCTTGCGCAAGACCCTGCCCTTCGGTGCGGCAGTTTCGACATGCGTGCTGCTGAAAGCTTTGGGTGAGAGCTTCGGGCCTCCATGGCGCAGCTTCCAAGCCAGCAGTGCCATTGTCGTGGTGGTGCTTTTGATGGAGCCTGGGATTACCGTTGAGCGCCTGCTCTTGAGAGCTTCGGAGCGTGTGGTGGGCACCTGCATGGGCTGCGCCCTGGCAGTTTGCATGGCCCTGCTCATGGATGTGTTGGGCAAGGAGCCTCTTCAGATTTGCAGCTTCTGTTTCGCAGCCTTTACCTTGTTTGGTGCGGTGCAAGCACATCATGGCGTGATCCCCTTTGTATTCTCGGTCACGTGCATTGCATGCGCCGTTGTGATATTCGGCTACATGACGACTGGCTGGGCATTCATTCGCAGTCAGGTTGCCTCTGTCCTGGTGGGTGAGATCGTGTCCTTGTCATCGTCTTTGTTCTTCGAAGCTTTACTTGGAGATGCAGCAAGTTCGCGCTCTCATGCGCACCTGGTGGAGATCGCCAAGGAGATGGTGGACAAAGCCTTTGTGGCCATCGAGTTGGTGTTTGTCCACAACGAGGCCGCGGCTTTGGTGGGAAGCAGTCCGGCCCGGCAATTTCGAGCTTTGGGTCGTCGGCGGACATTCAGTCCCGGTGTTCTGGATCTTCTTTCCCACACCGAATCAGTGGACCAGGGCCACCACTCTTCGATCTCGGATGACTTGGGCTGGCTCGAGGGCCAAGAAGCTGGGCTGGAGTCCCGTTCCCGCGCTTGCCTGGCTGACATGACAGCCATGGAGAGGCTGAAGGGTCTTATCGGATTCGGCCAAAAGAGCAGAGTTCCGCAGTACAGCTCCCTGGTTCGGCAGGTGCACTTCTTGTTTCTCCAAGCTTGCACGCTTGCCCGAAATGCTCCGTTAGAGTCAGAAGTGCGGGGCCACTTGAAACAGACCTTGGATGGCATTCGTTTCAACTTGCTGGCCATTTGTCAGCCCTTGAAGACTTTCTTGGATGGACTCAATGCAGTCGTGTCTATGAACAAGTTCGAAGGGGAGATGCTGCGGATGTGCGATATCCTGGAGGAGGTGCGCATGAAGCTGGCCTCAGTCTGGGCTGCTTGCAAGAAGCAATGGCAGACTTCCTGCCGGGCCACGGCGACTTCGGCGGCCCAACGAATTCAGTCAGCAGTCCAGCTTGCAAAGCAGAAGCGCGCTGGCGCGTCCTTCTGCCAAGGCTTTGACTCCATACTTGCGGCCGCCGCGAACGTGGTGCGAGAGCACGTGCACTTGGCTTTTTCCAGTGCTGGTGATGCTGGCACAGTTGACATTGTTCGCCGGCGCCTTGAGGAGATCGCAAGTCTTCCACCTTTGTGCCAGGAGGACGACTAGGGAGAACTTGTTGCCTCCAGGTGCCCAGCGGCACGATTGTTGTGGTATGTTGTGGTGACAAGAGCGGCATGGAGTAGAAAAGCTTCAAACGAGTTTTTGGTACTTGGCTTTGATGTCCCTTCTGCCATATGACATGAGGCTTGCAGTGGCTTGGGCATGTCGCACAATCTGCAACCCAAGGCTGGACAGCCATCGCTTTGACAGAGTGCCGGAGGTTGGCTGCTTCAGAAAACACAAATTCTGTTTGACTTGTGGATGTGGGGCGATCTTAGCCCATGAACAGTTGCTTTCTCAGCACTTGCAGCCTGCATGCACAGACAGGCCAGCTTGGCAGAGGTTGTCAGAAGCCTCGAGGAGTCAGAGTAGTTCATCGGGCAAACTGCCGGCAGCCGAATCAAGCCATCCGAGAGACTCATGCTGAGTCATGGCTTTGTACCTTTGCCTCCTTAGTGGTTGCGGCTTCACTCAGGTACGCATGTCCTGCCTCAAGAAACAAGCATGGCACTAGATGTACTTACTAGCCTCGAGGATCCTAGAAGTAATGCCCAGAGATCCAACTAGCTTGACGACACAAATCCAGCCGCAGGAACAGAGGGCAGTTCTTGCAGAACATGATGCAAGGCAAGTTTCCCGGTGCTAGCTGTGAGGTGTTCCATATTGTTGTACTTGTCCGCAGAATCTTTATTACGGAAGCATTTGCACAGAGCTTGTATGGAGGCAGCAATCCACGCAGAAGCTGTTCAGCCAGTTGGAGAAGTCCGCGCAGGACGGGCACGATGCGGGGCAGATTCGAGCTGCTTGTTCTGCTTCCTCCTGAGCACAAGAGCTCCTCAAGATTTAAAGTCCGAGACTGTGCCGAGAGCCGAGTCTCCTAGTTACGGCCCAAGCGGTCCAAGCTCCACGAGAAACGCCTCAAAGTTCAAAGCCCCAGAGTTTCTCGAAAGCCTGAAGCCCAAAGCCTATGCGTGGTCCACCTAAAACCCCAACACCCCAACTTGTGTCCTTGCGCGGAAACCTTCGAGAAGGGAAGCTCATGAACTTAAATGAACGAGCCCTGAGTTCGCTGATCGCAGGATATCCAGCCCCTTCTGCAGAAGAAGCTCGCCGACCATGACGTCAGGCGGCTGCCCCCCACGACAGATCACCACAAATTCAACAGCTCATTGCAATACTCTTGGCATTTGCATGTGCGCCATCCATGCAGCATACCAGCAACAGATGACCCTGCGCATGGCTGCGGCTGACGTGTTGCTGTATACTTGCCTCGGGTTGCTGAGAGTGTAGGTCCCGAAATCCAAGTCCTGCCCCGCGATGTCCGTGATCTGCCCCAGGCTGGAGCAGCAAGCTCAAGACTTGGTGCAGGCGAGGGATCAAGCTGTGCAGCTTGGGCGCCTGCACACCGAGTTGAAGACCCAATTGGAAGCACAGAAGGACAGAGTTGCACTCAATGTTCGGAAATATCCGGAAGCTGCTCAGCAGGTTTCCTACGGATCGTAGCCAGATTGCTTTCCAACTTGGGCCATCCGCTCGACATGTCAATTCCAGCATGACAAGCGCCGAATTGCAGAAGTTGACCATGCGCACATGATTGTGCTGGTCGCTCGTTGAGGGCCGTGTCTGCACGAACCATGACTTGAGTTTTTGCTTTTTGGCTCTGCAACGGCTTGCAGGACACGCTGGAGATCAGATGCTTGGAAAAGCTTGAGGCCCAAGCCAAGCGGATGGAAGAGGCTCCCCAGAGCTTGCACTGGTTCCATGTGATACCCTTGAGTCCTGCCCGCTGGACAGGTTGGCCAGCGACTCCAGCAGTTGGAGGAGTTATAGAAGTCGTGCACATGTGCAGGTTTTGTTACTGCCGAGTATGCTGAACATTGCTTGGAAAGAACATCGCGAAGAAAAGTATGGGGAAAGAATGCTCCAGCAGCTGGAGGACACATCCCGCAGCACCCTGCATCAGGTCAAGCAGGCGACCAGGGTTTGTACTGCCCCACTAGGCTGCACGGTACGGCTCTGACTCTAAGGGCAGTTTCACGTCTATGCAGGGTGACTTTGTCAGACCAGCGCCTTGCGAAAATGCACCGGAATGCCCAGAACGAGCCCTGCGGACCTCAAAGTCTCAACCGCCGAACAGCTGATGGACTGCCCTTCAACTGTAAGAACAAGATCAATGTTGCCCCTGAGGTTCACCACCTAACTTGAGCCTCTGCCGAAAACCCATAGCATAAGATCAAACTACTGGCACAGAGGTGCCGGACTTGGAGAAGAGGACTGATCGCCTGGAAGATTGGGAGAAGCAACTTGGTGGTTTTTATTCAGCGATAGCTTCTAGAACTTTACAGCCTTGTGGGGACCATGAGCATCGGCAGTCTACAAGAGAAGCGACTGACCGTTGTGTTCCTTTGGTTCTTCCTTGGTCGACTTCCACATCCGTGCGTTGGAGCCTCCCTTTTTCATGTCTTATGCATCCTTTGCTCCAGATGTACCATGTCACGACGTACGAAACATGACGATGTACAGCATACTCACCCTCAGACCTCAAAAACACCCTTTCTGTGTCTGAAGCACGTTCTTTTTTGATTGGGCAAACGACCTTTCCTACGTGCACTCTGCCGTACTCGAGGCGGGCACAGCGCGTGGAGCAGCAGCTGACCGACGTCACAGAACTGCTCAGCGCAAGCGATGTGACAGGGCAGGAATAGTGCAGGTGGTCGGTTTGGGGATTTCGCATGGCATATGAATGTCAATGTCTGCCCTGCAGAGAAGGTAACTTGGCACTCATCTTGCGAGCGGGACTTCAGGGAGAGATGGGCTTTGCCTTTGTATCTTCGGTGCCTTGTGTTCCTTGGTGCGTAGGGGGAAGGATGGTTTGAGCCAAGGCCAAGCTTGGGCAGCAGAGCCGGGAGTTGAAGCGTGAGCTGCTGCAGATGACGGAGAAGCAGGAGCTCCTGGAACAGCGTCAGGCCCGGCTCACTGCTACAGCTCCAGAAAAGTCTTCAGATTGAAGTTTACAAAAGGCGTTGCTTGCTCGAGCGATCCTGCAATCCTACAGCTCAGCGCAGGGCGATCATGAGCAGAAGAACCAGGTTCTGCAGCAGGCAAATGGGACGGGAGCTCCGCGTCAACTTACCCGGGTCCAAGGATTTATGGGGAGTTTTGTGAATGGTGGTTCAAGCCATGCTTTTGAAGTATACTCCGCGATCAGGAACAAAAGAGAAAACGACAAGGTTTGCAAGGGTCTGGGCTAAATCAAGACTGGGCTTTATGCATGCCGATTGGGTCTGTGATGATCAGTGTGTTTGTTGTGCAGCACGTAGCGTGGCAGCACCTTGTACTGACTGACCTTGTCCCCCCTTGTAGGACGTGGAGAATTTGAAAGAGTCGCATGGGCAGTCACGGGCTTGGCAGCCGCAGTAGTCATCGCGAGTCTTTGGAATTGCCTTTGCCTGTACTTTGGGTTTAGCTTCTCTTGTGCTTCGGTTTCTTGAGGGCGTTGGGATGCGTCGGGATGCGTCGGGATGCGTCGGGATGCGTTGGGATGCGTTGGGATGCGTTGGGATGCGTTGAGATGCGTTGAGATGCGTAGAGATGAGTTGAGAAGCGGAAGTTCCGTACATGTTTCTTGTTTGGCTTTCTGGTGGTTCAGAAGCCGACCTCAGCTCAGGCTTACAAGTAGCTGCAACAGCACCAAAGCCGAGATCACAAAACAGGCCAAGACCTTGGGCCAGGCCCGGGCCCGCGCTCGTAAGCAAGAAAGGTGATGACTAGGTATCATTCTCTGGACTCTTCGACTCGGACCTGTCAGACCGGCTACACACGCACGCCCGTACGCCTCATCGCCCTGACAGGCTGACATGCCGGGGAGCGAAAGCGTAGCGCCGCTTGACAGCAAGCCTTAGAAAGCCTTGGTCCCTCGTCCTTGCTCGTTAGTCGCTTTGGCGCACCAGGGCACGTGATTGACGGTGTTTGGCATGCATGTGCACTTGAAGGCACAGATGGGGATCGTTGGCATGTGCGCATGTGTTGCCAGCAGCCTCGTTGCGCTGCAGCCAAGTCAGTTTTGAGTTGCGACTCGTTGCAGCTGCTGCAAGTGCCATGCCTGTAGGTCGTCGGACCACCATGCCGAACATGCACGTCTGTCTGTTTGCTGAGCTTCGGAACCCGAGGCAGCGTAGCCAACGCCTGGAAGCCTCCATTGCTAGTCTGACTCCTCGGCTCTCTTTCGTGGAGGCACCGGTCTAGAATTCCACACGCTATGATACGCTATGCCGGGCTTTGCAGCTGGTGGCATTGCTCGCGTTCAATTAGATTCCACACCAATGCCGCTGCATGTGAGATTTTGGCCACTGGCTGAGCAGGAGACGGTAAAGGACTTGATCCAAGAGTTGACCACGAGGCTGGGGTGTGATGGACGCGTAGACCTGGGCAGTACGAACGACAACTTTCATGGGCATCAGACTCACATAGACTCACTCAGGGGAGCTGTCTATTGTTTTAAGTCTATCGCAACTTGCGAAGCAGCTTGGAGCTGCGAAGCTTCCTTGAGTGGAACCGTTCGGACGGTCTAATCGTCACGGCCTAGCCGCAGGCTCCGTGGCTTCGACGGCACGATCGGAGGGATGGAGTCAGCTCCCGAGCACTCCCAGGTGGTCCCACATATGGTATGGTGATGTATGGTGAGTAGTGAGTAGTGAGCACCCGCACTCGGAATCACCTTCACATCACTACATGTCATGTCACATGTTGACGAGTTGTGGCGCTCGGAATTGGCCAACTGCTGCAGCGAAGACGGCTTTGAAGCAGAGGGCATTGCAGCACAGCCTCGTGACACGTCTTGAGGCCTCGCCTCAGTGCGGTCGAGTCTCAGATGCCGAGGCCTTCTGTTCAGGGCTGATTCTACACTGAACTCTTTCACTTCATGCGGCGCAGTTTCTCAGAGGCTGCAAGAGACCCTGAAGAACGTGGCCATCTTACAAGCAGATCTGAAGACTGGCGAGGAGCACTGTGCTTAGTGACCTTCAGTGAGCATAGCTGCTAAAGTACTCGAATTGATTGACTAAACCAACCTACACAGGGAGCTAGGCAGTGGCTGCTTGTTCTCCAAGGACGTCCGCTGCCCGTTTCGAGCGCATGGAAGGGAACATGGCCAAACTGGCAGTGGATGCTGAAAAAGCAGTGGACTTTAGTGACCGGACGCAGGGCTGGGTGGAGAAGATGGATGATAAAGTCCAGCGCTTGGGGATTAGTGTGGCCAGGCTGGAGGACAGCAGGGCCAACGCAGAGGCAGTTGTCACAAGGACGGAAAGCGACTTTGGCAAGGTGCGCGACCAATTGGAGACTGCCAGCACTCGGGTGGCTAACTTCGAGTTTCGCCTCACCGCCTTTGACGTGCGCTTGTGCAGCCTTGAGCCTCTTGGAGATCTGAATGTGAAGGTCTGCAGCATTGAGCCACGCCTCGCGAAGCTGGAGCAGCTAGAGCCGAGCTTCACGCGGTTGGAACCAGCCGTCCAGGAGCTTGCAGCCAGATTCAGTGGCTGTGAGGCCCGCTGCTCGAGCCTGGAGGTCGCCTCTCAGAACATTAACGCCAGCACTGAGAATCTCCACTCGGACCACAAGGCCAGCGTTCGCGGCGGTTGCTGTGCCGTTACTGTTCCGTTCTGTTCCGTTCTGTGCCGTTCCGTGCCCCGCGCCGTGTGGCGCCACGACCCATCCGACCCATCCAAACTTTTATCGACTTCAAACTTCGCTTGCCAAAACCACTCGTCCGGACACTTTTCGTGAGAGCATCGCAGCGCCGTTGCGACCTTTCCTCTTCTCGCGCACCATTTCCTGCCTCACCTCCGCCTGCCTCCGCCTAGTTCATGGACTTGTTTCTTTCATTTTTTGCAGTGGAGGCCTTGGCACATCAAGTCGACGACCAACGCATGATGCTGGAGGACGTGAAGGCGGAAACGGCTTCGCGCAAGGAAGAGACTCGAAAGCTCAAATCCGCGACGGACATCATGCAGAGGGACCTGGAACAAGCTGGGAGGACTCAGCAGAACGTACAGTCCGACATCACGGAGCTGCAGCAAAGCCTCGAGCAAGCGCAGCAGCGTCTCAAGACAGATCTACGGGGCAATGAAGACCGGCTGATCGAGAGTATGCAGGAAGTGGATGGCCAAGTCACCCGACGCCTTGAGGACACGCGGGTGACGATGGATAAGCAGAGCCGCGCCCTGACACTACTGCAGCACAGCAGCAAGGAGTTGGAGCGCACCATGGAAGGCCTCAAGCGGCAGGCAGGGTGTTCCTTCGCAACTTCAACAAAACCAATGAACTGCTGTAGTGAGGATGTAAAACAGGATGTAAGAGGTACCGTCGAAGAGTTTTGGATCGAGACTGTTTCCATAGTGTTTGGGGATGTGAGCTGTTTCTGTGTTACAGTGCTCCCATTGCCGAGCACAGACATATGAACAAGGACAGCACCTCACACGCCTCACAGGCCAAAGTCCACATCCTCTCAAGGCTGTTCCTGCTTCTCCCAAGCTGTGTCCAGGCTTCTCATAAGGTCTCGGAAGTTCCCATCATGGGCCTCATGGCCCATGATTGGCAGGCTGCGCGCACGTTTGAAAGCCTGTCAACATACGAAGCGCCCACACGTGTGAACCCTGCGCCTTCATTGGCACAGGGATGATCAGGACAACAGGGATAACTAAGAGGTATGTGATGGTATGTGACGGGGTATGTGTCCATTTCACATCTGCTGGCTTCTGGAGTCGGCTGACTTGCGCACATGTTGCTGGTGATGTAGAACCTCCGTGCTACAAGCCTGAGACGCAGAAAAATCGTCGTCCCATTGATTCTGTCCAATGTTCAATGAATTCCCCTGATGAGGTCGAGGACGAGAAGGGTGCAGCCAGTGCCTAGGTTAACTGAGTTTAGCATTCTTTTGTTGTGTGTGTGGGCTGACTCGCACGCCCCCCCAAGTAGGCTAGTAAGCCAGGAGACTGTAGCCAGACAGAGATGGACCTGCAACACCATCGTTCAGCTTGAGAGGCGACGCGGTGCTTCGCCGTCCCCAGAAAAAGCCACAAAGCTAGACTAGAAAACAAGGGTGTGTGGGCTTTAGGCCCTCTGGACAAAGTATATTCACAGTTGTGCTACATGATAGCGCCGCTATTCCCCAAGGCCAGGCCGCCTCGGCAGCGCGCTGCGCGGCGGAAGAGGCGGCCGAGGCGGCCAGTGCCACGGCCGAGGCCTCCAAGGCCCTGCTGTCCGAGCACTCGGAGCGGCAACAGGCTTTGGTGCGGGACTTCGAGACGTGGAGCTCTCAAGCGCAGGAGGAAGCGGCAGGGAAGGTTTTGCAGGCCCACGAGGCCGCCATCAGCGACTTGCTGAAGACCATGGACCGGCACCGATGGCAGACCAAAGAGGATGCTCTGAAGACGCGGGAGGAGCTGATGACGGTCATGAAGAGCAACACCAAGGCGGGATGCGGAGTTGTTCGGCGCTGTTCAGCGTCATGTACCGTTTTGCACTCTAAGCATGCCCTGCACCCGCGGGCAGTCATAAAGCACCAAGGTCTTCGATGGAAAGGTGGCAGAGATCAGGCCCGTCATGGCCTCTCCACTTGTGTGTGGGGGGTTCCGACAGCCGGGTCGAGGGAGGAGAAGAAGAAGAAGCAGAAGAACAAGAAGCAGAAGCAGAACAAGAAGAAGAAGAAGAAGAAGAAGAAGAAGAAGAAGAAGCAGAAGAAGAAGAAGAAGAAGAAGAAGAAGAAGAAGAAGAAGAAGAAGAAGAAGAAGAAGAAGAAGAAGAAGAAGAAGAAGAAGAAGAAGAAGAAGAAGTCAGAGAGCGAGAGTGAGAGAGACAGGGCCCATGAAAAACGAGAAGCAGAAAGAAAGAGGGAGCGAGAGAGCGGTTCATGTTGAACACCCGTGTGTCGGTGGCTGGACGTCAGCGGGCCGCCGTGGCCGGGGGTGAACCCTCCGCAGTGGAGCACAAGAAGCGATCGAGAGAGAAGCGTGTTGGTTGCCTTTCGAGTCCGGTGGGAAGAAGAAGAAGAAGCAGAAGTGAAACGAAAAGAAAGATTGACTTAACTGCATCCACCTCCAAGCCCTACAGGAACCAGAGAGCTTCACACTGGTCCTGAGGGACCTTTTAGCATGTGACCCTTCACGGGTGCCACGTTCTTTGTCATACAGCCAGCTTTGATGCGTGGCTTTCCCTAACCTCACGATGCAGCTTAGAATCGCAGATGCGGGATGGATCGGGAAAATGGGGCCCTCACAAGAAACAGATCCTTTTTTAGATGACGAGACGAGCGAACCGGAACATAGGCATACGGGCGGCAGACTCCTACATTGCCTTTTTCCTTCGTCGACCATAACTTGCCATTCCACCAGAGGAAAACTCATGGGAATGGAGAAGAACACTTTCTTCAGTTTCTTCCAGTCGCTGCAAGTTCCCTGAAATGCAGGGGTCGCTTGCAGCTCCTTGCGGCCGAAGCCGGCCGCTCCCTGGGAGACCTGAACTTGGATGTCGAACGCCTGCGCCGAGGAGACTCCCTATTCCAGGAAAGCACTGTGGAAAGCCCCTCCACCTCGAGCTCCCTGCCGGGTCTCAGAGAGCTTCGGCACGCAGTTTCGGATGAGATCCGCCGGCGGGAGCAGGAGCCCCAGCGCATCTCCGGGAGGCTCAAGGAGTACACCGAGGACAGCACAATACCAGGGCCCAGCCGATTGTCCCAGTTCCAGGAGGAGAGTCAGAGCGGCAAGGCCTCCCCCTTCACTGTCTTGGACGGCCTTCGTGGTTGCGAGGCTGCCATCTCTGCCATGGACAGGCGCGTGACAAAGCTCGAAGACTGTGTGGAGGACCGCCTGTACGACATGGTTCGTTTGGACGTGGGCAAGCACGCGGCCATGCAACAAGGCCACCTCCATGAGATGGGCCAGAAGATGGACAGGCTAGTCCACACCTTGCACACACCCTCAGGACATGAAAGTGCGACCACTGCCCAGCTAGCGGCGAGCACAGGGCCCTTGGGCAGCCGAGAAAGTTGGCGGCAGCAGTTCCGCTCGGCGCTGAGTGATTCCACGTACGTCCAGCGTGCACTGAAAACTCACCGCCGCACCGGCGAGCTGGAGGCTCAAGGGTGATGAGCTGTCACTCGGCTTCCATCCATGCTCGCGACGAGCCAAAGAGCGCGTCAACCTTGATGACATGGGCTGGGAGCAAGGGGCAGCCACTTGACCTTCACACAACACCAACTAAACCAACTCAAAACTCTCAAAAGCCTTCAAAAGCAGCCAACTGATAATCGTAGGCTGGGCTCTCAGGTTCAGGTTTCAGGTTGGTGGTTCCTGTTCAAACTGGACGGGAGGGTGGGGAAGAAATGGCTGCCCCTGTTGTTGCACTCGGCTTATGAAACTCCATGAATGGACAATGTCCGTTCGTGAGGACGGGCGATGGACCCTGGGCAGAAATGTATGCCCGGCTCCAATGCCAAGCCAATGTATCACTTCTCACGCCGCGCAGCACAAAATGCACTTTGTACATCTTGACATGGCAGGGGTGTGTGTGTGTGTGTGCCTGCATTCACAGCTTCTACATGACCTACTTCGGCCCCCCATAGCAGGCACCAAAGTGTTTGTATCAACATGCCACAGTCCGTAGCCACCAGACCTGATATGTAGAGAGAATATCGGACACATAACGCCCACTTTGCAGTGACCAGTTGGTGGCCGCATCATTCCGCGCTCACGGCTCTGGCGGTTCTGGGCTGTTTGACAGCAGTGATCATGCTTGAGCCAAGGCCAAGACATTCATGCGACGCAAGCTGACTCATGACTCATACACAGCAGGTTGGCGCATGTTCGTTGCACAGCAGTGTCCGCTACCGGTGCATGAGTCAGCCATGAAGCTGCTCAGCAGAAGAGGCACGCTGGAGGGATTTCGAGCATCACTCATCCATTGAAGTAGCTCCTACTGAGTGCCCCGGCACGCATACTGTATTCTGGGCATTTCTGGTCGTTTCTGGGCTGTTGGCTTTCTCCAAGATCATCCAAGACGCACTTCAAGAAGCTATGGGAAGCGGAGACCTGAAGCACAGCCACCGTTTACTTGGTGATCTAGCAATCAATGTTAACAGTGTTGGGTGCTTCTATAGCCATGCCGTGCTGCGCACACCTTGGTGCTTCACGCATGCTGCAAAATGCGATTTTGCTCGGGGATTGGCTTTCGTGCTCACGAATGTCTGAGGGACAAAGGGACGGACCGGAGTCTCAACGGCCAAATGAATCGAGCATGAATGAGCCATCTGTCGGTTCAGCTGTGTCGAGGCTCACCTCATGCGATGGCCAGGCAGTCGCTCGCATCTTTGAACACCACTTCGGATTTCGTGGTCTTGCCACCGCAAGTTGTGTTTTCAGGAAATCGGGCATGAATCCAACACTGGTCTGTGTCGCAGGTGGGCATTGGCTCTGCTTTGCTTCATCGTGTTCCGCGATAGTCTGAAAAGGCCAGGCATCCGTGTCGCCACTGACATGCGCCTCAGTGCGTCTGCACGTGATTTGGTTGAATAGACCAGAGACCGGCTTCTGATTCAGTGACGCAGATGGTACAGAGCGCAGCTCAGACACACCTTATCAGATGCACGAAGCAGCAGTTGTCTCATGCAGGACACGCTGCAGAGATGAACGGAACCAAGGAGAGGAAGCTAAACCTGAAGCTACGTTGAGCTAAGCCTCTAAAGATCTCTAAAGAAAGTCAGAGATGTTCATGCCTGGGAGGCTCCCGGTTTGCCTGGTCCCTGGCGCTTCGGCGGAGCGCTGAGCAGGGCGTCTAAGTGTCCACACTTGGTTCGTCACGGGCCACCCACTGCCTTTCATCGTCGCCGTTGTGGCCGTTGTTTCCATTTGGGATTCGGTGAATTTCAGTGTCAGTAAGGCCAGCGATGCAAGCATCAGCTCTGAAACCATCGGCGAGGGCTTGCGCAAGGCGGCTTGCAAACCGCATCAACCCATGCCGCGATTCGCAGTGACGTTGGACTTGCTGAAAGCATTTACTCGCCAGCCTTGCCAATATGATCCATGAGACCAGACAGGTCCAGTCCTGTGTAGCGGAAGCGGCGGGTGGTCGAGACGTGCGTCTCGTGGCTGTATCGAAGTTCCAGCCCGCGGAAGCAGTGCAGGCTGCATTGGACTTGGGACAGGCCGGTCTAAGTTAAATCATGTCCAGGAAGTGTCAGGCTGCAGTGCATCCTGAGATGCCCTGCATCTTTTCTACAAGTACGTGAGGGACAGTGAGGGGCCCCGGCTGGCAGGTAGATTTTGGAGAGAACTACGTGCAAGAGCTGCTGGACAAAGCGTCGGTTTTACCATCCAGCACAAGGCAAGCAGCGCACGCTCTGAGTTCATGTTGGAGGATCGCAGCTTGATGTTGGTTCTTACCGACCTGCAGTCCTACAGTGACTACAGTGACATTCAGGTGGCATTTCATCGGCCGCCTGCAGTCGAACAAGGCCACGTGAGGCCGGCTCCAGTCCTGCCATCGGTCCTGGTGGGCTAGCAATGACAGGTAAAGAAGTTGGTGAGCCTGCCAAACCTGGTGGCCATCGAGACCGTGGACTCATCTTCCTTGGCAGCCAGGACCCGAGCGGACACTGCCATGGCATGGCCAACGCAAGCTTTGACTCTGTAGGATAGCATCCGCTGCGGAAGCTGCCGGAAGGGGAGAGGGAGGCATTGATCCGCTGAACCTGCTCATCCAGGCTGGAAGTGGAACGATGAAGGGTTCTCTTGTGCAGACGGCGGGTGGATGCCTTGAATAGAGCGTCGCATCATGGTGTCCAGTCAGCCAGGTTGACACCAGTGGCGAACAGACGAAAGGCCCACTCTGGCGAGCAGTGCTGGTCATAAGGTAAGTCGTCTGAGCTGTGTCTTCGCTGCGCGTGTTTGTGCTGTTCACACGCGACATGGGTCAATTGAGCCACAGCAGATGAACGGCCCCAAAGCCAATGAAGGCGGCGTGCAGCCACATGAAGCTTCCGAGATTGCATCCCACATTGCAGCCTGTGGAAGTTCGGTGCGATTTGCTTGGTGCCCGGTTTCTCTCCTGTTGGCAACGACAGCGTGAAACTGCCACAGCTCGAAGCAGACACTTCAGTCCAGAGCCCACGGAGCCTGAACGGAACCTGAGCAGAGGCCCCCCCCCCCCAGAGCCGCCAGAGCCCAGGCTGGGCTGATGACCATCGGGGCTCCGGGCGACATGGGTGCGCTGGGGGAAGGTAGTTGTAGTTGCGGGCTCCCAGCGCGTTGCTTGCTAATTGCAAGTTAAGTTGTGACGGATATGTAGGAATTTAGGATCGCCAGAAAGGACATGTAGTTCTTGGGCTCCAGGCTTTGGGACTCCGAAGCTGAGCGGTGCTGCAGCATCCCAACCCATCTCAAACATTTCCATGAAGCACATGTATCTTCGCATGCTGCTGCTCTGGAAGTGGAGGTCTGTGTCCTACTTGGTGCACGTGGCCACGGCTATACCACACTTGCCCCAAGCAAGATTTAGCGCTTGCGACGGTGTGAAAGCCGTACTTGTTCAGGCATCATACTGCTGCCTAATGGCACCCTCCTGTTGTGTTACAGACTTGTTCACAGTATGTTACAGCGCTGTATCTTCGGGCCTAGTCCAGCATTCTCGGCTTGCCTTGGGCACGCTTGGACCATGCAGTCGTGGCCCATCTCCCCCTGCCCCACGCTACGTGCAGGTTCTTCATGCCACGTGCATGTGCGAATAAATCTTTCAGTGCATGCCGCTCGTTTTCAAGACTGTTGTCAAATCAACATGAACCAACAACAAGGCACCAAGAGAGAGCCTAAATCAGCTTGGTCCCAACTCAGGGCCCATGCCTAGGCATCGGCAGTCTTTGGAACGCAGTCTTCGCAAAGAGTCCGCGGCCCTTCATCCAAGCAAGTTTCCCCTCCATCCCTCCCTCACCTGGTCACCTCAAGCAATCCTGTGTAGATGCAGAACATTTAATCCTCAAGTTCCCCACACAGGAGCTTTCGACCGCCTCCGCAGTGTTCGCGGCGCGGTGGCTACCGCTCTGGGCGCAGCTTGCTGAGCTTTGCCCGGGTAGGTCGCATTCATCCAGAACTGCAGGGGAGAATGGAGAGGATGGGAGCGCGGTACATCATGTTTCATGCTTAGGAACTACGTTGCAAAAGATAGGAGCGTCAGGAGCTGCAGTGGCAGAGGCTTCGTAGTCGTCATCGTCGTCGACGTCGCAGTTGCCGCAAGAAAAGCCAGCAGCAGTAGCTGTAGCAGTAGTCGTCGTCTTAGTCGTCGTCGTAGTAATAGCAATAACAAGAGCAGTAGCAAAAAATAGTAATCAACGTCGTCGTCGTCCCCAAGAGAACTCCAAGAGTACCGGTGCACGGAAGCCCTGGACATCCTCAGTTTCGCATTTTTCGGATCCCAGAAGTCCAAAAGCTTTAACTCCCCCCATTTTGAGAGGACCCCCGCGTGGAACCTCCGAATTGTGAATCCCAAAAAGTTCACGAAAATCCACGTTCGGAGGACGAAAGTGCTGCGCCAATGTGCTCCAACGAACACGCTGTTTCAGGAATCCTCAAAAACTTCGCAACCACGCCCGTGCGCCTAGACGAGAGCACGAATTACGACCCAAATTGCGAGCAGGCCTCAAGAAAGCCAATGGGTCCGAGCCAAGTGCACCGCACCAATCGTTCTTACTCCTCGCATTGGAACCCTTTAGTGTTTGACACACCGTCTGCGCAAAAATGATGGAAGCAGATCAAAAGGGGATGTGCGATATAGGGGTACCTCATTGGGGTCCTTTTTGTAAGGGGATCCTACTATTTGGGTCTACCGGGTCCCTTATTTTCGTAAACCCCAAACGGCAACGTGGCTGCGCCGTGTGGGGTAGGGGCACTGTTCTTCTCGAAGCAGAGCATGTTTCCTCCGAGAAGAGGTTGCAATTCATTGTGATAGCGGTTATGACCTTGCAAAAACATGTGGACTGGGTGTGGGTCTGTGTGGATGGTGTAGCTGGAGTGCTTTATCAGGTGCCCGACCAGGAGCTTGGCTTGAGCATGGGGATGTCGGGAGACTTCCAGGAGGCCTGCCTCCCATGCGGAGATGTACGCAGTAGGCGTAGTAGGTGCAGGCCCATGTGACGCTACTGGTAGCAGCAGCATCACGAGGGTTTAGTGCTGATGAGGCTATCCGCAAGGGCGCCACCTCGGTGCGGGTAGGCGGGGCACCCAGGCATCGGCCTCTCTGCTCGAAAGGCCGCACCCGTCTGGCATGACAGCTTCACAGCATTGCTTTTGTCTGGAAGCAGTGCGTCTTGCATGCCAGATCTGTGCCAGAGGTTCCCGAATCTTCGGCGCCAGACCGCCTCGGAGAGCCGGTTAAAATCGTTGCGTTGGGTACCGCGCAGTTCCAGTGCTGTGCCAGTGCCGTGGCTGTGCCGGTTGTCCCGGTCAAACTGGTCAGACTGTATGTCTCGGCAATGTGAGATCGTAGCCGGTTGTTTTGTTGCTATGTTTCGCTCAACTATGCCAGTTGCTTCTTAGCAGAGTAGCAAACATGTGACCATCACATTGTCAGCAGCAGGCCTTCAAGACACTGTGACCTTCCAAACAGCCACCCTCATGACGCACGGTTTCTCAATAAATCGGGTGTTGCATGAGAAGTAGAGTAGAAGGATGGCTTTCGCCTGCTCGGTTGAGAGCCTTGGCGTACCCTGCCAACAAGATCTTGAGCACTGGGCACCGCTCAGAAGTGGCGGAGTCCAAGCATGCCCAGGAAGAAGGGACATATTCAGGATAGTGACCATGACCTCGGCGAACGGATCATTCCCATGGGGGCGTCGTTTGACAAATCTGCGGTTGCATCATTTCCCGCGAACACAGTTTTCACCTCCAAGTACACGTGGTGGTCATTTCTACCACTGGTGACCTTGGAGCAGTTCCAGAAGAGAGCAAACGTGTACTTTACATTTATTACGCTTCTGATGTACGTTGGCGAGCACAGTACTTTCATTGACTCCACCGTGTCATGGTGGTCGACGGCAGCTGTTTTGATTCCCATGATGGCTTTGAGTATGGTTATCTCTGGATTGGACGACCTACGGCGGCACCAGTCTGATCGCCAGATCAATTCGCAGCAAGCTAGAGTCATCCGACTGGGAGGGAAATACCGGGTGTATTTAGACACAGTCTTGTGGAAGAACATTCATGTGGGAGATGTCATCGTCCTGAAAAGCCGCTTTGCCGAGCGTAGCAAGCGTTTGGCACTTCGGCTATCTTGTTTGTGAGTACACGAACCTTTCAAATGCAGGTTCCGTTGCGGTTCCTTGCAATGGCTGGTGCTTGGTGTACTTGTTTCCGCCGCGGTTCTGTAAGATGGTTGCCAACCTGTGCTGTTTGGCTAGTTGGTTGCTCCAGGGCATGTTTTTGGTTCGAAGTCCGGGCTCTCACAGCGTCGCAACTGTCCAATGGGTCAGCATCTATTTCGTGCAGGCGATGAAGAGCTTCCTGCCGATATCATCCCTTTGGCGTGTTCCGGGAGTGATGGCCAATGCTATGTGTCCACAGCTCCTCGCCTGCATTTCCTGCGCTGCAATACAGTAAGGTCCGATTGCGATGTAAAGCTTGAACATACACGTAGCGACGTAGTGCTTCAGCGAGGTTAACGACTGAAGTGCGCACGTAGTTTCGGCAATGGTTATTGCTAAGGTGGGCTGCAGGAACTGGCAGGAGCGAACAGAAGATTTGAATCGAAAGCTATTGTCAGGCTTCAAGCAAGGCTTCAGGCTTTGAGCCAATCATTTCTTGGTTCGACAATCTCGTAACTACTCTTGCCTTAACAGAGCAACTCTCGTCCTCCCGCAAGCTGCTCCTCATGGGGCTGAGGCAAACCTCGATGGCGAGACCAACCTAAAGATCAAGGCGTGCGCCGCTGAAGCACAAGCATTTTTGTGCCGCTCGATCGAAGCAGCAGCAACTGCAACGACTACCGCTGCCAGCACCAGCAACAGCAGCGACAGTGATAGCAGCAGCACCACCGCTACCACAGCAAAATAGCAAGAAAACACAAGAGCGACAGCAACGGTGCCAGCAACCACCAGGACGACGACGAACAAACCGCAACCACTATAGCCACAAATACAGCAGCTTAAGTAACTTCAACAATCGAGCAACAGTAGCAAAAATAATGAGCAGCTGCAGCAGCTCACGAACAGCAACAACAGCAATGTTAACTTGTGAGAAGATCGCTTGAGCGGGGTGTTCAGCACAAAGCGCTAAGGCGAAGGCCACGCTCATGGACCGCCACTGTTGGATCAGGCCTCACAGGGTTCAATGATGTTCAATGCATTCCCCCTGCCGACACCGCGTGTCCTGAGCCTCCCTGCCGGCCGGTGATGGGATTTTCTGCCTGCGAGAGAACTGTGAGGCCGTGGAGAAATTGGCCATGTTGGATGCTGCGCTTCATGTCGAGGCCGACTTGTTTGTCGCATAAAATGAGTCCTTTCAACGCGCTGCAGACAAAAGCACGCTAGCCTGAGTGTTTCACGCAAACAACGGCCCAGGCTCCGAGCAAATCCCTCACCAAGTTCTCAGGATCACTGAAGATATACCACAGAGACACTGAAGAGTCTACATCGTCACTGCTGCTTTGTTGCATGGAATCAGGCAGATGTGTTTAACGTAAGTTTGATGACAAGCTTGTAAGGGTCGGTTCGGGACGAACAACAGAGGTTGGTTCTTAATGAGTCCTTGGGGAATGAGGTTTCCTCTGAATGCATCCCTTGAAGGGTTGTGCTAATAGAGAATAATTGGGTCCTTTTCGGGTGAGTAACGTTGAGGTCTGCCAACAACCTGCTGCTGCGTGGTACCCGATTGCGCAACACCGCCTGGCTCTTTGGTGTTGTGGTCTACACGGGGAAAGACACGAGGATGGTGATGAATTCTCGTGACATCCCGACAAAGCTGGCCAACCTGGAGCGCGTGGTGAATCGGGCCATGCTGGTGGTGTTGGGCGCACAGGCTTTCCTGTCCAGCCTCAGTTCGATTCTCTATGTTTCAAACGAGTTTCGCTTTCGGACTTCCTGGTACCTGTATCCTTCTGGGACCTACATCAAGGAAGGAGTTGCTTTCCGGCTTGCGGCGAACTGGTTCAAATTCTTTATTTTATATTCGAACCTGATGCCCATCTCGCTGTATTCAACAATGGAGATTTGCAACTATGCGCAAGCATTCTTTGTAAAGAGCGACCTCAAGATGTACGACGAAGAGCAGGCATGAGCTGCCAGCAAAAACCACATGCATAAACATGCGTAACCTTGCGTCAAAGGGCGGCTTGGCTTGCTTGACTTCTCTGATGAGGACTGTCCAGCCGCTGTTCGCTCTACAAACTTGTGTCACGAGCTCGGACAAATCTCGTACATCTTCTCTGATCCACGTCTGCAGATGGCAAGGGTGGCCGAGTTACTGCGTAGAACAAGAACCGAAAGCATCGCGCTCGCGGTTTGACCGTTAGAGTAGTGTTGAGGACGTCAGCAGCAAGTGTCAGTGAGGCCTGCATGGCTGCATTCCAACACCAGCAGTTGGACACAGCATAGTTGCTAACAGGGCTCATGAAAGCAGCGGTTTCGCCTCTCAAGTGACGCTGCACGTTTTATGTCAGTATCTGCCCAGGACAAGACAGGTACCCTGACACAGAATGTCATGGAGCTCAAACGTCCCTCGTCAAAGTGCGGAACATGCCCCTGATTAGTGATGCATGATTCTGGTAAAAGCATGCTTTGGACGGGTTCTGTAGCTTGTCAGACGGCCTATCCTCTCTGCCCACACTCCCAGCGGCGGCCTGCGCAGTGTCAATTTGTCAAGACCCGCCAGCCCTTACACGGACATGGTTGTTGTTCATTCTGCTGGTATCAGCATGTACCAGCAGTGAGCCAAGGCGTTTCGTTTGCGGGGCAGGCGCGGTGCCCCCGGTTTGGAGCCTTGTGCTTCGGTGCAGTCTGGCACCTTCCAGCCTGATTGCACTGATTGCACTGAGAGGTGTTTGGCGAGATCACAGAAGAGCCGGGCTTCTCCGATGTCGCTGGAGTTCAAGGCTGGCGGCAAATAGGCAATCACAAGCGCGCCCGAACCTCAGAGGTGGAAACGTGCGCAGTAGTTTGTTGCAGTTGTTTTCAGTTGTTCAGCGCAAGCAGAGCTGCAAGGATCTGCAAGGCATTCCAGGAAAGTGGTCGTCCCCCCCAATCAGATGACTGGCGAGTGACATTGTGATGTTTTGCTACGCTGCTGCACGTTGTACAGTGCAACGCTTGTGAATTGAGGTCGATGCATTTCTGCAGATCCTGTCGGTTGCACATACTGCCGCTGCGCTTTTCTACTTAAGCGATGCTGATAGGCGGCTGTCGTCAGTACACAACAGCAGAGCCACCAAGTTGCCTGTCAAATACTGACATGCCTTCCCTTCAAAGACTTGGGACTGTAGGTCATGGTCACGACCGACAAGCAGGGCTGCCAGTGCTACGAAGCCGAAAGTCCAGATGAAGGCTCGGGTGGCCGGTGGGCCGAGGAGGTTTTTGGGGTGGGACACGCTGACAAAGCCCAGGTGCACTGGTTGAAGGTGCCAAGCAGATGGGGTGGCAACTTATCTGACTGTGCTGACGTTTTTTTTTTTTTGGCCAGCTTTGCTTTGAGAAAGAAGCCTGATGGCGTCAAGCAGCATGTTTTCAAACAGGCACTACTGCAGTCGAACCGCGGATTCTCTCGTGGTTCAAGTGCACAAGCAATCACTGACGTACAAGATCCTAGCCGTCAACAATTTCAATTCCACGAGGCGGCCGGGGTGTATGCCTGCGTAAGAAGGGTGGAAAATCAGCACATGCTCAATCAGCGGTTGAAGGTGCATATGGTGCCTTTCTTGACAGGAAGCGCATGTCTTCTTTGGTGCAGACGGCAAATGGAGAGACCTGGCTTTTGGTCAAAGGTGCCGACAACGTGATGATGGACAGGGCGGAAAACGTTCCACTCTGGCTGACAGAAAGTTTGGCAAACTTTTCGAGGAGTGGATTGAGAACATTGGTTCTGGGTCATCGGCGTTTGGATCCTCAAGAGGCTCAGTCTTGGCTGCAGACGTACGATGCGGCGCAGTGTGCACTGGAAGGCCGAGATGCCAAGTTGGAGGCGGCTTGGAAGATCTCTTCATAATGTTTGTGCCGTGTTGTTCCTTTCTGACTTGCAAAGCACATGAACTCCTGAAGACATAGAGGCGCGCTAGGCTACGTATACTGTATCCCTCACATGCCCGGGAGAGAGAACTCCCTCTCCAAGCCAAACCGCCAAGCTTGAGTTCCTCCCTCACAGAACTCTTTTCAACGCTAGGGCACAGGGGGGGTACCTGTTTCATGTTCGTGGCTACTGGTTTTCTGTGTTCAGCAGGGTTTGGCACACATCGGCATTCCCTCTGCGCGTCAGGCGGCTGCTGAGAACATCGAGGTGAAGCTTGAGATGGTCGGCGTCACGGGTATCGAGGACAAGCTGCAGATTGGCGTTCCAGACACCATCCTAAAGCTGAGAGACGCAGGTCAGGTTCAATCAAACCTTGCTTGGGCATTATGGTGATGCATGGGCTTTCGGCATGCAATTTGCTCGAGCGCTATGTTCTGGACTGGGGTGGGAGGGTGCGTGATTGTTCACATCCGGAGCCGCGTTGATTTTTCAGTAGTTAAAATGACAACGGTAATCAGTTCATGTAGTCGTAGTTTGTTTCCTCAAAACAGGGACGTGTAATTCACGCTTTAAAATATTCGGCGTGGCTTCTAACTAGCATACTAAGCTACTAATCGAGAGGTAGCGTGGTAGCCTTATATACTGCATTGCATTGTGGTAGTGTTGTTTTGAACATGCTGGGGTTTACGGTGTTGGGGGGACCTTCTTAGGGTCCGTATTGTAATCCTGGGGTCCCGTATTTTCATAAACCCCTATGTTGCAATCGACTAGCATTCCTCCATGATAGGGGCTAGTTTGTTTAAAGTAGTCAGTGAATGAAAGCTGAAGAGGTCACATTTTTTGGGTCACATTTTTTGGAACTGGCCCCCTCTTCTTCGAACAGTTATAAGTTATAAGATCATTATCATATTAAACTACTGTACTGCGAACCTGGGGAGACTTGTGCAAGTAGGAGAGGCTACATTGTGGTTTTCTAACTCAGCTTGCTTAGTTAGGTCAAGTCGCCCTTAATTAGATTAGGGTAGACAAGTACAATCAGGAGACGCTATTGTCACAAATAGTTGAGTTAGCACCTTTCGCCCTTGAAATGGACTACAACACTAATCTGGGCGGCAGGCACTAGTACGCAAACCAAGTAAACTATGTTGGATGCTTTTTCTACCAGTAATAGACTTAGTCTAGCTAGTGCAACTAGCCCGTAAATAGAGTAGCAATCCTCCCCACTTTACTATTAACCGCAGGGGGCAGACTTTTACAATTAGGAGGTCGCAGGCACGCAAAAGACCTGGACACGAACTGCCGCGCACATGGTTTCCGCGTCGGCTTTGGGTAGCAAAGCGCGGGAGCTACGAAGGCTGGCTGCCGAGCAGGGAACTACGTAGGCTGGCTGCCAAGCAGGGAATTGGGACCGCACATGGCTCTGCCGAAAACCTCGTGAAAGCCGATGTTTCGTACAGATTTAGTATCCGAAACTGCGAAAATCCGAAACCTGCGACATGGGTGTTGTGTTGGCTCCTTGCAGCTTGGTTCTACAGAGAGGCATGCTGAGGCAAAATCACTGTAAATAAAAGTTGTTGGCTTAGTACGCTCACCATGACTAATTCGTTTGTCTTTCTCCAGTGATCCCTTTGTTCTTTTTTCTTTATTTATTCGGGTCTTTCTGTTGATAGCTCCTTCTGTATGAATTGAATGATTTTCAATTTTTATCAATCTGTTTGTTTTTTTGTCAAGTATGTATTTCTTTCTGTCCTTCTTTCTGTGTATTGTTTCTTTGCGTCGTTGCGTTTTTGTGTACTAATTTCTTTCTTTCCTTATTTCTTTATTTCTTTATTTATTTCGTTTATTTCTTTGTGTTTTATGTCTAGCTTTCTTCATTTGTTTCTTTGTTTTGTTCTGTATTTATTTCTTTCTCGTTCATTCTTTCTGTATGTTTTTTGTTTGGGGGGGTTACACCGCCCATATTCATATGGCGATCATGCCGAAAACGCTGGTATTCACTGACTTATTGCCTCGTTGCACAACATATTACATGTTTGGTTTGGGTTCAGGGTTACGGTCGGCATGAACGTTATAACCGCCCCCTCTCCCCCTCTCTCCCCCTCTCTCCCCCTCTCCCCCCCCTCTCCCCTCTCTCCCCCCCCCCTCCACCCTTCTCCCCTCTCCCCCTCCCCCCTCTCTTCCTCCCCTCCCCCCCTCCCCCTCTCCTCCCCCCCTCCCCCTCCACCCTCTCCCCTCTCCGCTCTCCCCTCTCTCCCCTCCACCTCTCCCCCTCCCCCCCCCCCCCCCCACTCTCCCCTCCTCCCCCTCCTCCCTCTCCCCCCCTCCCCTCCCTCTGCCCCCCCCTCTCCCCCCCTCTCCCCCCTCTCTCCCCCTCTCTTCTTCTCCCCCCCTCTCCCGAAACCTCCAGGGCGGGCTGCGGCCGGATTTTTTACGCGGCTCTTTCCAAGTATGAGACGCTATGCTTCAACTACAGGTAGTTGAGTTAGCGCCAGTAGCTCTGAAATAGACTAGCGTTCCTCCTCACTGCACTTCTAATCATGCTAGTCTGAGAGGCAGGCACCAGTACCCAAGCCAAACAACCAAAACATAGCATAAATAAGAACAACAAACCAAAACTCGAGCTGCCGGAGAGGGTGGCGGCTTGAAGTTTCAAAGCTGACAAACAAAGTCAACAAGACAACAAGCGCAAATCTGGGCGCACCCAACCACAAGCCCAAAAGGCGGGCAATAGCGACACCACAACGAAACAAACGCCCCAAACACATCTGGACGCTGCTTTTATGGGAGGTTGGTTTTTGGGGGAGGGGAGGGGGCGGGCAACCACCCTCCCTCCACCCAAGACCAGCCTCACCACAGAACCAGCAAGCTTATATACTCATATATCCATACATATATATATATATATACATATGTATATACATATATGTGGCATGGACCTTTATGTATTATTTGGCTTTTGCTCTTGGTTAATAATCAATTTGCATATACGTTTCTATGCCTGTTATCATAGTTGAAGACTTTCGTTTTCTGTCGCGTCACGACGTTTCGTCAAGCCATTCCCGATGCCGAAATACTCACGAGGGTTTAGGCGTTAGGGTTTAGGCCCAAGGGACCCTTTCCCGACATTGCTAAGAATACAAACAAGAGAAAAGAACACAGAGACATGTAGAGAGCTGTCGAAGGTAGTTAGAAGGGGCAGGGGAAGTCCTCCTTCCATCTCATCATTCCCTTCATTCTCCTTGCTTAACCTTGCCCTTGTTCTACTCCCCTAATGACAAAAAGAAGAGAGGAGGAAAGGCTCGTGGTATGGACACGAGAAAAGAGAGAGCGGAGAAAGGAGGAGAACGAACGTGGGAAACGAAAGGAAGGAGAGCTAGAGAGAGGATGGAGAGATAGAGAGGGGAAATGAAGGACAAAGACCGTGGAAGAAAGGAGTGAGCGATGCTCGGGAAGTAAGCGTAAGGGTGAGGAAAACGAACAGTGGATGAAAAAACAAGTGTCCTGCCCCACCTCTTCTCGTTTCTTCTTGATTTTCTCCGTCTCCTTGTTGTTCTCCAAGCAATCCTGTTTCCACCATCGCTTCCTCCTTCCTCTTCTTCATTGTTTCTGTGTCACTCACCCTGTTTCCCTAGCTGTCGCTCTTCCGCTGCCTTCCTTCTTCCTCTTCTCCCTGATTACTGTCTCCTTCTCTTTGCTTTTCTATCTGTCTCCATCTCTCTCACTCCGGCGCCGCCCTGTGTTTCTGTTCATTGCTCATCCTTTCTGACTTTACGAGGCAGAACCTGTACAAACGATGGGCCCTGTTCTGGACATGGCCCTGCACTGCCTCTTTCAACACACTCCAAACTCTCTGAGCTTCCCCCAAGAGTTTCAGGCGGCCTTCAGAGAGCGTCCCCAAGGGGCCTCCAAGAGTGAAGGAGAGGTGTCAGAGGAGGACCCTTTCCCCACATTGCTAAGAACAAAGCAAGAGAAAAGAACACAGAGACATGTAGAGAGCTGTGGAAGCTGGTTAGAAGGGGCAGGGGAAGTCCTCCTTCCATCTCATCATTCCCATTCATTCTCCTCCTTGTTCTACTCCCCTAATGACAAAAAGAAGAGAGGAGGAAAGGCTCGTGGGATGGACGCGAGAAAAGGGAGAGCGGAGAAAGGAGGAGAACGAACGTGGGAAAAGAAAGGAAGGAGAGCTAGAGAGAGGATGGAGAGATAGAGAGGGGAAATGAAGGACAAAGACCGTGGAAGAAAGGAGTGAGCGATGCTCGGGAAGTAAGCGTAAGGGTGAGGAAAAGGAACAGTGGATAACAATAACAAGTGTCCTGCCCTACTTGTTCTCGTTTCTTCTTGATTTTCTCCGTCTCCTTGTTGTTCTCCAAGCAATCCTGTTTCCACCATCGCTTCCTCCTTCCTCTTGCTCATTGTTTCTGTTTCCTTCACCCTATTTCCCTCGCTGTCGCTCTTCCGCTGCCTTCCTTCTTGCTCGTCTCCCTGATTACTGTCTCCTTCTCTTTGCTTCTCTATCTGTCTCCATCTCTCTCACTCCGGCGTCCCCCGGTGTTTTCTGTTCATTGCTCATTCTTACGAGGCAGACGCTGTGCAAACGATGGGTCCTGTTATGGACATGGTCCTGCACTGCCTCTTTCCACACACTCCAACCATCTCTGAGCCTCCACAAAATTTCACACGCCTTCTCCCCAAAAACCCTCCAAGAGTGAAGGAGAGGTGTCAGAGGAGGACCCTTTCCCCACATTGGTAAGAAGAAAAACAAGAGAAAAGATCACAAAGACATGTGGAGAGGTGTGGAAGGTAGTTAACTGCAAGGAGCAGGAGAAGTCCCCCTTCCATCATATCATTCCCTTCTTTTTGCTTAACCTTGCCCTTCTTCTATCCCCCCCTACTTAATAACAAACGGAACAGAGGAGGAAAGGGTCATGGAATGGACACGAGAAAAGGGAGAGCGGAGAAAGGAGGAGAGCGAACGTGGAGATTAAAAAAAAGGAGGGAGAGCTAGAGAGAGGATAGAGAGAAAGAGAGGGGAAATGAAGGACAAAGACCGCCCATCCTTTACGAGGCAGACCCTGTGCAAACGATGGGTCCTGTTCTGGGCATGGTCCTGCGCTGCCTCTTTCCACAAAATTTCACACGCCTTCTTTTCAAGGGGCCTCCACGAGTGAAGGGGAGGTGTCAGAGGAGGACCCTTTCCCCACATTGCTAAGAAGAAGCCAAGAGAAAAGAACACAGAGACATGCAGAGAGCTGTGGAAGGTAGTTACAAGGTGCAGGAGCAGTCCTCCTTCGATCTTATCATTCCCTTCATTCTCCTCGCTTAACCTTGCCCTTGTTCTATCCCCCGAGAAAAGGG